CCCTCAAAAATTTGAAGAACTTCACGTGAAAGCTTCGAAAATGTTTCAATTTCCCTCTTCTTCTCCTTTTTTCCCATTCCACGAACGCCTCAAACTTCAAAGTCCATCCTAGAGTAGCAAGGTAGAAAGTAAGAAAGAACATTGGCTTGGGTTTCAACTTTTCTTTTTTTTTTTTCTTTTCGCTTCAAAACGAAACGAGAAAAGCTTTGACGCAAATAGCAGAAGTCATATGATGAGTGTCAGTTAACAGATCAGTTTGCACAGGAAAATGTTCCGAAATGTCTTAAAATCCAGTGGTCTTCAGTGTTTTCAATTGAAACATAGATTATATTTTTGAAATTGTATTGAAAAAAATACCCACCTGTTTTAAACACGGAAATGAAAAAGCCTTTTTCCAGTTTATTCCGAATCGTTTTTGAATTCAAGGCTCGAGTATCTGTAAAAAAATTCAATTTAATTATTCTTCAAAAAAATTACCGTAGTAGTTGTGAATACTCTAAAACGAAGCGTTGCAAGTTGATAATTGTTTTAAGACTGAATTGCAATTCATAAAAGTAAAATATCGACTTAAAAAAAGAAAAAAAAAAGTAAAATCTTGAAATTTTTTCTGAAAAAAAAATTATGCCACGAATGCGTCGGTGTGTTTGCAGAAATTTAAAATACAGTAAACAAAAAAAAATCATTAGAGCCAATATCTTCTCGTATTTTTCGGATTTTTCTATCTTTTAATATTCCTCGTCTTTCTTTTTACCTCTTAAAGGTTAAATTTCCACAAATTAATGGAATAATCACATTCGCGAAAGATCTTTTCCCTCTTTGAGAGGAGATTTCTCCATTCATTTTTGATAATCTTGCCCTTTTTGTTTTTCGTTTTGCTCCTTTCCCAAAAGCGGCCAGCCTCCATCTTGTATTCTGTCTAGTCTATCGTTATTTATTGATAGAAAACCTTTTCAGGCTTTTAATTCACGTTATATCCAATTCAGTAGTTTTTTTCAACCTAGCTTCGAGAAAAACGAAATTTTTCCATTCTTTGATTTTCTTGATTTTTCGCCGATAGTCCATCGGGCAACCAAGAAACGTGGAAAGGTAATTTGATAAAAGAAGAAAAAACGGATCCGAGCATGCGTGGAGAAGAAATTTCCGTTATCAAACGTTGTAAATAACTTCGGCGCCACTGGTTTTGTTTGCTGAGGAAATCACGTGGATCCTTGTATCCCTCACTTGTGACCCTTACGGTAGATCAAGGCTGCAAGACTTTTTTTTTCTTATTTTTTGGTTTCCCGTTGGTTTTTGGAGAGAAGCTTTTTTTCGAAAAATGATACATTTTCAGAAGTTAGAGGACGGCTATGATTTTTTTTTTTTCGAATATTCTTTCAAATCTCAAATAAGTTTGACTTCTCTGCGCTCTCTTCTCTCTCGGTGACTCTCTCGTTTTTACTTGCTATTTTCAAGGAGTGAAGAGAGATGAGAGAGTGCAGACACGTCAGACTGTTCGAAAATGAGCAAATGAGCTAGTTGAAAAGAAGAATAGCCGATACTTTAAAGCTAAAAAAAATCAGAATCCTCAAAATTTCGAAATTTTTTATCAAATAATTAGAAAACTGAAGGCCAACCAGTTCAAAACTGTATCAAACGACACGTGAAGTCAAACTTTTTCCAGGACAAGCCATATGACGACTGCCTTATCAGCTTCATCACCATTAAAATGTTAAATGACTGATAAGATTCCTCATTTCAGCTTCTGGCTATTCGCAGTCGCTCTTTTCTCCCTTTCTTCTGATTTTTTCAACGAAATTTTTTCTCATGACCGTCCTTGATTCTTCAATCTTCAATCATTGTATCATGGTTTGGTCAGAAAACGAATGACTAGAAACCTCGGGAGGGCGGAGCAGTGTAGCCTTCCTTATATAAATGCGAACTTGGCGCAGTTGCTAGAGCTTTATTTTATCAGTTTGAGGATCGCTGGTTCGATCCCAGTTGACGACCTTTTTGCTCTTTTTTTCTTATTTCTAAGTAGCATTCTTCTGAAGCTTTCAAAGTTTATTATTTTCGTAGGAAAAACATGATCCTCTATATGAGAAAGTTGAGGCTGTTTGGCGCAGTTAGTAGAGCTTTGGCGTATCAGTTAAAGGGTCGCTGGTTCGATCCCGGTTGATGACCTTTCCTTAAAATTTCTTGGATGTCGATATTTATAGAACATTAGACATTTTCATAAAAAAGTTGAGAACACGGTCATTTTGCTTGTTTAAAAGAAACCAACAATTTAAAAAAAAAAGAAAAAATTTTCAATTTCTCTACTTGTTTCGGGAAACAGAGATACATAGAAATGGACCAAAACTCTTTTCAACTAAATTAAAATACTGTAGTTCTTTTCCTACACGTAAAACGCTTTCTAACAGTCTAATTCGATCAACTTCCTCTCTCCGAAACTCGTCTTCCGCCCTGTTTTTTTCTTCTTTCACGTGGTTCAACATTTGGTGTGTAAGAAAAAAACATTTTTTCTCCCAAATTCCTGTCGCCACGTGCGTTAACCACCAATCGTCTAAAGATCTAGTGAAGAAGATGCCAAGTCAGATGACTTGGCCGACTTTTTTCTCTTTGCTTTGAACTTTCCGTGTTTTGAACTTTTTCCCTTGTTTTTTGTTGAGGGCAAGTTGAGGAGGTGTGTCAATAAAACGAAATTTTCAAAGTCATACTTTTGAAAAATTTTGTTTTCAAGATTTTTTTTAGAGCCTTGAAACATCCTTTTATTTATTTCTTCTTTAATCATTTTCGGAACTGCTTATTAATCCGGGGGAAATGGCCTTCGAGAGCGCTGGGAGTCTTTTTTTCAGCTATATTAATAACTAGAAACTTCTAAATTTTTTTAAAGTGTGAGTCACATCAAAATCGTAATTCAATTAATATAATGATAAACAAGGAATCAAAATGTATGGTTAAAAAAATGAATTTACTCTTTTTTTGAAAGAAAAAAAGTTTACCAAAAAAACTAATTTTAACCTTTTTTTCTCATGCTTCCTCCTTTTTTTCAGTTTCGTTCCCCTAAAAAAAATAATTTAATATTATTTCCTTCTCTTGCAAGATTCACTCAAACATTCTCAATCTCCGTGATCTCTGAAAAACCGCCCCCTCAACCAGTTTCGCGCATTGATATCGCCCAAAATAGATTCACGTCATGCTATATTTGGACCCGTCTTTCATCGAAAGTAAAAAGATTTCTGATCGAACTTCCACGAGAAAACTGACAATAACTTCTCAAAAGATGTCAAACTGGCTTTTCTTTCGGGACGGCGAAAAACGACTGGAAAATGAGCACCTGGCGTCGGCCAACGTGTTCTCGTGACGTCAGAACCTCCTGAAAAATTTCCAAGGCCAACGGTGGGAGGAGGTCCACCACGCAAAACTTCGCTCATTCATTTTTCTCTCCCGCGAAAAGCGCTTCCGACAGTTAGCCAACTCTTTTTTCACGTGCACTAACATGAAATTGAAGATCAGAAGTCTATTTTTGTCAAGTAAAAAATAAATATTCATTCGGTTACTGTAGGCGCTAAAGTTGAGTGTGCAATTTCATGTCGCAGTTTACTTTTAGGCGCGTTTTTTTATTTTTTTTCAAAATTTCGGCTTTTTTTCTCTAATTGTCATTAACTTTGTTTTTATTATTTGACCGCTTATTCAAACTTAGAACCGGTTGTTCTTCAAAAGATCATTTTCTCGTCATGCCCTTATCGCCCCTCAACCCGTTCGACTAGACCATTGACAAAAAAAACACCATTCAACGTCACTTTTAATCGCGTACAAACACTTATTGGTTTGGTTTGAACGATAAGAAAAGATGAATATAAAAGATGGAACGAGGTCAGAAGTGGTTTTTTTTTTTCATTTTTCAGATCAAAATCTATATTTTCGACCTCTGACATCATTTTTTTAGGCGAAATTTGGCGTACGCGAAAGTATCGAATTGCAACATAAGGACTAATTTAATACTGGAAATATCGTTTTGCGTCGAATTTTTTTCTTATTTTCATTTTATAGGCTTCATAGGCCATGGAAAGCTGTTATTAGATGCTGTTGTCAATTTTGTTCTTTCATTTTTGTTTCTCATGAATAATTTTTGTAACGTTCGTGTTTTGGAAGGATTTACAAGTTTTGCACGTTCTCAAACATGTTTTTCGAACAATTTGAGAAAATCGAAGGACTCCTCGGAATTTCTTGTTTAGTTTGAGTAATGATTTTTCGAACACCACACGGAAAAGTGGGTAAATAAAGTATCCAAAGAACATATAGTTCAAAAAAAAAACCATTTTCAATTACCCGTGACTTTAGTGAGGCGAAACTCACTCGAGAGACTTTCAATTAAAGAAAAGCCACATTTCGAAGTTTTTTGAACCTTCCATGAGGCCAATTATTTTTATGTTTACTTCAATGATCCTTCGAACTCATTATAAAAGGGTAGGTAAACAAGCCAGTGGAAGGAAAATGTATTCTGAAGTCTCCTACGCTTTTGATCAAGTGAACTTTCTTTAGATTCTTATGCCGTGTTCAATTTGATTCCGTGACATGCAAAATTATCTCTGACTCTCCAAAATCTAGTGATCTTTTCCTTTCTCTAACGGGTATTTTGCATTTCGCGGATTCAAATTGAACACGGCATTAACTCAAAAAACTTTTGAAGATACACTTTAATGAAGAAAAATGCATCAAGAAAATGTATGAGCCTATCAAAAGGCCAATAATCCTTTCTGTTTGCCTTTCTACCTCTTTTTCAATGACCCAAGCCCGTAATTAGGCCAAAACTCGCCTCTAGAAGTTGCTCGAACCTTCCACGGGACCAATTATATTCTTACCCTGGACATCCACCACGTCCCTCTTCAATCCCCATACTATTTCTCCTACGCGAAGCGATAGCCAAGCCCCGCCCATTCGAAGAACGGTCGCCTATAAAAGTGCCCCGTCCTGACCTTTATTGATCATCTACCGTTATTCTCGTCGTTTTTGCTCTCATGCCGTCGGCGCCGCAGAGAAACCGCAGCCAATCTTTATTCGCAGAAAGTTCGCTCGCTCCGCCAAAAATGCTCCGTACTGAGCAATTCCCGTGCCTTCGATGCGGCAACTTTGGATCTCCTTCTGGGTAAGTTTCATCGTTTTTTGGGGCTTTCCTATGTTTTTTCAATGCATTTTTTGACTGTAATTTGTTTGTCAGGAGGTTTCTGGCAATTTTGCACTACTTCCCTGTTCCTGATCGTTTTGAAAACCAAATTTGCCTCAAAATGAAGATTCTGGAAAGAGATCTTAATGAGGCCACTAATTTGACTGCTATAATGGCTACTGTAAAGTCAAAGCCTTAAAGGGGCCACTGAAAATTTTCATTTTATAAGAAGATTCTACCTCATTTTTAGTGGAATTTTCGCGCGAAATTTAAAATTCATTTTAACTTTTTAGAGAAAAAGTTTTTTTTTTCCAATTCCAATAGTAAATTCCTTCCTTTTTTCATAGAGAAACTAATAGAGATGCATTTTCAGATCCGTCCCCATGTCGCTGCAGAAAGTGTCTTCAATGAATCGGTCGGCCGGAACCAATCCGGCCAGCCGTGGAACCGAGTCTTCTCTTGAACTCGAGGCTATCGGTTCGTGGTTAAAAAATGGATAAATTCCGAGAATTTTGGTGTAAAACTTTGAAAACTGAGGCATTTTTGCTTTGAATTTTTTCAGAACTTTTCCCAGAACTTTTGTCATTTTTTCGCCCTGAAATCATAAGAAGAAGCTCATTGAAAAAGCTAGGAAAAGAAAATTATTCACGCAATTTTCTTAGGCTTCTGAATTTTTAGGGAAGCTTTCAGCTCGATAAAAAATTTTCAAAATTGAAAATCATAAGAATCTAATAATTTATGCGGAAATAGGCTTTTGAAGGCGAATTCACCCTTTTTAAAATTTTCTTAGGCTTCTGAATTTTAAGAGAAGCTTTCAACTCGATAAAAAAATTTTTTTAAGATTGAAAAAAATGAACAAAAAAATTTTTTTCAAATCAAGCTTGGAAATCAAGAAATAATTTTTTTCAGCCGCAGTTCACGAACTATCATTCGCAGTGCAGTCGATCAGCGTTTCGGAAATGTTGCCCAGAACTCCGGACCTCATTTTCGTCAACGTCACTACTATTGAAGGTATAATAAACCTTCAAACATAACAAAGATTAAAAAAAATTAACTTTTCCAAGATTTTCCGAACTTTTTTCAAAAATTACTCTTTTTAGAAGTCATTAGTTCTAATAAGAAAAAAATAATTTTGAATGTTTGAGTCAAAATTTTCAGTTCAAAAGAGAGAATTTTGATATTTTTTTGGACCCATTGACTTTTTTAGAACATCAGAACGTTCCGGTATATTTTATATAGCTTTACAAAAAATCGTGTTTTTCCAGAATTCAGTAGTTCTTAATAGAAAGGAAGAGTTATAGTAAGAAGTTTTTAGTCTAAAATTTAAATAAAATTGGATATTTTTGCACTCATGGACCATTAGGACATCAGAACTTTCTGGTTTTTGGTACAGCGATTGCAAAATAATGCAAGAAATTATTAGAGAATAATATTTTTTGGATGTTTGATTGCACGTGAATTGCGCCCCTTTTGCGTCTTTAGTCTTCGGACAGATCAAAGCCGACTTTTCTCTCTTCTAGATCCTTCCTTTGATTGATTCGCCTTTTCCCTTTTCATTACGCTGGAAGTTGTGGAATGTTTGGTCTTGAATGACGTCTTCTAGAATCTTCGGAGTCTTTAGAATAAGCTTCTGGTGAAGAATTTGAATAAAAAGTCTTCATTTTATTCTTTTCAAACCGTTTTAAAAAGAGCTTGTATAAAAACTTACAAAAGTCAGGAATCTTGAAATTTTTTACTCGACCAAAAAGAGCTTGTTTCTTGGACTTACAAGGTACTTTGAGATCAGATTTTTTTGCCCTAGAAAGCTTTTTGAATGGACTAAGGAGAAGTAAACTTTTAATATTTCTTAAATAATGCTAGGTTTCAGAGCTTTTTTTAGGTCAAAAAAATTCATACTAAAAACAGAATTTTCTTCAAAAAAGTGCGTCAGGGCAATTTTTAACGCCATAAGAGCAATGAATTATACAAAATTCGGTTTTCCCTAAAATACTGAGATTCAGGACAACTCATCTAAGTCCGAAAATTAAAAATCTGTGATTCCTACGAAAAATCAGTTTTCTCGAAAAAAGCAGTCAGGGAATTTTAGAGCACTGGAAAAAAATGAGTTCAGACTTCCGATAAATAACTGAGAATACGTTTCAGGACAGCCCTACTGTCTGGAGTTGACCCTGAAGGGATGGCGGATCACGTCGCTGCGGTCGGACTGCATGGTCGGCGACTTCACGCGCCTCGACCTCTTCACCAAGTACTACGACTCGCTCTACGCTCTCATGGACACCATTTCGCCCGGATATCGGGCCCGTTTCGGCGAGAAACTCGCCCAGCGTCTCCGGCTTCTCCAGGTGATTTCGGAGCTCGGAAATAGGGAAGAAATTTGGGAATCTAAATGGCCAGGTGTCTCAACGGGCGTATCCCCGTGTTCTTTTAGACTATTTGAGTCTCACTTGGGCTAAAACGGGACAAAAACGGGTTGACCCAGCTGTACTTATTTTGAAAATTTGAGACCCAATTGTGCTAAAACGGGACTTCAGCTGTGTAGAAAATTCCAAAAGTTCCACCAGCTAAACTTATGCGTGCTCAATACGGGCACACCCGCTGATAGCCCAGCACGGCTTTCCACTCAAAATCCGATTATCAAAAGTGAAGGATATTTTTGAAGGCCGGCGAAGAAGATCAACTGGCGCCGTGCGGCAGCCTCAACTCGCCGCCGTACAGTCGCTCGTCGCCATCGTCGCGGTCGCCGTACTCGTCCAACGAGTCTCTTCCGATCGTGACGCCCGTCTCGACTCCGGCTGTCGACCCCGGCTTCGACAAGCCCCTCTTCTGATTCTGATTCTCAGTCTTCTGTTCCACTTGCTCTTTTAATAATCTTATCGACATCGCCAACGAATCTTCTGTTGGCGCGCTTCGGGCTGGCTTACTTACGTGTAAAGTGTCGTGATCGGTTGCTCGAGGGATTGGATGAGCTCTAGGAATGGCTCAAAAGTGTGCATTTTTGCGTCGAAGTGTATAAAAATCATCAGTGGTTGAAAATTTTCCTTAAAAATTGCTGCAAACAGCTCATTTCTCCTCGGGAATCGCTTCAAAACTACTCAAAATCCGAATTTTCAGCTTTTCTTATCGATTTTAGGTTGGAAATGAGGTTCAAAAGTCCAGAAGAATCTTTTTTACAACCTTAAAATTCTAGCCGCAGATCAGATTGATTTTACCGAGGTTTTATCCTAAAAAAAAATTCAGAAGCCGAAATTTAAATACTCTCGATTCCCTACAGTACCCGATCACAAAAGTATTAGCCAAGCTTTCTTTCCTCAAAAAAAAAAATCAGTTTTTCTTTGTAACATTTTCTTGTTTTTTTTTTCCATTTTGTACGAACCATTTTATTATTTCGCTTGTTATTGTTGTGGCTTCGTTTTTTTTGTCCTTGGCTTGTCCATACTTATACAGTTAGTTGTCGGAGGGACAAAAGAGGGCTTCGATTTTCCCGAAGTCTCCTCCCTCCTTTCATACTTATGGCTCTACAGAGCATCCTAGTATTCTTATTTTCTTATTTTTTCGCCAGTTTATCCTATTCGATTAATAAAATTGCGCCTCTGTTCAAGCCGATTCTTTATTTGCAAACAAATCTTGTTTTTTTAAAAAAAAAAAGTTTCTACAGAAAAATACAGAACACGTTGAAGCGGTTATTGGCACATTTTTTGGGACTATTCAGGGTTTTACGAAATATTATTAAAAATAAACAGAAAAGAGAAAGAAAATAAGGCACGAGATTTCAGTTCCGAAATTGACAAAATGAATTGCACCGGAGTTTCAATGAAAAAGGGTTTTGATTAGAGAAGATGGGGGGTTACGGTAGCCGGGATTCAGCTGTGTCCAACGAGTTGATTATTTCGTCTTGACGAGCCGCATCTGTTGGTGTTGGGTCTGGAAAAATGGGATTGATTAGTTTTTTATTGAATCGAGTTCTTTGAAATAGTTACTATATATACGTTTAACAAATTAATATTTTCATATTTGCTGTGAAGTTATTCAAACATTATTTTAAACCGAAAAGTGTTGATAGTGTTGATTAATTGAATCATATTCAAGCCTTTTCTTCAAATTTTTCAAATGTTTGGTGGGGAAAAGAAGAAAGTTTGAGGCAAAATATCTATTCTTTCAAACGAAAAAACCATATTTTTCAAGCTCTGTATCAAAAAAAAAAGCTTTTTCTTAATCCAAAACAAGTTTATATGTATTTTTATATTATATGGGAATCTTACTTTTATATTACTCCAGCGTTACTTTTGGTTATTTCAAGTTAGTTGAAGCCAAGTTAAAGCATTAAAAGCGAAAAAAAAACTCAATTTTTTCTAGGTGAAATGGCTCAAACATTAATGGTGTTCATTCCGAGAAAATCACAGAAAATTAGTCAAAATGCTCTATTTTTGCATTTTTTGAGCTTTGAAAGTTTGCTCCAGCGAGAAATTTACTTTGTACTCGCACCTTGGTAACGCAAACCGAACTTTTCTGAGCATTTCAAGTAACTTTTGAGGCCACTTAAGGGACCACTAGAAATGCGCAGAAAGTCACTGAGGCCCGAATAAGACTTTTGAATTTTTTAGGTCAAAAGACGACCAAATTTTGTTAAAAGAGAAGCTGAAAATAAGGGTTTTTCAAGAAGAAAGAACAGCAGCGAAACGGCACAGGCAAAGCCTCAAAAAGACCTTAAAAAGAAGATTCTAGAGCTTTCTAAAAAGGTGTCAAAAGTGTTGAGTATGTAAATAGGCGTGATTAATAGATCACGTGAGAGATTAGAAGGGTATAAAAGAGCCTGAATTCCTCAGAATATATTCCTCGGACCGTCTCGACTCCTCCCCTGGTGCTCCGCTCCCCTCCGACGACGACTAGCCGAGCTCAAACCCCTCATCCGAATATAGGCAATAAAGAGTGGGGGTGCCACTCCGTTCCGTCTTCCTAGGCACACAGAAAAGTGGCGAGCATCACTTTTGTATATATTTCTGTGAAGACGGAACGGAGTGACACCCATTTCTGTATTATATTCGTCGGGTCCGGATTGGCTGGTCGTTTTGGAGCAGCGACGGCGGAGCTAGCGAGAAGTCGAGACGGTTGATTATAGTCTTTGGCACAGACTCTTATTCCTTTATTTTCTCCTTTTTCACCTATTTCCTAATTGAAAGGTCCTTTTCATAAGCCTTCTCTCCAAAACCTTCCGGACCTTGCCCGTGGATAGCATAGTGAGGAAGCGTCAAGCAATTTACATTCAGCCGTGTTTCAGGCGTGGATATGGCCCATGCGGAGACTATTCACCGGCGTTTGTCCATTTTGCTGCTGCTGGGTCGTCGAGGAAGACGTGGTCGTCGTGGTCGTCGTGACGGTCGTCGAGGAGGCTTCCACCTGAAATGGTGAAGTGCTGGGTGGTGGGAAAGAAGAGAGGAAGGAAAAGTTCATGCCGTGTTCAAGGTAATTTCGGTGGTTTAAAAATAAGTTTTCTTCGTTGGATCTGATTAAGTCATACCATCCCGATGTTGCGAAAAATAAACAAATTGATTGATTGAAGCGAAATCGACATTTCGGGAGCCGTTAGAGAAAAAAAAACGGTTGGGGGAGTTTTTTTTGTTTGGTTTACAAAGATATATAGACTTCACGCAACAATTCAAAAATTTGCTTACTTGATTTCAAAAAATTTGAAAAATTCAATTTTTGGCGTAAAAATCGCCATTTCGTTGTAAGACCCTCGATTCCCGGAAATCCGACTTTGCGTTAAATTTTGAAATCGCTTTTTTAAAATTTCTATGAACACGGCATCAGAAAACCCAGACATCGCGAGGCCCAAAAACGAACCGTAGACAAGCCTAAGTGGTCACTCAAGGGCAGCCTTTTTCCCTACAGAGATCACTTAGGGTTTTTCCCCACGTTGTCTGAGCAAGAGGTGTGTTAAAAAAGTTCTCAGGAAAGGTAATTTTCATTTTTTTTTTTAATTCTTTTTTTTTGCGTCCTTGGCAGCTGTAAATGAACCACTACAAATAAACATTTAAATCCGAAAATTTAAACCTCTGATGGAAGAAAGAGTACATGCGGATATAAAAGATTTTTGTTTTCTTTTTAAAAAAATCCATTTTTCGAACGAGAAAAAGAAAACGAACCTCAGCAGGGTTGTACTGCGTTTCGATCTCGCCGCTCGACTGGACAACTGAAAATTTATTATTTTTAATCAAAATAATGTTTCTGGGTTAGTCAAACTGAAAAATGAGTAAAGAAAGGAAAAATTGTTAATGAGAAGGGAAGAAAAAAAAATATTTAAATCAATCATTTGTCAAGAATCTCTCAATTTACAAAAAATTTCGAAAATGCGTCTATTTTTTTCTGTTAAAAATTTTTTTTTGATTTTTTTCAAAATCTATCTTTTTTTAAAGTTTACTTTCGGTTACATGAGATGAACTAAAAAAACGGTTTATATTTTTCTCAAACTTTTTGAAAAAAATATACTTCAAATTAAAGGAAAAATACCGATTCAGAAGTTTTTTTCCTTCGAAATTTTTAAAGGAAAATTCACAAGCAAAAAAATAATTTTTTTCATTACCTTGAAGGTCAACTTCTTCACTGATAATTATCACTAGTTTTTCCACATTCCCAGTCATTTTCTACCCTTTTTTTCAAAGTCAAGCTCCATCCCGGGCTCACCCTGGTACTGTGGCGGCGGTGGGGGCCACTGGCGCTCGATCTTCTTGGTCGGGATGTGCTTCTGGAGCAACTCGACCTGCTCGCGCTCGTGCGCCTCGGACTCCGGGGGCGGCCACTGGACGACCGGCATGTGTTGGGGTCCTGCAAGCGGGGAACACATGGGTAAAGCTTTCGGTTTTGGTTGCAAAAAAAAACAGGCATTTCGTATGTTCCTTTCGGGTATTTTATTGGAGGCTAAAGCTCTCAAGTTCGGAAAGATGTACAGGGTGACAAGTAAATATTGAAACGTTATAACTTTCTCAAAAGTCAACCAAACACCACCAAACTTGGAACAAATTTTATTCATACAATATAGAAACAAAATTCAAGAATAGTTTTCAAAACGTCCTCCTTTAGCTTTGATAACGGCCTTCAGTCTCTTCGGATACGCATCGATCACGGCACGAGGGTAGTTGTCGTCGATTTCGTCGCATTTCTTGATGAGCGCGGTCTTCAGAGCTTTGATACTTGGGTAGTTCTTAGAAGAGACCTTCTCGGTCAGATATATCCACACGGCATAGTCCATCGGGTTGAGGTCGGGCGAGGAAGCAGGCCAATCAGCAGCCGAGATGAACTCGGAAAATTGGCGCGACAACACTCTTGAGTCCCTTTGGCACGATGAGCGGGGGCGCCGTCTTGCTGGAAGGTCCATGGTCGGTTTCCGTAGTGAGAATTGGCTCAGGGCAACACCCTCAACTTTAAAATCTACTCCCTGTAGTATACTTGGTTCACTTTGACTCCAGGATCCACAAAAATCAGCGGAGTTTTGTCGTCAGCGGTAATTCCGGAAAAAACCATCACGGAAGCCGGAGACGAAGTTTTATTCAGATTTTTTTCTTTTTCACAGGCACTCTGATAGTCAGTAGCGATGATCGGATGATTTTGGCCGTTCTTGTTCTGCTCCACAGTGAAGATTTTCTCGTCGGTAAATAGCGTCGTCAGATGCGAGCCATCTTTCGTGCCAGCGAGCAGCTTTCGAGCCTTTTTCATCCGCAATGTCATGTTTTTTTGATTGAGGAAGGCTCCTTTCTGCATACGGTAGGGAATCATCTTCAGCTTGTCCTTGACAATAGTTCTCATCGATTCTCGACTCATTTCGTATTCTTTTGACATCTTTCTCATGCTTCTTTCCGGAGTGCGTCTGATTTTCTCTCGAACGGCTTTGACTGCTTCTGGAGTCGTGACGGTGACTGGAAATCCCCTTCTTTGGATGTCATCTGAAGTACCGAGATGCCGATAGCGTTGTGCAGTTCGAAAAACGAGAGCACGAGACACTTTCAGCTTTTTAACGATCTCTGAATTCGTCATTCAGCTTTTGACACAATCAATGATTGCGGTACGGTACGGAGATGGGGCCACCATTACCTGAAAACTGAAAAGTGTGAGCTGTAACTTCAAAAACATGATAAGTGAGCATGAATGAACGAAATAAACAAAAAAATTCAATGGCCAGTCCTTTGTGCAAAAAGCAGCGATCAAACAAAAAACGGTTTCAATATTTACTTGTCACCCTGTACTTAAAAATTCCAAAGTGGTCCCTGAAGGGGTTTGTGGAAAAACAGCCCCTATAGGGGACTAAATAGTGCTCCCTAAAGGGCTAAAATTTACGTGGTCCCTACATGGTTGAAAAACTACTCATTTCTGACCAAGGGATCTTTTTTTCGGCTATTTTATGGTAGACTAAAACTCAAGTTGGGTAAAACACTTAGGAACGCCAAAGTGGTCCCTAGAGGGCTTTTGAAAAAAAACAGCCCCTATATGGGGCAGTATAGTGCTCCCTAGAGGGCTAAATTTTGGATGGCCCTAAATGGTTGAAAAACTACCCAAGTTTCACCAAGGGATGTTCGTTTCGGCTATTTTTATTTGAAACTAAAGCTCTCAAGTTAGGAAAGATGGTGGTACTTAAAAACGCCAAAGTGGTCCCTAAAGGGGTTTGTGGAAAAACAGCCCTATAGGGGACAAAATAGGGGTCCCTAAAGGGCTAAAATTCAGGTGGTACCTACTTTCATTTTTATGGAATACTAAACTCTCAAGTTGGGTAGGACACCTAGGAGCGACAGAGTGATCCCTAAAGGGATAAACATTGGGTGACCTTGGAAAAACGGCAGGGTAATGATTGTTTAAAGTCTGCTTCAACCTTAACCTAGATTTGAAACAGAGATCTACAGAGATTCGAAAAGTCGCATATTTAAACATATAAAATGGCGCAACTCGTCTTGAGTCGGATGCAGGCTCTATTTTCAGTTAAAACGCCAAGGAACCTTCTGCCCTGGCTTTTAAAGATTAGGCTTCGGAAAAACGAGTATTTTTGAACTAAACATTAACAGGATCATATCCGTTCGCAGACAACGAGTACCACGTTCATTTGAGACATTCTTCAACACGGACACCTTTGCTCACCTGAATAATCGGACAGGGAACTGTCGTTCTCCGGCGGCGGCCAGACGCGGTTGATTCGGGAAGTTTTGCCCCAGACGGCCTGTTTCGTGATTCCGTTCTGGTCTTGTTGGATCCAGGCGCCGTCGTCGTTCGCCTTCACCACGAGGACTTGGTGTCTGCAGAAAAATGTTCTTGGAATACCGTATGGGTCATTAATTCCTCGAAAAACCTTTCTCCACTTTTTCACAAGGATTTTGAAGCTAAAAGTGTTAAAAATCGTATTCAACCGCCTTCAAGTTATGACATCTCTCAAGATCAAACTACGTACAAAACTTGAAACATGTGTTCCAAACGTCTCCAAAAAGAAGAAAAAACGCTAAGAGGAGTCGAACCCTCGACCTTTTCACCAGAGACGGCGCTCTTTAGCCACTCACCCTTCTTTGACGTTTTCGTCTTGCGGCGGTGGCCATACGGCCGAGATTCGGGCGGGCCGGTAGAGGCTTCGTTGCAGCTCGGTTTGATCCTGGAAAGATAAAAAAATCTATATTTTTTTGATTTAAAAATAGAAGATTCGATGTTTCATCTTTTTAGAGAAGAAATTTGCTTTTTTTTCTTGTGAAAAAATTAATTTTTCCCGGCTGAAACAACTTTGAAAGTTGAGTAGGAGCCTTCAAAGTCAAAGATGATCAAAATTAGGTTGAAAGGGACATTCTGAGATTCTGACTCATTTTTCTCGAAAATCAGCGGCTTTTCAGATACCTTTGAGATGTTTATTCAGTACATGAAAAAATAATTTGACCGATTTTTTTGTGAATTCCGGCCTTGAAAAAATTCATATTCTTGGTGAGATGGAAAAAGTTTTTTTAAGGAATAGCGCAGCAGGTTAGGTGCTTGTCTACGGCCCACAGGGTCACAAGTTCAATCCCCTGTCCAACCAAGTGTTCAAGAAATGTTGGTAGTAAGTAACCACGGAGAGGGATCGAACTGGCGACCCTGTAAACCGCAGAAAGACACACAACCTGTTGCTCAACTTTGTGCCCCATATTGCTCATATTACCAGCATAAAAGTATCAATGGAGCACACATCCTTGAATCAAGTTGTTTTGCGCCTCGAAATGCTCCAAAACTCAAACCACACCCTTTCCAAACCGTTCTTTAGTCTCGAAAATCAACAAACAGTGTCTCTAATCGTCTCGAAACTCTAATCACCAACGTCAACACCTCTTTTCTCTCTCTTCGTGTGGAAAAAAGAAGAATTTCGAGGAGGCGATATTTTTCTCGTCAAGCTCCGGAAAAACAGACGCGGCTGTTCTTTTCTCTCTCAGTTGGATCCAGAAAACGATTTTTGATTGACTTATAAATTACTGAACTCGAAAAATGAGGGGGTTGACACGGTGAAAAATAAATATCAAATGGGAAAATAAGAGGCGTTCGGATAGAAAAAAATCCTTGTGAAAATTGCAATCTCTACATTTTTTTCTGTTTCGGAGGCTTCAAAATTCACAAAAAAAGACAAAATGTGACGTCATCATTCACATTTTATGACGTCATGCAGAAAAAAAAAAATTGAAAGCCTCAGAACTCCGGGAATTACGTCATAAGCAGAAAATGAAAAAAAAAAAGTAAAATTGAAAAAATCTTAATTTTACATGGAAAAATTCCAAATATTCGTATATTTTACTAAGTGACGTCATTGTTTCCTATTTTATGACGTCATGCAAAAAAAAAGCTGAAGGAAACTTCCAGCAGGAAGGTCATAGAAAAAACAAAAAAAACCAACTTCTACATGAAAAAATCCGGAATTTTCGTATATTATCCTCAATGACGTCTCTATTCCCATTCAATGACGTCATAAAAATACCTGATTAACTGGCACCCATTCCTGGGCCTTTGTCCTCGGGGCTGCCGTCAGTTCAAACTTCTCCTCCTCGGGGAATTCGTTCCATTTCACCTTTTGGTAACTCGCCGGCTGTGCTACGATCGTTTTCTGGAAATTATTGATTGATTTCGGGAATTTTAAATAATTGATTGATTACCTGAACTTCCTTCTCGGTGAGTTCGGGAATCGCGATGCGGCCGACCTGCGGCTGCTGAATTTCGACCGGCACACGCTTCTGTGTCTGCCAGCACGCGTCGTCCTGGAAATGATAACGTTAGGAACTATGAGCTAACATGAGCAATATGATGACGTTCTTTGCTTTTTTTTTACTCATTTTCCCGACTTCTGAAATGACTTTTTTTTGGAGTTGTTTCCAATTTTTTTTTTAACCCTTGAGTGATCACTTAAAAGACATTTAGATTTTTCTTGAAAATTATCAAAAAAATTAATATTTTGCGACTAAAAACCCCTTTTTTTAAATGGATTTTTTTCTGATTATTTTTTTCCTTCTAGTCGTAAATGTCCTCCCTAAAATGTCAAGTCAGCCTTTTATGGCCCTTATCAAATGTCAAACTACCCTCGAATGTAAATAATCAGTTTAGCTTCCCGGAAAAGGAAAATTCGAGAATTTGGAGAAAAAAATCTAAAAAAATTGTTAATATTTCTTCATTTTTCTCATCCAATTACGACTTCTTTCTTTCATTTTAACTGAAAAACTCGAGTTATAAACCGATTAATCAATAAAAAAATGAAGTAAAATAAAAAAATAAATATATAAAAAAATCCCTCAAATTGGTTCATTTTTTTCCTGGAATTTATTTTTATGATCCATAAATATTATAATAGAATTATGAGGCCTACAAGATGGAAAATAACCTTTCAAATTTCAAATTTAATGAAGATAATTCATTCCTTCGAAAATTTGTGAGGAGAAGCAACTCATCGAAGGAATGAATTGGAAATTTTTTTTATTCTTTTTTAAATTTTATTGATTTTGCAATTTAAGAAAAATTTAGGCAATCGTAAGTTTCAATTCCGTAGAAAATTCGAAATTCAAAATGAGGTAATTCTGGGAATTTATACCAGTCAAGAAACACTATTATCAGCTATAAATTACCATAAGAGCGGCGGATTTTTTGCCGAAATCAGCCGTGTTGAGATACGGCGCTTGCTGATGGGCGAGCATCCGAAAAAAAGAAAAGAAAATATTCTCATTATTCTAAGCAAACGAGAACGAACGAAAAACGGAAAAATGACTTTGGAACTGCAGAAAAAACGGGAAGAAATGCAAATGAGTCTCTCGCCGTGAGGACGGATTCTTCTTCGGGAACACAAATCCTGGAATTTGGCCTTCCGATAAGATTTTTGCTGTGTTTTTGGGTGAGAAAAGATGAAGATTAAGGGTTCTCAAAGGAATTTTCCTTGAAAATATACACAAGTTGTTGTTCTTTTCTTTCGACTAGAAAATAATACTTTTTTGAGGGTCCCAAGTGGTTATTTTCCATTTCCTGGTACAGATGATGGATGGCAGATATTTCTTTGAAAATTAAAGGGTTCAAGGTTGATTTCAAGTCGAAAAATGATGTATATAGCAAAAAAGGTCAAAAAAGCAACATTTTTTCTTTTTAGGAACTGGAATTTCGTTAAAAATTGACATTCTGAGTCATTCTAGGGATGACTTGAGGGTTCTGAGGCCGCTAAAGTGGTCACTAGAAAGTCCGGGCAGATGTTACGATCTTCATTTCAAAATTTTTGGGATCTTTGACGTCTGAGGATATTCTGGCTCAAAAAAGCCTCACACAAAAGATCAGGGCCGCATTTGGAATGGCTCGAAGCTCAAAAATGCCACGTTTTTTTTTCTATCAAGCTCGAGCCTTTCCAAATGCCACCACGGACTTTAAAATCGACAATCTCATTTTTTTCAAGTTTCTTTTAACTAACTTTTCTTATCAGAAACTGAATTTCGTGAAAAATGGACATTTCTGAGCCATTCTAGGGATCCCTTGAGGGTTTTGGCGCCGCTAAAGTGGTCACTAGAACGTCCGGTTCCAAGGTCCGAGCGGAAACTCAAATTTTTTAGAATCTTTGACGTCTGAGGATATTTTGGCTTGGATGAACCTTACAGAAAGATCAGGGCCGCATTTGGAATGGCTCGAAGCTCAAAAATGCCACGTTTTTTTTTCTATCAAGCTCGAGCCATTCCAAATGCGACCACGATTTTTCAATTCGACTATCTCATTTTTTTTAAGTTCCCTTTAACTCTCCCATCTTCCAAGTAAAATCATGAGCCCTAACTATATAACCCGAGCTTTTCCCAAAAGCCAACTGTTACCTATAAATCAGAGGTGGCAAAAAGAAGGGTTAGAGAAATCAAAAGTCGTTTGCAAGGAGGGAAAAGGTGGGGCAGGTATTAAAACGATCGTTCCGGGGACTTTTTCAACGGATTTTTGTGTAAAGTCTTGGGGAAAAATTGGCCGCCGAGGAGGGCGGAAATATATACTCGAAGCCGGGTCGGGGGCAGCTGTATGATTCTACTTTTTTTGTTTGAAGTTTTTCAGCGGGAAATTCTAAATTTAGGTACAGTGGAGCAAAAAAGAAATTAGCAAGAAAGGGTAAAATTCAGTTAAATTAATGAAGTGAAACAGGAAATTAAGGCAAGTTAAGGAAATTCAAAAAAATTGTTCAGAGTTTTAAAGAAAAAAATGGAAAGCTTCAAAATTCGATGAATAAATGGAAAATATTGAATCTTTTCATTTCTCTCATGACCTTTTAAGAAAAAAAAAAGATAAATATTTAGATGTTCCTTCCAAATCTTCAGAAAGCTTTCCGAAACCTGAGAAAACCTGATTTCCTTTCATTTTACCATGTTTTTTGATTTCTTGCAAGGAAAATTTCCTCTTTGGATTTGGAGCAAACAAAAAAAAGGGAAAAATGTTCTCTTTTTGAAAACATTTTTTCGAAGAGTCAAAGAAGCGAAAGTCGGTTTGGGTCGGGCGCCAGCCATTCCTAACGAATTAATGTGCTTTTAAGCTCAAATAACGATTATGAAAAACGCAAAAACGAACAATTATTGAAAAATTCAGAAAATGATGACGAATTAGCTCAAAAAGTAACCTTATCTCGATAAAGTTCAGAAGAGTCATTAATTGTGGTCTGAAGGGACGATGAAGTCATCCAGGTAATTACCCTTCGCTAATTAAATTCGTTAATTAGAAAGGTAAAGAGAATATTATGAAAAGTCTCCTGAATCATTAATTAATTAAAAAGCCTAGTTTCATAGCAAGAACGAAAAAAAAAGTCATTTCCAAAATTTGAAACCAACCGGAAACGTATCCTATTCCATTAGATTTCTAAAAAAGTAGCGATTCAAGATCAGAAAAACCAGAAGAATTCGTGCAATTACGAAAAAGTTCTATTGAATAAAGGACAATTAAATGAAGGGCAAAAAAATTGAAAAAAACCAAAAAAAATTTTTTTCGAAAAAGTCAATTTTTCTAGGGCTATCTTGTACCGTAAAGCTTCGAAAAATCACCATGTTTTCTCAAAATAATTGAAAAAATCTCCAAGAAGTCTTTGTGGAAGATAAAATCCTTCTTCTTATTGGATATGCCAAGAAAGAACTCCTCAAATCCAAAAACTCGGAAATAAAGTTTCAGGCACCAGACTCTAGCGGGCAAAAAATTCAAAACCAACCGGAAACGTATCTTTTTCCTCAAAAAAATTTGATTCGAAACGACGAAATAAAGACACGCCTGAGGGCAAATAGAAGAAGAAAGAATGGAAGAAAACGAGGGCTCGATGACATTTTTCCCAAGACCTCGGGAACGATCGGAAAACGTTTTTGAGGCCGTTTTTATTGCGTCCTTTTTTGAATTGGATGCGAAAAAAGGGAAGAGCAAAGGTTGCTCCAATGTGATCGACGCTTTTATTCGTTTGTTTTCGAGACCAAATGGCTTGGTTTCAATCGGATTAAAGTGGGATTGGTAACTTTCGACGTGGCTCTGGACGTCTAGTTTGGACCCTGAAGAATTTTCGAATTGATGTTTGAGCCCTAGAGAATTTTTGAATCAGAGTATGAACCAAAAATAACACGGTAAGGCAAAATTTGAACCCTAAAGATTTTTGGAATCAAATTTTGAATCTCAAAGTATTTTTAAATTAAAACTTGAACCCTAAATAATTTTTTTAAAGAAATATCAGAACTCCTTTTTTTCGGCCAAACCGGTAAAAAAATTTTTTTCTGGGTTTGAAATCCTGCAAAACAATTTTTTTCAAAAAAATCATTAATGAAAAAAATTAAAAAAAAGCATGAAAAAAATATTATATTCAAAAAGGTCTTGAGATGAAAAAAATTACAGTACTTCTTTAAGGCCTTGAGAGCCACTTTTTTTGAGCATACTATAGTATTTTTTTAACTAAAAACTGCCTGAAAAATACGAAACTGAACTTTTTTTGTTATAATTAAACAGCCTCGGGGCATGATGAAGCTCAAAAAAATATCCCAAAGCGGAAAAACCAAAAATGTATATATTTTTTTCTGATCTTCAATAAGTTCTTTCAAGTATCAAATAAGCCTAATGAAGAAAAAACGGTCTAAAAATCTTGAAAAACTTCAGAGAAAAAAACTGAGAAAATTCCGGAAGAAAATGGACCTAAAGGCGATTTTGAGATTTTCGCTCAGCTTATAGTCTCTGACTCATCAATTTTTTATCTCTTAGCCAAAAAAACCAATTTTATCCGCTCAAGTAAGTGAAAGTAGTTATCCAAAAAATTTCGATTCAGATGAAATTTCAAGCTTCATCCTGACTAATCAATGAGCCATTCGGAACACTTGAAAGCTCGAAAAATAAATAAAAACGAAGCAGAAACAGGGGAAAAAAGCGGCGAGAGAGTGGGTTGTGTTGTAATTGTTTCGTGTGCGACGGACCATTTGCCTCGGGGCCCTTGACCTCGTCGACTCCGCCCACTCGTGCAGAGATTAGCCGTGGGGCGCGATTACCGACGCCGCGCTTTAAGCCGCTCTTTTCCGCCATTTCGTTTAGTTTTGAAGGAAGTTCCTAAGCAGGGGGGCTTTGCATTGATGGGATGCAGCTTGCCGGAGATCACAAGTTTTTGGGAGCGAAAAAAAAAAAGAAAAATTGGGAAGAATTGTAATTTTTTCGATTTCTGGAATTTTGAGCTCGGAAAAGAAGTTGAAAAAACGGATAAGGATTTATATATAAATGTCCATTTAATCTCAAAAAGTCTCAAAAAAATTTTTTTGAATCAAATTTTTGCAAAAAAAGGTCATTTAAAATGAGTCAGATATTGAACAGTTAAAAAAAGAAAAGAAAAAAAAGGCTTTTTTTTTCAATTTCCTTATCAAATAAAGCTTCATAAGAAACGTATCAAAACATTTTTTTTCAGAATACAAATTCAGAAAAGACAAAAAAAGCTACCAATAAAAATTAAAACAGGCTCAAATAACCGAAAATTCAACTTCAAAACCATCCAAAGAAGCTCCGTCGGGACGTTCCGATTCGACAGAAAACCCATGGAAACCCAGAATTTAATGTCCCGCATCAACTTCCTTATCAAAGAAAAAGTCATTAAAAAAGTGTCTTCTCGGTATCATTAAAAAGTTGGGCAGGGGAAAAAAATAACATTTCACGCTTCCTTGTGCTCTGACGAATTGAAACAGTGATTCACAGGGTTTTTTGTGGAAAAAACACATTTTTTGATTTTTTGAACGTTTCCTTGATAAAGACGGATTTTTTTTTTGAAATGAAAGACATGAAAAAAATCGGAAATTGTTCTTATTTAATTCTGATAAATTGGATCTTTACATTTCAAGATTTATTTTTTTGAAAAATGTTTTTTTGATTAATTCTGAAAATCGCTATCTTCGATTAAAATAATAGAAAAAAATTTAAAACCTCTGAAAAATTTGAACTATTTGCCGATCTAAAAAGCCTAAAAAAAATGAAGAAAATATAAAAACCTCAAACTCTGTACAGAAATTGAGCTATCCCCGATCGAAAGCTTATAAAATGAAGAAAATAAGATTCTCGTTATCCTTGAACTTTAGCCAAAAATAAATTCCACGCTTCTTCGCAATTTCATCCAAAATAGTGAGTCACGATTGGAAAAAGAACATTGTTCCGAAAAAAAGAAAAGCGTGGGCTTCGAAATGTGAATATTTCAAGAGCCCTTTTCGGTCACGCAACAAAAATAACACGTTTTTTGTTCTAGTCTTTGCATTTTTAGTGCAACGAAGTGTGGGTGGGGCATGATACGTTTTGGTTTTTTGGACTTTTTTTTTTTTGGAAAAAGGCCAGCTTTTCCAGGAGTATGAGATGAGCTGGATATTGGGAATGATTGAGCGAAAAAAATATTACGAAAAAAATTGATATATTAATCGTAAAGTAAGGAACGAAATTCCGGTTTATAAACTAGATGAAATGATTTTTCGATTTGCGACCGACTTGAAACGGTTTTCGCTCAACAATATGCTTTATCAGTAGAATAATTGGCTAACTATAAATGAGCTATAGACCGAGATCTAGTCGCAAAAAGACTTAGAAAAAAAATTATTTAAATAAAAAACTTGAAATTTGAAGTCTTTTCCAGTAAAAAAAAATCAAAAAAAAAATTTTTTTTTCATGATAAAATTTTTTTTCATGATAACTTCCGTAGATGGCTTTAATGGCATCTATTACACTACTGGCAAAATTTTTAAGGGACCACTTAAGGGTTTCGACCTTCTAGTAGTCACTTTAGTGTCCTCTCCAAGTAGTCTTTAAGGAACCCCTTAAGTGACCACTAAAAATCTTGCCAGTACAAGATTAAAAATAAGAAAAATATCGAAAAGACAAAAAAAGTATGACTCAAAGGAAAAGCTTCCTCCCCTCCCAGCCAATCTTATTTATACCAAAGACTCTGGAAAACAGAAAAATCAAGCAAAAACCACTACGTCAAGGAATCTTGAACGTAATAATCCAATCATATGAATGTATACAGCAGAATATAGCAATAAATTTTCATTCGAAAACAAATTTCGAGCAGTAATTCGACTTCCCTCGCTCGACGAGCTTTCAAAGTTAAATTTAGCGTTAAAGATCAACGTTGACGTCGTTTCCAAAGTGTTTCCGGCGCAATTTCCGAACTCGCCGAGCACTGAATGGCTCCCAGAAACTTCTTTTTTGAGCTTTTCAAAAGGTTCTTTGAAAAAAAAAACGCATGAAAAGCTCAAAAAACGGCTTTTTTGGGGTTTTCAAAAGGTTCTTTGAAGGAATTTGCAAAGAAAAGCTCAAAAAACTGGTCTTTTCTTAGGCTTTTTACAAGGTCCTATGAAAGTCTTTTGAACCAGAAAGCTCAAAGAAAAGCCTTATCTGTCAAAAAAAAAACTTCTACGTCTTTAAAGAAAAGGGAAAGGAATATCCGGATTGTTCGGAATGAATAAAAAACGATATTTCCGATCGTTTACATGCAATTGCTCTGAAGAAAAGAAAGAAATATTTACATGAAGCTTCGTTTTTTTTCCTGGCTCAAAAAGGGATGTTCCAAAACGTGTCTTTTTTTATTAAATTACTTTTTTTGGAGAGCGTCAATGACCAAAGATAATTAGAGAGGCTCCAGAATTATGCGAAAAATAGATAGAGTTTGTTCTTCTTCTCTTTCGGGCCTAAACAGAACTGAAAAAAATTTTTTCTTTTTAAGAAAATCTTTTTAAGCTTGGAAGGTCGCATTTAAAATTCCTGATTTGAAGCGCAACCGACCTGAAATGACTTTCGCGCAAGGGATCTATCGGAACAAAGTAACAGATACTCTTCACACCGCAACGCTCTGAGCCATTACATGTAAGAAAAAAAAACTACTTCCCAATTGCCCAGGAGCTTTATGAAACTAATAACATTTTTAAGAAATAAATTCGCAAAAAATAAGGAAAAAGCTGAACTGATTTGAAAATTTCCCTATGAGGAACAAGTTCCCGGTTAACGGGAGCAAAGCTGCAAACGGGCCCCGGGTAGACCCGCGGTTCGACGCAGACGTCCCTGGGGACCCTGAAATGCAAATTTGAAAAATTTGGAACCGAATGATTTTTTTAAATTCTTGTTCAATTCAAAACATTTCTTTTACTTATTTATTGAAACCGAAAAAGTAGCGCAAAAAAATCATTTTTTTCAAAACTATGAATCGTAAATTTTGAGAAAACACTTTTTTTACAATTTTCAAATCACTAAGAAAAAAATAGGCCTAAAAATTTTTCCAGTTACATATATATATAAATTAGAACTTTTGAAATTTTTCGCAAAAAAATAGGAACGAAAAATTCAAAAATTTTTCAAGAAAAAAATCACAAATACCTCACAACTTATATCTTATTTTTTTCTGGTATAAATTGTTCCCTTCACATCTTCAACATTATAGAACAGCTCAAAAAAATATTTATATTTCGGGTCCCGTCCTTTGGTTCTCATATTAATTAATGAAGATGCCTTTCCACTCTAAAATTATACAACCAAAATATATTTACGGGTTTGTTTACGGAGATTGGAGGCTCATAAACCGCTGGAAATCTAATTAATGGATGAGTTATTTTCCGCAATAACGTCACCAAAAAAAGAAACAAAATTTTTTTGAGTTAACTTTCCTTTTTTCAGAGTTTTCTCGGCTTTGAAAAGCTGGAAAATGACTAGAAACAAAATAAAAATGATGAAAAATGTGAATGAAAGTAGATTTTTCAATCATGTTTCTGACAGGAATAAAAATGCGGTTTAGACACATTTTTATTAAAAAATAAGTTTGTTCTCTGAAAAGGCAATAGAACAACTGAACTCAAGAGGCGTCTTATTTAAATTTTATGTGAACCAATTATTAGAAAAAAAAATATAGTAACAGTAAATTAAGAAGCTGAAACAGGCAAGTCGATTAAAAAAAATCTGCCATTTTCTTGAGCTCTTGTTTTTAGAAAAAATCTCGTTTGTTTAGGATACTATGAAAATAGGATCTACTTCGTTGAATTTACATATTTTTTTCTAATCATATATTCTTAACTTTTTTTCGAAAAAAATTATTTTTCTTAAAAACACTTTTTCAGCTCCTGTATTTTTATCAACCTATCGATTGATTTGAATATTTTTTTTTTTTTTTAACCTCGAAGTTTAAAAAGTTATCTATTGATTGGAATGCCGTAATTTTTACTCATTTTTTTCTCATTACCTCAAATTTTCAAGAACTATCGATTGATCCTCATCAAATGAATTTATCGATTAATTAAAAATACTGTAATGACTCATCGACCTCCTGTCTTCAAGAAAAAAACTACAGACTGATCAGGATACTGTAAATACAGTACTTTCTGGTTCAAATAGACACTTCTAATGATACAGACTTCATTACCTTGACAGGCTGTTTCTCTTATAAACCTTTAATTTTTCAAAAAAATTATCGATTGATCCTCGTCAAATGAATTTATCGATTAATTAGGTTCCTGTAATGACTCATCAACCTCCTGATTTCCAAAAAAGAAAAACAAATCGATTAATTTTAAAAGTTAGGTTACTGTAATGACTCATCAACCTGGCTTTTTTTCAAAGAATTATCGATTGATTTGATTCTTTTTTTCTCATCGAAACCTAGTAATCCAAAAATTTATCAATTTTTTTCAGATTACTGTAATGACTCATTGACCTCCTGCTTTCAAAAAAATCGATTGACTTAAAACTTTTATTAATTATCGAAAGCTACTAAATCAAAAAAATAACTTATCAATTGTTCCAATAACTGTAATGACTCATAAACCTCCTAATATCAAAAAAAAAAAAAGAATCGATTTATTTTAAAAGTTAGCTTACTATAATGACTTATCAACCTTCTGTTGTCAAAAAAACTATCGATTGATTTGATTTCTTTTTTTCTCATCAAAACCTATCATTCCAGAAAGAACTCATACATTTTTCAGATAACTGTAATGACTCATCAACCTCCTAATTTTCAAAAAAAAAAAGCAATCGATTGATTTCGGATACCTGAAGGATGACGGCGGCGGGTCCTCGTTCACGTCCCATGTCGGGCTGTCGTTGGCGGATCTGCGCGTCGTTCTCCCAGCGCCGGGCGCCCTCGAGTTGTCCCGCCTTCGGCGCCGCCTACACCATCCCATCAGTCAGCTTTCTTTTTTTTTGCAACTTTTGCTTTTCCACCCGTTCGCTCTTTACAATGAGACAGACGGGCGGATTGCTTGCACACACAGGTAAATTGGATGATCAGGTAAGCTGGGACTGGTTTTCGCTGAGCTATTCGATGAGTTTTTCTCTTTTTGAAGGTTGTGAAATATCTGCTTTTTGTCTAACAAGGGAGTTCATTTTGTTTTTTGGGATTTTCCTGAAAATTGGCCTGAACACTCCTTGAACTATCAGATGATGATCTTGAAGGTCCCGATCCGCACAGCTTTCTAGTTTCCAAGAAATAAGGGCTCCAAACCTCAAAATGGCCTATTTTTACTTTATTTGAGGTTTCCCTTCTTGAAAACTAGGAATTCGTGCAGATTGAGACTTTCAGGATCTTCTTTTGGTGCTTCAAGGAGTATCCTGGCCAATTTTCAAGTAAATCCCAACCGTAAAGTTAAAAGCCCTTCTTTGTAAAGGAAGGTGAGATTTTCTATCATTTTTTTAGTAACCTATGTTTTTTTAAAAAAATGAGCGAATATTGCCCAAATCTCGACTTAAAATGAAAAAAATAGAAACTGAAAAAAATCATCTAGGAAAGATCTGTTTTTTTCTTGAAGAAAATAAACTTTTTTTGGTTTTTCAAAACGAGAAAAAAATTCGTCAGAAGCTCATTTTTTTGAAGAAAAAAATATCCTTAGCTTGGTTCCGTTTCAACATTTCCGAAGCTCTTTTTGAAAGAATATAGGTAAATTGGCTGAGTATACATGTTTTTTTGAGCTCTGATTTTTAAAAAACGCGCGAGATTTGTCAATAGAGATATTACCACCTAGGATGTTCGAATTCGCGAAAATCTCGATTCACGTTTAAAAAAGGCATGAATTTTCAAAGTTCATCTCTGAAAAATATGTTTTTCATGTCAGAGAAAGGTAAGTCAGGTTTCGTTGAGCTATGATTTTCTCAGATGCACAAGGTTCTTCATTAGCTCAATTTATAAGGGAAAGGTCCTTTTGGATGTCTTGAATATCGCGAAAAATATTATTTATGTGAATATAAAAAAAATGATCTATAGGCATAGATTTTTTTCTTTGCGAACCGTGCTATTGAAATTCAGAATCTCATCAGAAATCTTCTAACTATTGAAAAAAATGTATCGGTGAGACTTTTTGAAGAAATTTTTTTCTGAATTTTTTAAAGTTGAAAGAGCGCAGGTTTATAGAGAAATAATCATCTTATCCGATATCTTATGTAAAACTTTCAGCCTACCTTATTCAAAAAACTGGGTAATTTTCTCAAAAATAACTAAAAAGAGGACTCATGGCCAGCTGTTACTCATACCTTTCCAAGAACTTAAAATTCCCTTTGAAAAGCTGAAAATTAGGAGATTTCTGGTGAGCTATCGGACGAGATTTCGAAGTCCGCGCAGTCTGTCAACAGCACGGTTCGAAGGGAAAAGCCTATCTCTCCATGTCAAAAACAAAATTTTTTCAATTGTTTGCACGAAAATCAGATGGAAACGAAACTCTTATACTTGAGAAATCGCATTTTTTTTCCTAGCAAACAAATTATTTTCATTTTATTGATTATTTCAGATCTATCAATTCATTCAAGCTACTATTTATGATTTCTTGAAACGCTCAAACTTTAAAGTTTCTTCAATAATGAGGTTTTAAAAAAACCTTAACTCACTCAAAAATCGATAAAAAAACTTTCTTAAACCTTTATAAGAAGTTCTGAAAACCTTAAGAACTTTATAAAACCCTGAAAAACTCAAAAATCTTATTTTTGTTTCTTGATTTTCATGAAAGTGCTCTCCTTTTCGAAAGGCTACAAATGTATATCGTCGATTTTGTATCGAAAGTTGTAGCTGTCCAAAAAGCTCTTTATATATATTTCTGATATAATCAAAAAGGCCGGGCTTGTAAAACATTGTAAAAAAAGCAAAGAAAAAGACGGAAAAAAATTGGAAAAAAAGAAAAAAATAAAATCGGCCTTTTTACCTGATTTACAAAAAAAGCGACATATCTGATTTTTTTAATATTTATTTTGAAAATTCTTTTTCCTTCTGACCTCAAAAAAATTCAAAAAGAGCCTCTTTTTCGGGCTTATTCAGTTGATTTATAACATAAATTAAAAAAAAATTTTTTCAAAACTTTTTCCGCTTTTTTTGCCCCATGAAAGTTCAAGAGAATCGTGAAAAATAAGGTTCTTCTATAAAAAAATTCGCTTTTTTTCAACCTCTTTAGTTATAAAAAAACTATAAAAAAATCTCGGAAACCAGCCTTGAAAGGTTCACCAAAAAGGCTCGAAAAAAATTTCAAAAAGAAAAAAATTATAAATCTTTTTTTCAAAAAAAATAAAAAAAGCTCATCGAATTTTTTTCAGCTATCCTCCCATCCAAAAAAACATGTTTTTTCTTTTTACTACGCTCTCAAAACTTCCGCCTTGCCAGGTCCTTGAAAGTCCTCCGAACTTGAGAAGCAAAGCGAGAACGAAGAAAAAAAGAGCTCAATTATTTGAAGAGGTTTTCGAGACCTGAAGTTCGGGTCGGACTTCCTCCTTCTCGATGAACTTCTCCTGGACGTTTTGCTGCCGGATATTCGGCTTTTGGGCGTGCATCGCGGCGTTCGTCGGCACTTTTGAGCCTTCCGTCGCCAGTTCCGCTTCCTGGTGCTGTAAAGAACCAACAGAATAAAAATTAAAATAAAAAAATAAAAAAATTCAGGAAAAAAATGGGAATCGATAAGAACCTTTTTTTATTGACACAGGAAGCGCAAAAAGTTGTTCATTTTTTTGGTTTGATCGATTCAAAAAATGGCGATTCAAAATTTCAAACAATATGATCAAATCTGTCCTTCTCGCATTGAAAAAAAAATTTTCCCCAAAAAAAAAAATTCAAAATTTCAAAATTTGGGTTATACTGGTGAAAAAATCTTCAAACTTTTGGAAAAATTAAAAAAAAAAATCTATCTTCGTGAGATTTTTAAGATTAATGGATGAGAAAATCAGGAAAATGCAGTTTGGAGTAGAAACATATTTTTTGAATTTCAAAAATTTTCAATAAAAAAGTTCAGTTTTAAAAAGGACATTATGCTTCTGGTCATAAAAATTTGAAAAAGTCCAATTTTTTTCTAAAAAGGAAAAATTTTTTTCAAGCCCAAAAATGTAATTAAACAAGATGTGTCTGAAATTACCATTTTTTCAAGTCTGAAATTTCACAGCATTTGTCCCATTTCTATTGAAAAATTCGCCTTTTTTTTCTCAAAAATTTCGTTTCTACCATTATTTTAACTTGAAGCTGTTTGAAAAAACTGCAATTTCAACAGCTACCACCGTAAAACTGAAACAAAAGTCGGAAAGCTGAGAAAATCAGATCAATTGCGAGGAATGGCTGGCAAGATCCCTCTCAAGATAAGCGGGCGCAAAAAAACAGAAAGATAAGTGATAAGGACCGTGGCACTCCAGGCGAAGCAAACAAGATATTGGCCAACCGTTCGGGCGAAAAAAACTTATCTAGGAGAATTTTTAGTGGCCTCTTAAGGGGTTTTTCGAGGATGACTTACAAGGGAGGTCCTTTGGGTTCGGGAATTTCCTGAAAATTGACCAGAAAAATATACTGAAAGTTTCAACCTGGAAAACTTCATAGTTTTTGAAAAAGAACATCTGAAAGTCAAAGAAAAGCTTAAAAATTCGTAAAAATAGGCCATATTGAGGCTCTGAGTTTTATTTTTCAAAAACTAGAACATTTTGAAGCTTGAGTGTTTCAGAATTTTTCATCTAGGCCGTCAAAGAGATTTTTGGTCAATTTTCAAGAAATTCCCAATCGCTCCCTTGTTAGAGAAGGTACTAAAGTGACTACTTAAAAGTTGAGCCCTAAAGGGGCCACTGAATAATTTTTTTTTCCAGAGAAACAACTATTTCATTCGTTTTTCAATTAAAAAAGCTTCATTTAGAAAAAAAAGACGCAAGAAATCTTTTCATCATCTCATTCCTGGTTCAATTTTTGTCATTACACGTAAACTTCAGGAATTTCACTCAAAAAGATTTTTTTCAACTTTTTTTGATCCATTTTTTTGAATCTTATTAGTGTAAGTTTCTATTAAAAAAAAGAATGCAAAAAAACTCCTGAATATTTTTTTATTTATTATAGTGATTTATCAAACGTTTCTATTCACTGCAAGGACTTTTTTTATTACAACAAAAAAAGCAATTTTTTTCAAACCGTCTAAATTTTTTTGATTAAAACTTGGGAAAATTGAATTTATTACTGAATTTTTTTACTGAAATTTCCTCTTGTATATCAGAAATGGACAGGTCAAATTTTTCTTTTGATAATTATAGTCTGTTCAGATTTTGAATGTCAAGTACGATGACGTCATTCGAAAATGCTCTGTGGATGGTTCGCTCTCTTATTGGTTCATCGCGCCATCAGGGGCGGAGCTTGAGCGACGACTTGACATTCAAAATCTGAACAGACTATAATTGGTGTTCAAAAATGATTTCAGTAATAAAAAATGTACGCATAGTTCCAGAATGGTGAGCTAGAAATGTGCAGAAAAAAAGCTGGATTTAAAAAAAAATTTACCTGTACAAAGGCAGGTTCAACCTTAACAAGTTCCAAACTTGTAAAATTATTCGAAAATGAGAAAAAGTTAGAAGGTTTTGAGAAAATTTTTGATATCCTTTTAAAAAAATAAAAAAATATTGAAAACCTACTTTCAAAGCAAAAAAAAGAATTTCAAGCTTTTTTTCTTATTTTTTCAACGTGTTTAGTGACCGTTAAAGTCAATAATTTATTTTTTTGGGTAAGATACAGGAAAAAGCTGAATAAATTCTGAATAATTGTTGTATCCTGCTTTTTTTCTCTTCAATTTTTACCGTTTCAAAAAAAGGAATTTTGAATTTAAAAAAAAAAACTAGAAAACGCTTTGCTTCTCAGTTTTTCATCTCTCCTACAGAAAAATATTTTTTTAATTTTTCAAATTTTTTTGAACCTTTCCCAAAATTTAAAAAAATCCTTTTTCATCTTTGTTTTTAACTTTCTGAACAGGTAAAATCTTGAATTTCAAGAAATCGCCTTTTTTAAAGAAAAAAACTGTAAACTTAAATTTTTCAAACAGATAAACATAACTTGCAAAATTTTTGGTCGTTTCAAAAAAATATTTGTGTTTCATTTTTTTAACTCTCCTAACGGATCAATATCTTAACTTGAAACAATTTGCTCACATAAAACTGAACCAGGTCGGGTAGAACCAATGAAACCAATGGAAAAAGTAGGAAGAAGGTGGGCCTGGCGTCAAAAGTTACGGCACCGCGGCTTTGTCGGATATATTACACAATTCTTTATTTTCGCACCAGGACCCCTTGGCAAAATAAACAAAAAAAAACAGAAGAGTTACTTGGTTCTGCTGGAGGAAATGAAAGAGAATCGCTGAATTGTTTTCAGAGAGACTCAAGGTATTGGAGCGAATTCGAAATTCCTGAGGAAAAATTGGTGAAGCTCCTGCTCCATTGACTTCGGATTCACGTCAAAAAAAAAAATAATGAAAACCAAATTCGATAAAAATACTTAGGATCGACAGAGTGGTCCCTATAGGGCTCCTATGATATTAAAATTTAGGCGGTACCTATAAGGTCTCTCTCTCCTTTTTGGAAGCTTTACTGGTCCCTATAAGGGTATTTGAAGCGACCCCTAGAGGGGATTTTTCTTTTTCTGAAGGCTATTTTCGCGGAATCACTTTGAACGGCTGAATACAAATATCGAGCTTCTCTTCTCGAAAGTCGATTATAATGTTTCAAGTAACAGGAATTTACTTTAACCGATAAAATTATTAAAAAAATTATATTTTAAAAAAAAGGTTGCGAAAAAAAGGCTGAAAAGGTATAACTTTTCTAGTTATTCGTGAAGTTCAAAATTTTTTGTTTATATTCTTCAAAAACTCAAATTTTTATCAAACTGCGAGAAGTAGCCACTATAGGGTTATCAAGTCTAAGTGGCCACTATAGTGGTCCAACCAAGTCCAATTGACACTACTAGACCCCTAAAACTACTTTAGTGGCCACTTAGATGCAAGGGGTGATTTAGTGGCAAGTAGACCCTGAGGAACCACTCAAGTGGCCACTACTTCCCAGAAATCACCTTGGCGGTTTGTCTCAAGGCCGTATTTCCCTGAGGAGGAGCCACGGGTTGAGCCTGCTTCGGCTGTTCCGGCTGAGGACCCGCCGTCTGAACTTTCTGAGGAGCTCGGCCCCATTTCGGCTGCGCTGCGGGTGCTTCTGAACTTCTTCATCTTTTTCTGTCCTATTCGGATTTCAGAAACCATTCTGAGGAGCTGGAGCTGGAGCTGGAGCAGGTTGCTTCCAGCTGGGCTGGTTCTGTTGAGGCTTCTGAGGAACGGCTGGGGCAGCTTTCTGTTGAGTTTGAGGTTGAGCTGGAGTAGGTTTATTGAAGTTTTGTTGGCCTTGAGCTTGTTGTTGAGGCTTTTGTTGGTTCTGAGCTGGAGCTTGGGGTCCAGGCTTATTTTGAGCTGGTTGAGGTTGCATCTGAGCTTGAGCTTGAGCTCCAAATCTGTTCTGTTGGTTTTGAGCAGGAGCTGGCTGAGCTTGATTTTGAGCTGGTTGAGCTTGATTCTGAGCTTGAGGTTGTGCTCCAAATCTGGTGAAGTTCTGCTGATTCTGAGCAGGAGCTGGCTGAGCTTGTGGGGCAGGTTTAGCTTGAGTTTGAGGTGCAGTCTTATTGAAATTCTGCTGGTTTTGAGCTGGCTGAGCTTGTGTCTTCACTTGATTTTGAGCTTGAACTTGCTGCTGTTGAGTTGTCACTTGACTTTGAGCTCCGAATCTGTAGGAGTTCTGTTGGTTTTGAGCTGGCTGAGCTTGAGCCTGCTTGACTTGATTCTGAGCTTGAGGTTGTGGTGCAGACTTATTGATGTTCTGCTGATTTTGAGCTTGAACTTGCTGCTGCTGCTGAATTTTCGCCTGATTCTGAGCTTGCTGAGCTTTGGCCTGAGCCTCCTGCTGGGCCTTGGCTTGGGCTTCAGCCTGAGCCTTCACACGAGCCTGAGCCTCTTGCAAGGCCTTCTGTTGTGCTTCGGCCTGAGCCTTAGCTCTCGCTTGGGCCTCTGCTTGGGCCTTCTGTTGAGCCTCCTTGGCCCGGTTCAATGCTTCTTGCTGGGCTTTCAACTGAGCTTCCTGAGCGGCTTTGGCACGTGCCTGGGCTTCTGCTTGGGCTGCTTGGGCCTTTTTCAGCGCTTCTTCCTGGGCTTTTTTCGCGTTTTCTTGCGCAGCTTTCAAGGCGGCTTCTTGCTGAGCTCTTGCGATGGCTATGCGAGCTTCTGCGGCTTTTCTTTCGGCGTCTGCTTGAGCTCGGGCCTAAAAATTGAAGTAAGAACAGATAGTAAATCAGTTCAAGAAGGAAAACTTGTAGCCGTCGTTGTTTTTGGTCCCGAGAGGAAATGTTTTGTTTATTTTTAACGTTTCTGACTTCTAATTTTTCCTTTTCTAATTTATCTTCCATTGATGCATGGAACGCTATTTCTGAAATCCAAAGATCAATAAATCAAGAATTTCAAAAACGAAAAAAAAAAACTCACGGCCTCTTCTTTCTGTCGGATTTCCTCAGCTGATGGGCCGCTGGCCTGAAACATTGCAAAATGTCAACTGAACATCTGGATCTGAGCCGAAATTCTCATTGGAACGGCCGTTTTTTGGAGGGGAAACGAAAGATTGAGTACCTCCTGTTGTTGAGGTTGGACTTGTTGCTGGGTGATTTGGATGTTGACTTGGTCTTCTTGGACTTGAACTTCTACTTTTTGCTGTTGAGCCTGGGCGACTTTTGCGGCAGCCGCTTGGATCGCCGCGGCTTGTTGGGCCTGCAAATGTGTCGGAGTTGAAAAGTAAGCTTTTTTTAGAACTTTCTATGGCTTTTCTCAGAATTCAGAAAATTTTCTCTTGTCTTACAAAGATATATAAGAAGGTTCGAAACTTTCTGAGAAAAAGTTTCGAAAATTCAGACTTTCGTTTTTGATCTTCCGAGCCTTGAGAACATGATGAAAGAGCTAGGATTTTCGATAATTTTTTCGATTATTCAAAATATTTAAAGAGTTTTTTCAAAGCCTCGAAAATATTTATATATTGAAATTTTCCTACCTTTCCCAATCAATTTACCTTTTCTGAAATGAAAATTTGTCAATTTTTCACCATCCTTATGTTTCATAAACTATTTTCAAGCAATATTTGTCTTCTCATTACAAAAAATGATGGATTTGTAAAAATTTTTTGAGCCGAACACTAAGATAATAAATTTTTTCAAAAACAGTAAATGAATATATATTTGTTACCTTGGCGATTTGCTGCGCTTCGAGCATTTTTTGCCGTTCTTCGAGCGCTTTTTTCTCTTCTTCAGTCTTCTCAGCGGGCGCCGATTGCTCGACTACCACTTCGTTGGCTTAAAAGTTCGTTATCAAACTGTTGATTTTCCGAGTAGAAAAACTTTTGTACGAATGTATCGTTTCAAAACAGATTTAGGACGCCTTCGTACGCATTTTTCTTAAAAACTAGGAAATTTCAAAAAACTCCAAGAACATATTCTTTGCGATTATTTGCGAACCGGGCTCCAGCAAAAGATCAGCTACATTCTGATCTCGTCATGGTCAAACTGTACGCTCTGAAAAACGAGGCGGAGAACCTTAAAACCATAATTTCAACTTGATCAACTACACGTCTCGACTTCTAGTTCTTAATAGCCCTACTCAGGAAGCTTCTGCTTTCGGTTTTTCGGAAGAAGTTTGGAGGCTTTCCAGAAAGTGGTCAATCGACATCCGCATACTTTCATAACACTTTTAATTACCTTCCAGAAGCCTGCTCGAAGGCTTTCGACAGGTTTTTCGTATCTTTCGAAGACCTCCAACTACCTTCTGAATACCTTCTGAACACCTTCCCAAGACATTCTACCTTCCATTAACCTTCCAACGAGCTTCCTTTCTAAAACCTTTCCAGGATTCGCCTGAGTGTTTGATTAAAAAGCGCGGTAGCGCAACAGGTTGTGTGGCTGTCTACGGTCCACAGGGTCACAAGTTCGATCCCCGCCCAGACCTAATCAAGTGGTGTAAGAAATGTTGGTAGTGGGGAACCACGACTTCATAGTCCCCAGCCGTCATATACAAGGAAGGGTATGTCACTAGATGTTCCCTGATTATCACTGATATCAGGATAGGACCCTGGCTAATAGACTTGGGACGCCGACGCCGCTCAAGCGTAGGAAGATATTGGAGCATAACGCTTATATTAAGCTGATCCTAGAATGTTCTATAGTATTCCATACACTTCTAGTCTAATTACGTCATAGGGATCATGTGTAAAGGTTTCCCTTCTAGAATGTTCCACAATCTTCTCATTTGTCGTATACCTTTCTAGAAGGTTCCACAATCTTCTCATTTGTCGTATACCTTTCTAGAAGGTTCCACATTGCTCTCGAATGTTCTACTGCTTTCGGGACAGATTTCTAAAACTCAGGAAAAAATGTTCCATCTTTCACTCTAATCTCAATACTATCTAAACTCCACCTTTACTCTGGAACATTCCATAATCTTCGGAATATCTTCCCTCAGCACTATACACTGCGACGCATAATTATAGACCCACCCTAATTTCTGCGATTTTAAGAGAGATTGAAAAACTTTCAGCCACCAAACTTTTTTTGTGATAAACCTTGTTGATAAGGAACATAATCATATCATAATTATCAATCACCCAGTTGAAAATTTTTTCAAGATACGAGAAAATCTGATTTTTGACCGACGCAGAATTATAGACCCACCCCAGCGTTTTCCGAGTTTCCGTTTATGGTAACACGTTTCTCCTGTTTTTTTTCAGTGGTATATGAGAGAAAAAGTCCTCGTGTATCACTATTAGCCATAATGCCTAAATCTACTCAACTTGATAATACCGAAAAAGCGGTAATCGATGCTCTACTCAACAACGGCTTGTCCCATCGGGAAATCGCTTGTCAAACGGGCCGCTCAAGACGAACTATTGACCGTTATGCAAGGAATCCGCAAGAATACGGCACATCAATACATTCTGGACGGCACAGGCTGCTATCGGTTCAAACGAGACGTCTGTCGAAAAGCATCAAACTCTACGAAGTCCGCCAACCAAATCAGATCCGAAATTCCTGAAAACGTCTCGAAGGACACCATCTTACGAACAATTCATCGGTCCGGTCGACTTGTGAATACTCCAATAAAGGCAGCACCACGTCTACAGCAACGCCATAAGAATGAACGGCTCCAGTTTGCACGCTCCAACATGGCCACGGAATGGAATGAGGTATCAATTTTTTCTATCACCTTATGATTCCCAGTTTTTCTGTTCAGATCATCTTCAGCGACGAGAAGAAATTCAATCTTGATGGGCCAGATGGGTACGCTTACTACTGGAGATATTTGAGGAAAGATCCGATGTACTTCTCCAAGAGAAACTTCGGCGGCGGCAGCCTCATGGTCTGGGCGGCTTTCTGCGGCAACGGGACGGTAGCTCTTTCTTTTATTGAGACCAGAACGAATTCGCAAGACTACCAGCAACTGCTTGCCCAGCATCTCCTGCCCTATTTCCGTCGCCGACGACGTGCTAATATGATTTACCAACAAGACAATGCATCTGTTCACGCGAGCAACTCCACATTGGCTTGGTTTGCGGCCAAGAACGTGGTTCTTCTGGACTGGCTCGCGTGCAGTCCTGACCTCAACCCTGTAGAGAATTTATGGTCAGTCCTTGTACGAAGGGTCTACGCGAATGCCAAGCAGTATACAACGGTCAACGATCTGAAAAAGAGCGATTCGTGTCGAGTGGGATGGTTTGGACAAGTCACTGCTGCAATCACTCGTATGGCAGCATGCCGAACAGGATTTTTCGAAGTCGCTCAGAAACAAGGAGGCATCACACATTATTAATTAAATTATACTTTGTTGACTTTGTGAAATGAATTTTGTTGATTACTTATAGTGGGTCTATAATTCTGCGTCGGTCAAAAAAATCAGATTTTCTCGTATCTTGAAAAAAACTTTTTCAACTGGATGATTGATAATTATGATATGATTATGTTCCTTATTAACAAGGTTTATCACAAAAAAAGTTTGGTGGCTGAAAGTTTTTTTCAATCTTTCTTAAAATCGCAGAAATTAGGGTGGGTCTATAATTATGCGTCGCAGTGTATAACCCCTTGTTTGTTATTGTAAACAGTCTGGTATAGTCTAGTTTATTTTTACTAATAAATGTTCTACTACAACGTCTTCACTGGCCACCTGCGGGAACAACAGAAGAAAAAGAACTTGATCAAATCAATAACAAAAAAACACAATAACTATTGATTCATTGGTCGAATCTTTACAGTGAGAACAAACCTCGACGCTCTTCGGCGATGGAGCCGATCTGAGCCAAGACTTGCTGCTTGGCTTGTTCGGGAGTCGAGGCGACGCGGAATCCTTGCGTCCGTCGGTTCCGCACCGGCACCACCACCTGCAGAACTTTGGCAATCTTCGGGGAAAAACGAACGGGATAAAGCCAAACATTGGTCGGCGGGAAAAAGTTGCGCCAAGTGTCAAAGAAGTCGACTGTTTATTTATAAATACAGTTAACGTTAGAAAGTCATTTCTTCTTTGCAGCAAATAAACGTGGCTTTGAACGGCGTAGAGCAAAAGTACAAATGTGTTTCAAAAAAGGTTTAAATTATGACAGGTTATGAAATTTTTGATACTTTCCTAGTTGACATTTTCAATTTAATGATCCTCAAACTATTTCCCCTTGTGAATGAAATAAAAAAATATATAAAAAAATATATATAAAAAGCCGGAGAGATATTATTTTGGCTAAGAATAAGAAATATGTTGAAATTTTTTTAAACTTTCATCAAAAAAATCAAAAAAAGTTCATTTCAAATTATTTTTCACAGCCTTTTTGTATGTTCAAATAACTTTCTGATGATTTCAAAAAAAGATAGAAAATAATCAGAAAAAGTTCTAAGGCTTGAACGAGTAGAAAATTGGTTCAAATTTCAAAAAATATTAGTTTTTAACTTTCCCAGAAGAAATATAGTGAATACTACTTCTCTATCTATTTTGAGGTTACATAAACTAATTTTTTATATTTTTATTGGTTTCTTTTAAAAAAAAATTTTTTTGCCCCCCTTCAGAAAAAGTTTTTTGGCAATCGACCTTTTTTTCCAAATTATGAAGCTTTGATTACAAATAATTTCGTGCGGAAGTGCGTCTCATCAAAAGTTCAGTCTCCCCCTAATACAAACTCCGTTTTTTTAGACTTCATTTTTCTGAATTTTTGGAAGACAATCCCTTTAATGGGAAGTAAAATAACCCTTCTTTTTCAAATCCCCGCTTCAAATTTCTCTACAAAAAGAAAAAAAAGGACCTCTTCGTCGGACTCTTCCTCGGAAGACGTCGCATCATGTCGTTCGGTGCCTGTAAGACGGGAAATTTCGTCCGGCGGCCCCGTTTTCTTCATGATTATCTGGATGACTGAAAAAAGGGAAGCGAACGCCCATGCTCAGTCGGTTAATTCGCGGCGGCCACATTTTAAAATCAGGGAAAAAAGACATGAGGTTGAACAGCAAGAAATTCGAGTTTTAGTACCAAAAAAATAAAAAAATGAAACTTTTTAAAATTATAACAAAAAAAGGACTTTCACATGTTTTTCAATTATCTCATTTTCAAAGTAGAAAATTAGGTTTATCAGCAAGAAATTCGAGTTTTAGTGCTGAGAAGTTTGAAAAAAATTTTGAAAATTACAACAAAAAAAGGACTTTCAAATGTTATTTTTTTAATTATCTTATTTTTTTCTGGTTATTCATATGGTTTTATCAGCAATAAATTCAAGTTTTATTACCAAAAAAACTTCAAAAAAATTGGAGAAAAAAAGTTATGAAAAATTACTAAAAAAATAATGATTTTTCATATCAATTTTCTTTCAATTACTTCATTTCCAAGATCATAAACACGGTTTTTTTCAATGCTAAATTGAATTTTAGTACCAAAAAAACTGAGAATATTAAAAAGAAAACTTTAAAAAAAGTACAAAAAAAGGAGGATTTTTTTAATCTGGTTTTTTTGTTCATCAAATCATTTTTCAAATTGAGAAATACCGTTTTTTTAAAAAGATATGAATTTTTAAGTTTTAGTATCTAAAAAAATTATAAAAAAAATTATAGTTTTTGCTGAAAATTAAAAAAAATAACTCTCAGGCGAGTCTAAGTGGAGCAGAAAAACTGTAAAATCTTTTAAAAAAATCGGATTTTTCGGGGTTTTTCGATCTTTTTTTCTGAATTAAATTTACCGTTAAATAACTTTTTGATACAGGGGCAAAACGAATGAAAAAAATGAATTATTTCAGTCAAAAAAATTGAAACATAAACTTTAAGCAAATCTGAAAGTTGTAGTTTTTCCAACATTAGAAGAAAGTTCTCAAAGAAAACTTCAAAACTTAAAAAAAATCATTATTCAATGTTACTTTTCGTTTTTCTCTTCACTTCGATTCCAAATAAAGAAACGTGTTTTTCAGGCCTTATTTTTTTCGAAAATAAACTTTATTTCCTCATAAAATCCACAAGAAACGTTGCAAAGGATCATCAAATCCTGGTTCAAGGAATCTTTTTCCAGTGCGGCTGCTTTTGTTTACAATCGGCAGGGCAGGTAAAAACGTTGGGAAAGCAAAGATTAGGCTCTTTTTTCAGCCATTCAAAAATCGATAAAAGTTCGCAATTTCAAGGGGAAAAATAGCGTTTGGATAATCATGATTTGTGTTTCTACAGGATGATAAGTTGCTCGATTTCCACCAAAATATGTTCATAGTTTCATGATTGTTGCGCCTCATTTTTTGTATAGCCGGTTCACAGGAAGCTCCAACCATTGGAAAAATGGTCCTGACACGAAAAAAGAGATAGTGCCTGGCTGGCGGAGAGTGCAGACAGACCACACCTTTTTACGTCCCAAATTACAGCCTTTTCATGGCCTTTTTTTGAAAAATCCCTTCCTAAGAGTGAAAAATAGTGAATTCTTTGGATTTTTTGCCTTCACTAACGAGAAAAAAAGGTCAATTGAAAAGTTTTCGAGCTATTTTCGTGCCCCAAACCAGCGATAAATCAACCAAAACGCTGTGAAGTTCACTTTGAGGATGGATCTGTGTTTTAAAGTCTGCTCTCTCGTCATCTATTTTTCTGATTTTCGGTCAGAAAACAGGTTCCGATCGATTTTATCAACAAAACAGCTTCAAATCATCTCTTCCTTTCAAAAAATTTAGCAAGCATTGTATGGAAGAATCATTACTCAACAATTTTATTCTTCTAAAAAAATTTTTTTAATCAGTCAAGGTTTCAAAACTTCCGAATGAAAAACGGATCTAGAAAATATGTTATAAAAAAAATCGTCATTTTCCATTAATTTTCTGGTTTTTGTCAAATCATCAAATCGCAAGATTGGAATGATAAAATGAACTGGTAATTTAAGAGGACTTTGAAACCGTGAACCTCTGAGAAGATATTCGGGTGCTTTTTTAAAGCTTCAACGTTTTAGTGGCCACGATAGTAGTCGAAAAAGTGGCCACCCAAGTGGCTAAACTCTAGTGGTTTCTTTGGAATTCCACTTGGTACTACTAAACCCCACTGTAACGTAAAATAGGGTGGTATGAAAAAAAGACCAGCGAAAATTCAAACGACGACTTTTCCGATTTTTTCATATCGCTAGGGAACTTTCCGACGGCCACCTTTCCGACGAATCTCTTTCCGACTTTTTTCCCTTATATTTTTTTCGGTTTATAAAAAAATCTATAAATATTTTTTTCCTATTTCTTTGTGTTTTAATCATGAACCAACTACCTACTTTATATAGGAAGATTTAAAACGAAGATTTTATCGAGAAAACGAATCGGAAAAAGATTCGGCGGAAAGGTGGCCGTCGGAAAGTTCCCTAGCGATATGAAAAAATCGGAAAAGTCGCCGTTTGAATTCTCGCTGGTGTTTTTTTCATACCACCTAAAAATAGTGGCTTCTTAAAAGGTGGTTTTAGTGGCAACTTTAGTGTCTTGCCATGTAGTCTCTGATGAACCCCTTAAGTAACCACTAGAGGTTTCCCAGCTCGTAAGAAAACTACTAAAGTGGCCACTAAGGCGCTTTTTTTCTGATTACTCACAAAAACTGCTTTTTTTGTTTCAATCGGAAAAAAATTCAAAGAAATTTAATGAAATGGAGGAGAATCGAACAGAAATCATAAAAAAGCGGCGGATCCTTGGTGTTGCAAGTGAAGTGAAATGAACGGCGGCTCAAAAGGCGCTTCAAGAGGCCAAAAAAGTCGGAAGAACGGAAAAAAGTGCAGAGCCAGCTGTGGCCGGAAACCTCTTCTCCATCGATTGATGCGGATTTATACTATAGAAATGAGAAGTTCCATTCATTAAACCCTGCTTTTCCATAAACTTATCGAATCGACAAGTGTTTGAGGCCTTTTATGAAGGAAAAACTCGAAAAATAAGAGATTTTCTTGAAATAATTAGTAGAAAACACTCAAATCCACGACAAAACAACACTTTTCTCTAGTTTAAAACAATGAATCTCAAAATGTTGACCCTCAAAAGGCTTAACAAACTTTTTTGACGGGTTACAACGTGTTATGCGATAGCTTTTCGTCCCCGAGTCAACTTTTTTTGCTCTCAAAAATGTTTATTTTTGAAACTTGTAGTGAAATGGAGTAGAATTATTAAAGGAGCATAGAAAAAAACGAAAAAAGGTTTTGAGGCTTTAACTAGAGAAAGACGTCATGTAAGGATTTATATGAACAAGCTGAGAAGTCACTTAAAACAATATTCACACTATATCTAATGAAGGAATTATTTGGAAATTTGATAAAAACAGTTACTGAAACAGTTTTATCAGGTTTCAAATTTCAAGCATAAAATAAAAAATTTTCTATTTTTTTCAGTTCAAAAGCTTTGCCTGATTTTTCTATATATATATGTATAACTGTTCATAAATTTAAAAAGAAAGACGGTATTTTGAACTGAAAAAGGATGGAATTTATCACAGAAAAACTAAAAAAATCAAAAAAAAAAATCAAAATCGGACAGGGTACAAAAAAAATGGACATGACAGTTTTACAATACAGTTGAAGAAGTATGGAGAAAATAAAATGTTTGAAATATTATTCCATAGTTTATGAACTTTCCAAGGTTTCGTGAAGTATTTTTCTTGGTATCAAAATTTAAAAAAATTTTTCCAAAAAAATCCTATTTTAAAATTACAAAGCTACTCTTTTTTTCCTCAACAATTATCTCAAAAATTGACAATTTGCACCACCTCCAGCATGCTTCTCACAACAAACGAAACTCTAAAAAATAAAAAAAACGGCAAACCTGTGGAGGGCATTATTTTGTAATCAGTTGTAGGGCTTGTTGGTGTGCTCGGCCAAACAATATGCGGACCTCTTTCCAGCGTTTCGAGAGCCGGCGTGAGTCAGCTGCTGCTCCGCGAGCCCGGAGGCCCATCAACACGCCTCCAGGTCGAAAAACTGGTAGAGAAACGTCCATGAAACCTTGAGAAAACTTTCAGTTTGAACAAAAGCAATAAAAAGCCTCGAGTCGCGAGCAGATCCGATTTTTCCTGTTGGATTTGAACCACCTGGAGATCGCTCTTTTTCCTTAACTTCACAAAAAAGTAACCCCTTTGGCCAAAAAAGCAGTGAAAAATAGATCGGTAAAATCCCGAGGAACGCAGTTTCAATTTGTAAGAACGAAGTGATCAAGTTTGCTGAAAGAAATCAAGGATTTCAAGGAATAGCTGAAAAACTGTACAATATGCCGCATAAAAAAACAGTTATGATTTAATCATTTTTCTTATCAATTCAACTAAACTATTAAGTTTTTTTGAAGAATCATTTAAATATCAAGGTCAAGGAAATAAAAAAATAAAAAAACGAAAAAAACGAAAAAGAAATTTATTATTCAGAGCAAGTGTGACCAACCGCAAAGGGAAATTTTTTTGAGGATATTTTTTTCAACTTTTTTTGCTCTTTTTATTTCTTCAAATTTGCATTTTTTTACTTTTTCCTATTGTTCCAAGGTTTCTTGAAATAAAGTTCTCTACTTTTTTTCAGCCGAGGTATTTTTGAGTTCATGTTTTTTTAAAATTTGTTTTTTTAATAAAAAAAGACTTTTTTTGAAGCAAGTTTTTCAAGGAAGTTTGGCTGTATATTTTGAATTATTGATCATATTCCTTGGTTTCCATACTTCTCCATAATTCCATTAACCTTTTGCACGCTTTCTCTCAAGATTTCTAAAAATAAAGCTCTAATTTTTTTTCAATTTTTTGGAATTTTAACTTATACCTTTAAAAAAATATTATAAGAAAAAAAGCTAATTTTTTTAGATTTCCGCTCACTTCAAGGAGTTTTTTTGGTTTTGATTTCAAATTATTATAAATTCCTTCGAAGTTGTACAACATCAACCTTCCCTTTTGCACTCTCTCCATCAAAACAGCTCACAAATCGTGCCGGGTCAATAAACCTTTGATTTATTCCACAGCTCACGGAAAAATCCGCCGAGGTTGAGCTGGAGCTCGGGGGATATGTGATAAGAGCCAGTTGGCCCGGGGGCGTGGGAGGGGATCCGCGACCAAAAACCTCCGTCGCGGCTCTTTTTTGAGCTTTTCGTTGCAAACAAAAGGGCCGCTGCGGATCGTACATTGACTCTTGTGAAGTATTTATTTGATAGGTTTGATATATTGCGAGAAATCCTTTATTTATGTACAATACGTTCGCAAGAAGGCAAATTGGCAAGGCACATAGGGGCAATTCAACAGCGGAGAAACATTTGAAAGACAGGAAGAAGGGGAAAATTTAATAAGTTAGGGGTTGGAAATGTGGAGAAAAAAGAGCTGCGGGAGTGTTTTTCAGAGTTTTCATAGGTATAGGGAAAGCAGCTTGAACTTGAAATTTAGGACTTTTTGAAAATTTGTTAAAAACATTTCTTGAAGTTCTAGAAAAAAATTATAAAATTTCACAGTTTCATAATTTACGAAAACCAATGCCTCGATATACAAAAAAACCTCTTTTTCTAGAATTTTTAGAGCGAATTTCATCGAAAAGCTGCCTCCCTTATGAGCAACTAATTTATGATCCAAAAATCAATTCGAAAATCTTCAAACTTTCAGAAAATGAAGAATTTTCTGAGAATTCCTGACAGCCCTTTTTTTTCTAAAATCAACAATTCAGAAGCTTTTCTTTTTCACTAGCCCTGAATGGAATAAATAATATAGCACCCAGTTAAAAATCGGCGTCGCTCTCCTCACAAAATTCCCAGTTTTCGCAGTTCTTCACGTTGTCGCTCGAGTTCCGCGTCATTGGCGGCCAATCTGTCGCGTCGCTCTCGATTCAACGTTCCGTACCTTAAGCTGGAGTCAAAATGGGGGTTTCGAAGCGATGTCGCGAACTTGTCTTCGGAGACGCGAGGATTGGAAGACTGCGACCGCGGGGGCTGCGGCGATGTCGCGGGCGCGGCTGGCGACGGCTGTCCCGAAGGAGTCGGCGACGCCAGAGGATCGCGGGTTTTTCTCAGTTGGCCCTTCTTCTCGAGGTACAGCCGGCTCCAGACGTTGTCGCTCTGCTAAGTTGGGAATCACATTGACAACCTCGCAAATGCTTTTTCCCCGCGCCAGACTCGCATTTTTCTAGGCGCGATATCGCATTTTTCCCGCACTCAAAAAAAAATTGAAATTTTTTAAAATGCGAAGTCGCGCCGAGAAAAATGCAAACGGCGCCACAAAGCAGAACTTTTGCGATATCGTCAATGTACTACCAGCGATGTCGCTTTTAACCTGGCATTTGTTCTTAGTGTTACAAAAGGTCCATAAAAATGATGTGACATGAAAATTTGATATATATTTTTTTCGCCGCTTGATTTAGTAAATATATTCCTGATAAGCTGAAAAAAAGTAAAGTACTAAAAATTCTCAGAAACTTAGAAAAACGCTTCTTAGGTTTTCCTAAGCCCATGGAAAACTTTCAAAAAAAGTTTTTTTTTCCATTTTCTCATTCGGCTAAAAAGTCATGTATTTATGTGACCCCGAAAAATTGATTTTTGAAAATTTCCTATTTTTCAAAATCGATACGAGAACTAGAAATCTTTCATGGAGACGAACTTCTTCGGTCAAAAAATCAGGAAAAGGATTTTGGAATTCAGCTTTTCTCCTTCTAATCTCAAGCCAGGTTACCCCACCCCCAAAACCAACCTTATCAGCACTGTGACTCCTCTGGGTGATGCTCTTGGGCAAACTGGGCAACTTCCGCTCGACGATCGGCGTCTTGATGCTTTCTGCCCGTTTCGGTATCCGAGATACCCGAGCCTCTGTGATTTCTGGTGCTTTCGGAGGTGTCGGCGTGGATTTTGCTGGTTTCTGAACTTCGTTCCGGACTGGAATCGAGCTGATGGGCGGTGGGATCGGCGCTTCTTGGAGTGTGGCTTCAGTTTGGGTTGGTACGGCTACGGAGATGGGAACCGGCTTTGGAACTGTTTGAGTCGAATCTTCTACCTGTAATTTTTACGTGAATAAGTGGGATATTTCCTAATTAAGGCTTATGGATATTGAGATTAAGGGTTGAGTCAAGAAAACACATTTTATACAGTTTTTTCGGCAAAATTTCGATATTTTCCAGAAAAGTTACAATTTCTTTAATGTTACGATTTCCTTAAAACGCGAAAAAGAATTTATTTTCGATATAAATCATTGAGAAAAGGTCAATGAAAGACCTACTTTTTCGAAGATTCCAATTCAGTCGGAAAAATTGTTGAAAAAAATTAGACGGGTTGAAAAAAAGTGGACGAAAATTCATGAGAACGACGATTTTTTTGTCACGTTTACGCAAACTTATTTCGTAAAATAGAAGCATATGTTTTTTTCGGCATGTAAGATAATTTATTCTTTGAGTAACGGATTTTTTTAACTGGCCTAATAATTCAAGTTGAAAAAGCAAAAAAATAACCCTAAAAATAATCTGAAAAACTTGAATATTTTTTACAAACTTATATCATTGTTTTCAGAAAATTTTTTTGAGATTTTCTAAATTTATTACCGTCACTTGTTTCTGAGGACTCGTCGCCCTGTTGACTTTTGGAGATGGCGGTGGCTTGTGAGCGACTTTAGGCGATGGAGACTGGAAAAATAGGATTTTCAGGGTTCCGATCTTTCTGATTTTTCTACCCTGTGTATGACTTTCTTCTGTTTGGGCGGCAGTTCAGTACAATGTTCCAATTTTTTGTGTGGCGGCGGGGTTGGAGACTTGATCGTGTCGAAAATGATGTCGGTTATCTGAAGTTCAGAAGAAAATCAATGGATTTCCGTTCTCTTTGGTGTTTTGAGCGAATGAATGCGTCGCGTATGCGGCACGGCTTTCGGCGGGAAACTTGATTTGTTTTAGAATATTTTTTATCCTATTTTCATAGTCGTTCAATCATTATTCTGAGAGCTATTAACTATCGAAAAAAACTATGCAAAAAGGTAGCTTCTGTTTGAATTCAAAGATCATCCCCCTTCCCCCATGAATCCGCACCGCGTACGCAGCGCTTCACTCTTACCAATCTTCACATTATCTTGTAAAAAAATGACTATTCACGACTGGCTTGAGACTGTGAACTGACGATTTCACTTGCGCGGTGAAAGTGGATCGCAGCGGAACCCCATGCGCCTTTAATAAGAGCTCTATTCCACGACTTACTTCATTTCCTTTCAAATTTCGTGTTGAAGAAAATCTGGAAGCTTAGAAAATGAAGGCAATGGAAGCTTGATGCAAATGCAAAAATGGACAAATGAGTCCTGAAATGGGGCTCTTATTAAAGGCGCATAGAGAGCCGGTTCTTGGTCCCAGGCCAACCAATCAAATTCTCCCACCAAAATAATAAAAATTGAGAGATCAAGAGGGTACAGACACTACAGACTGGTTCAATTTCCGGCAAATGGTATTTTCATTACTTCAATCCGATCGCTGAGCGTTTTCTGGGTAGATATGGTCTTGTCGCTGGCGGCGCCGTCGGTTTCGCTCTCCCGATATTCTGAAGTGTTGTCCGAGGCGTAGTCGCTGCTCTCCATCTGCGAGGCGTCTGCGTCGGCTCCTGGAATATTCAATTTGTCTTTCCTAATTTTTACTGATCAGGAATGAGTAGAAATCAATCACTTAGTCTCAATTTTCATCTCGATGTTCAGGGGAGACCATACCCTAGTAAGAGGGGTTCATGATAAAGTACAAAGTTCAATTTCTCCATAAGGGGTTGGCTAACAAAAAATGATCAAAAAAACCGAGAAAAAAAGATTTCTAAGCTGTGGCGACAAGGAAAACTAACTTTTACCTCAGGAGTTGGTAATGACTTCAAAATAAGTGGGAGGAAGGATCATCGGCCTTTTAAACTAGTCTATTCATGCTAGGAAGAAAGTTAGACTTACGAATTTTCGAAAAACGGTATTAAATCAAGTTTTTTTTGACAGAGAGGTGGTTTTGACAAGAATGATGTTCAACCACAGTGAAGTAGTACTGAATTTAATTTAAAAAAAAACAGAAAAAAAAGCTAGAAATAAGGCGCCTTTGAGGCCTTTTTTCCAAAAGTTCCTTTTGAAGTTTGCCCATGAAATGCCCAGGATTTGAAAAAGTTTGACCATTCCTCAACTCTCTTCTCTCCACATACTCGTTTCTTGATTCAATGAGGTAAATTTGCTGAATTTTTGTACTGAATAACTTTTTTAGAAAGTAAATCAACTTTTCCAATTGAAAAATGAAGAGCAAAGGTGGGAAAATTCGTAAAATCTCTTTGACCTTGTGAAAAGTGAGATCAATTTTTCAAAGAAAGCAGATTTAATTGCATCGAAACCGGAAACCCTGCTTGAAATCTTTTTTAACTCACCGCTTTTTTCAGAACTGGACAAGTCGGTGATAGTTGAGTCGGGCTCGGCAACTTTGGTCGATTCTGGAAAATTCTTTTTTTGACATTTGAATTTCTAAGGTTTTATCAACTAATTTATTTTATTTTTCAGGGAAAAAAACCTGATTTTCTCGGCAACTCGTGTTTTTGAGTCGTTTCCGCGGAAGCCGACCTCGCTGGTTTCGGCGATTCGACTGTTGCTGATCTTTAATTCGAATAATTTCTTTTTACAATCGAATTTTCTTGTGTTGAAACGCTTGGCTACTGTAGTTTAGTCCGCTAAATGGGTTGCAATAGGTCAGAAGCGAGCAGTTCTTTCCAAGCGCCCGACAGGCGCCGGTTTGCGCTCTGATCTAGAACCGATTTTTGGCAGATGAATAGAGCTCGTTTGGTGCCAAATCTTCTCGATATTTATTTTCTTTCGAGCTCTAGAACCCTTCGCTTCGATGCGTGCAGCACAAATTTCCATTAAAGGCACATACATAAAAGCAGGCAGCGCGCATCAAAGGGAAGATTTCCGGAAGGGTTCTGTAGATCAGATGAAAATGAAAATCGTGACAACTTGGCGCGGAATGGACTATAGAATCATGACGCTCCATGCGGAATAACTTTTCTCGGTTAAGGTCGGAACAGCCAAACAAAAACTCAAAATTTAAAATTTAGCAACTGAAAATTCTATCGTGGCTCGTTTTGATACGCAAAAAATGGCTTTTTTTTCTCGAAAAGGGACATTTCTGTGAGATTTCAAGCAGTTTTTTGAGAACCCTTAAGCAAGTCCAGTATGAAAAACTTTTCGCTTATAAAACAGAACAAATTTGTGCCAAAAAAAAAGGAATTCGAATGGGAAATAATAAGAAAATCTCACCCAAGAGGATTGAAATGAACGTGGGTCATGGTGTTGCTCCTGAACAGGGGATGATACCGAACGTCTTTGTCTATAAATTGTCCTTCTTATATTAAAAATAAGTTTTTCCTTCAAATTTTTTTCTTTGGTATAGCCTGTGTACCGCGATTTGGAATTTCACCAAACGACATTCCGCTGTGCCGCTGCGTGCCTTTGCGAACCTTGGTCGCGCTTTCAATTTTTTTTCCTTTTATTAAGGTACTCTACTTTCCTGTGCTTCAACAGCAATGAAAATCAATTCAAAACGTGACCTAGATTCGAAAACCGCTTCGCGACCGCACGCAGCGCAACAGCGGAATGTCGTTCGGTGAAATTTCAAGTCGTGCCACACATATTATATAGCCCATTCCTCGCGACTTGACAGTTCTCAAGTGTCTGCGTCTCTCTGTTCCCTCACTGTCGAGGTCAGAGAAAAAGGAAAATAGCACGTCTACATGAGAGAGACGTCGAGAGACGAGGAGGGCGCAGAGAAAAAAACAAACTAAAAAAATCACCGTCGTCACTGTCTTCGCCACCCGTGCTTTCCGCCATTTTCCTCTCCAGTTCCAATTTCACCTTTAAAAAAATCAATAAATCAATATTTTAAAAGAAAGTTGAATTTTCGCAGTCAAGAATTTCTGACTAGGGGACGTTTTTTCAACTCTTTTCCAAAGGACACAGGAGTATATTTCAAAGAATTTTCGTTCGTTTTATAATGAATTTGAAACGGCGTTGTGTTAAAGGGTCTTTGAAAATGGTGCATAAAGAGATGTTCCAAAATTTTTTTAAAAATATTATAACATTTTCAATTAGCTTTTTTTGAATCCAAACCAACCTTATAAGGAGAAGCGTAGCTTAACAATGTGACTGCATCTTCGTAGACCATATTTTTCGAACATAATCGTCAGAGATTTGATTCGATCGCCTTGAAAAATTATTAATTTGCCTTTTTTTCAATCAAAATTGTCTAAAGAAAAAAACTGTATTCCTGAACTATGTTTTTTTCTATCAAATTTTAAAGTTCGATTTGTTGTCTGTTTGGTCCCAGAGAAATTCAAGTCTATTGTAAAAATGTACGATCAAGAAAAAAAAACCCTTAACATGTAAGCCAAAAAAATTCATACGAAAAACAACTTAAAAAAACCAAAACTTTTTTTCAACTTTTTTTCTTCATTTTTTTCAATGGAAAAAAATCTAGACAAAAATACCAACCGATCAGAATATTTCCACACTCCTCGGCAATTCCCTTCGGCACAAGATTCCTGACATAAATCCCTTCGTTCATATTTCCTTGAATATTGAATCCGAGTCCCCCAATGTCTTCTCCACTCAATTGAACTCCTACTTTCCCGTCAACCTGCAAAAATTCATCCATAATTCTGATTGATTGACCAAAAATAGCAAAAATATTTATAGAAGCAACAATATTTTCATACTGGATTTGCTTTAAGGGTCTCAAAAATCTGCTTGAAAGCTCAAAAAAATTTTCACTTTTCGAAAAAAAAACTCTTGAATTTGAAAAAAATTAATCTTTTTGAACATTTATAAACATCCAGTCGTTTCTATTGTACCGTAAAAGTAACTTCAATTGTTCAGAAAAATCAAGAAACAGAAAAATAGCTCAGTAAGTCTGAAAAATGAACATAAAACTTTTATCGAATTTCAAAGAGCAGTAAAAAAGAAAGAAAGATAAGCACTGAAACACTGTAAAATTCTGGTCATTAATCAAAGAATAGGCTTATTTTGAAGTAATGAAAATCCTAAAAAAAATTCGAAAACAAACTCAAAAAATCTTTTCGAACTGCTCTGCGTCATAATTGATGACTCATCACGCTTCTTTTCAAAAAAAAATTTAATACTTTGGGCTGAAAATTTTTTTTTAATTGGAAAGACTTGGTTTTATGGAAAAAAAAAACAACATCTTTTACAAGTTTTAAGGAATTTTCAAGACAAAAACTGACCTCGTTGATGTACTCCATGGAGTAGGCCTTCTGCGTTCCGACGTCTTCTCCCTTTTTGCGCAGTTTGAACGAATCGATCATGGTCATCTGAAAAAAATCACACTCTTAAAGCTACATTTTCACGATTTATTTCAAAAAAATTGTTTTTCCTTTATTTTTTTCTTCTTCAAAATTCACAACGATATCTCAAAAAGGTTGTGATTCATAAAGCCCATTTTGCGCCAGTTTTGATCATCTTTTTCCATTTTTCAAAGTATCAAATTCAATCACGTTTCTAGATTTCAAATGGAAATTCACCAGCAAGAGCAAACCCAAACTTTTTTTTTCCGTTTTTCGAATTTTAAAACTTTCTCCTGAAACGGTAAAGCGAGAAAAAAAAATCGATTAAAGTTGCACTGTGAAACCTTCATTCTACTTTATTTGAAACATAAGATCAATTTTTTTGCTCAAATTTTTTTCGATCTTTCCCAATTTTTCATATAAAAAACATAAACGAACCTTATTCCGAAGCGAAGTTTTCTTGGCGTCGACGCCTCGATCTTCGACGTCGCAGGCGGCGTTGGCGTACGCCGACTTTTCCTCCGTCTTTTTCTCCTCTTCTTAAATTTTTCCATGAGAAAAAAATCTAGAATTTTCGAAACTAACGACTTCTCCTCAAACAGATCCATAAAAGAACTGCGATGACGGCGCAAATGAGAAAAGCAGCTCCGACAGAGCCAAATATCACTCCGAACAACTGGGGTTGACTGAAAACGAATGATATTAATGAGAAGACAAACTGTAGAAAGAGAAAAAGTTTAAAATTAGTTTAAAAGGTCAGAAAATGAAATGGAAGAAAATTTTTTAAAAAAAACTACATTTTTCTTCTTCTGCAAACTGAAAATTAAGCTTCTTCCAATTTTTGAAGTATTTATCACAACGAAAAACTTCATGAGAACAACAGAAACAAAAAAACAGGATGAGAAGTATTGAAAAATGAAAAATAATTTTTTGGAAACAGTTTTATCCATAGAGCAACTTTGTGGCAAAGTGAATATTTTCTGCGAGGCTTCATGCCGTGTTCAATTTGATTCCGCGAAATGCAAAATGATCTCTGACTCTCCAAAATCTAGTGATCTTTTCCTTTCTCTAACGGGTATTTTGCATTTCGCGGATTCAAATTGAACACGGCATCATCATTTTTTGTGCAAGCTTCGATTTTATCCAATTCCTTCTCATAATTTTCCCTACATAATGCTATTCTTGTTTTGAAACTCTGTCTTCAAAGAGAAGGAGAGTTTTTCCAGTAATTAAATCCTTTTCATCGGAAAAATCTCTCAAAAATCAATTTTCCTTCGAACAAAATTGCTTTTCTTCAGTTTCTTCATTCGAAATCACCTTAAACACGTCTCAGCTGCTGAAACCACCATCGCAAGCGACGAAATCGAGAAGAAAACGGCAAGTTTGCGACCCATGGCCTCGCCTGAAAAATGGTAAGTTTCGATTTCAATTTGAAAAAAGACGCGAAAGAATCGTATACGAAAAATAAGGGCGAAATTCACTTTCTCACTTCAATTTTGATGGTATAAAAATGGGCAAAGAAATTTCCAAAGTTTTCCACGGGTTCATCAAGAATTAATGGAATATTTTTGTCATTTTTTTGAAGATCGGAATTTAAAAAGAAAAAAAGCATATACGAGGGCGAAAAAGCTTTCCGGGTTGTTTTTAAAGCTTGAAAAAAACTTCAGAAAACTGTTTTAAAAAAAGACTAAAATCTTTTGGAGAGCTGAGTGAGATCCCGAGATAATTTTTAATGAATCAAATAAAAATCGCTAAAATCCCATGAAGCCTCTCGGAAACCGTTAAAAATCGGCCCCAATATTGTCGAAAAAAAAGAGTTGCGCAAAATAAAAAACGGGGCCAAAACGACCGCAGAATGGGGATCCGATATGATCTGCAAGGTGCGCGAAAGTGGAGCATTTCAGGCCTAATTTTCAACCTTGAAGTTGTCCCTTCATTGGATTAGCCGACCGCTTTTTTTCCTCCATTCTTTCGCTTCTCGACGTGTGAATTTACGAGGGGCACAAAAAATTGATGTTAGCGAGGAAAAAAAGAAGGAATAATGATGGGAGAAACGATTAAAATGTGGGATAAAAGGGTCAGAAATTGTTGTAAGAAACAGGAAAAACGGAAATGAATGTTTTATAACCAAAAAGTCACGATTTTTTTGCTGAAAGAGAATGTGAAATGGCACAAATTTCTCGAAAGTCGAGTTGAAATCTAGCATCTTGCGCGAACCGTTTTTAGTCGGGCGCAACTCGAATCACTTGTTCCACGGAGTTACAAGTGTTTGAAATATAATTGTATTGTCAAATTTAGAAGTGATGAAAAAAATATTTGAGAAGAAAAATCGGAATAACACGGTATTTAAATTTTTTTAAATAAGAAAAAAAGAGAAAAAGCTTTAAATTTTTTTTCATCAGTAATGACATTTTTTTCTCGAAGATTGAGATTTTAATCAGAAGAAATCTTTAAAATCAAGCCTCGAACGATTTTTTGCAATACAAAAAACGATTTTTAAAAAAAACGGGATGAAAAAAACGCCATTTTTGAGGGTCTTGAAACGATTCAACCTAGGTTGACTTCCCAAAACTTTTTTTTTGGAAGTTATAATTTTTTTTAGCTGGGTTTTTAAAACTTTCTGGCCTTCATTTGATCTTTTTTGAGCTCATTCATCAAAAATAGTCAATAATAAAGTTTGAACTTTTTAATGACAAAAGAAACATGATTACTGTTTCATTCAATCTTCAAAATAAACTCGATCTTCAATGACATCAGTACTAGTGGAAGTCGCAAAGCGTAAATTTTTTTGAAGATGATTAAAAGCCAGCTTAAACAACATTCCAGCTTCAAATTCATAACAAAAAAGCGAAGACAGCTGGAAAGACAATCTGTGAGCGGGTAGCTGGGAGCCGAAACTTTTCTCGATGAACGTTCCAAAAAAGGCCCAGGGCCATAAAGAAGGGCAATGGATTGAAGCGGGCGGAAGGTGGGAAGGATCGTAAAGTGCCGGGGTGTTGGAAAAGGGCGAAATTCCCGAGGATGGATGGCCCGACGCCAAGGTCAGATTATCACTGATGAGGTTGATTTGTTTGTCTCTTTGGGACATTCCGAAACATGGATAATGACAAGGTGATTAGGCTTTCGGGTGAAAAAGGCTGAAAATTCGCTTTGAGACATATTTTCCCCTTAGGGGCGGGTCTGAAAAATCGTACGCTTTGATAGAACATTTTTGAAAAAATAGCCGGGAAAATTATGGTCTTGTTAGCTCCACCGATAATCACGCTCCAAGGCGAATTTCGAGAAATTTCGTTTAATTAAATCGAGAAAACTATTAGATTTTCACACTCTGAAGATCAGAAAATGCAAAAAAAAATGAAAGGATAAAATCCACAAAAATAATTGGCTTCCGACTGAAAACCCAACAACTTGTATGCTCTACGGAGAAGTTTGAAACTCTGTATGAGAAAAAGCCGTTTAGTGACGGAAAATGTGCTCTATGAATAAACTCTTGAAGTTATATACCCAAAACAAGAGAAAATATCAATCATATTCAAACTGGTCGAACATACAAAGAACTATAAAAAATTCGAGAAAAAAGGCCAAACGATATCTGAGCATTTGCGCTCCATAGAGAATCGTCAAGTTTTTCTGTTTTTTCCTCGGGATGTTTCTGGGCAATTCTAGGGATCACTTAAGAGTTCTGAGGCTACTAAAGTGGTCACTAGAAATGGTTGCGAGAACGCCTAAATGACTTCCCTATTTTTTTCTTTGAGAATGAATTCTGAAAAAATGAACTTGATTCAGTAAAACTTGATTTTAAAAAAAAGTTCGAACTCAGATTTTTACGGAAATCTTTTCATACTTAAACTTTGGCTTTTCCAGGAAAAGCATCTCGAGCGCAAGTTACATAATTCGATCAGAAAAACGGGGGGAAAAAGGGGATCGAAATGGCTTTGAATGAGTTGCGACTGTTGTGGCGGTTTACAATAGGGCGACCGTTTCCTTTTCATCAGATTCCGACGGCTTTCGACGCAAGTCACGGCAGATTTTGATCAAATATGAATGGTCAACGATTTCCGTGCCCTTTTTCCAAGTGCAAGAGAGTTTTTCAAAGTAATTTATCACTTTTTGGGAAGGGGGACGATTTTTCTGTTTCAAAATTGTCCGGGTACTATAAAAATAATTCAGGAAGCTTACAAACTTTCGGAAAATTCAGTATGAAGAGACATAAAAAAAGTTAATTTTTCAACTAAAGATAATTAGGCCTGGTTGATAATAAAAAGCAATATAGTATATTCGCCACGATTTGAAACAGTCTGACCTGTCTGCGCTCTCTTCTCTCTCATCGAGAGCAGAAAAAGGAAAAAAACAGTGAAAGACAAAGAGAGTCACTGAAAGAGAAGAGTGCGCAGAGAAATCAAAGAAATTCAGTTCTGGCGAAGGAAACTAAAAAATTTTGAAAGGAATCCATTTTTTCAAGCCGATTTATTCACAGTACACAAAATAATTTTTCCTAAGGAAACGACTTGAAAAAGTCTGACTTCTCTGCTCTCTCTTTTCTCTCGTCATTTCATATTTCTATTCAATTTCAAAAAATGGAAAAAAGGGCGCAGACAGGTCAGAAGTAAGTAAAATTGAGTATGAATCCGGATTTTTTTGTGAAAAATGCAAAAATGGTTTTTTTCTCAAGTAGAAAATCGTCAATGACAGGTTTTCACAATAGCTAAAAATAATTAAAGACCAAATGAAACTTTAAAATAGTTTTGGGAGGGAGCGAAAAGAGTGCGCAGACAGGTCAGATCATTTTCAACTCATGAAGGAGGATCTAGTATAGCTTTAAAAAAAGTCAATAGAAGAAAACGGATAATTTATAAATCAACCTATTTCAAAAATTCTTGCAAAGTTCAAAAGTAATTTTTCGGAAGCAGAGCCATCTCCAAAAAAAGCTAAAAATAATAAAGGCCGACCAATATTGTCAAAGATAAGGCAGATAAAATCAGCGACGTGAAAAAGATATATGAGGCGAACGATTGAAGACAGGAAAAGGCCTTGAAACTGTCTCCAGTGGGTGTTCGGTTCCGTGGCCGCCGTTGTTTCATTTATCTTGCCGGCTGCCTAATTAAGGCAGGAACGATACATCACAGGGTAATCTGTTTGAATTTCGGGTTCGGCGGTCCTTTTTCAAAAAAATCATCCAAAAAAATAAAAAAATCAAAAAAATCATCCAAAAAAATAATAAAGCCCGTCCTCCGCGATTTGAAACTTTTTGAAGGATTTTTGAAAAAGTCTGAAGTTCTCATTTTAAATGACTTACTTCATAAAATTGAAAAATATTCGATTTGGAAAAAAGTTTATTCTGAAAAAATGAGATTAGAATTTCATCTCTATAGTCCATACGTCGCGACTTGAGATTTTTCGAGTGTCTGGCGAAGTCAGAGATAAAGGAAAACAGCACGTCGACATGAGAGAGTCGCCGAGAGACGAGGAGGGCGCAGAGAATAATGGCAATTTTCAAGTTGTTAAAAAAAGGCTATAAATTTATTTCAGTTCAAAAAGTGATATGAAAAATATATATCAAGATCTATTCAAGCATTGGTCGCATTTGGAATGGCTCAAAGCGTCGCGGCCGCGTTGCGGTTGTAGTCAGCTCCGCGGCCGACTTCTCATTGAATATTTGAACTTTTATTTCACTCTAATACATAAAATAACATTCGGCAGATTTTTCTTATTCCAAAGAGCAAGTCGATTTGTATTAGCGATGAAACGAACAAGCCGCTTCTTATTTCTTGAATAAGTACAATCTTTGAAACATAATAATGATTTGATGCAAAAAAACTCTTTTTTTCGATGTTTCCTATAATTAAAAAAATTTTTTTCACATAACGGAAGTTTTGCGGTTGAATTGTAGCTTGATCCAAATTTGAGAAATGGATGAGTTTGAGAATTTTTTTGATTAATTCGTTTTTTTATTAACATTTTTTTTTCGTATCAGGAGTTTCAAAAAAAGGTTGAAAAAAAAAGGTTATTTTTTTGCCCTTTTTAAGAATATAGAACAAAATTTCTCTGTAGAAAAAAAGAAGGGAAGGGACAAAAAAAGCCGTGGGGTCACAAGATTAAGAACTTGGAGAGAGGAGGTCCCGTAAAAGGATTTGAATGAAGAGATGGAAGAATGAACCAGTTGCGAATCCGCTTACCTCGATTTTTTTCGCAAAAATAAGAAGGTTTTTGGATATTTTTCAGAGCAAAGGCTTCAATTTTATCTTTTGAATTAGAAATAAGCGATTTTTTTGGAATCTTTACTTTTTTTAATCGAAGTGATTTTTTTGGGAAATGTACAGAGAATACTGAGGTTCCAACAGGGAATGTAATTCTTTAACTTAAAATTTTAGTTTTTTTAAGGTTCAAAAATTATCAAAAAAAATTAATTAATCATCCGGAAAAAAACATAAAAAAAGCCTTTTTCGAATTTCCCGTTTCAAAAAAATATTAACATTTTAGAGCTCTAGCAGGACAATTTCAGGCCGTCAATAAGTGCTAAAATTCAAAAAAATGTATAACATTGAAAAAAAACTTTTTCTGAGGAAAGAGACTTTGATAAATTTGCATCAAAATCATATGAAAAGATTATTTTTGAGGGACTTTTTAATTTCAAAATTGCCAGTTTGAGCCATAAAAGAAACTTTTTTCGAAACTAGTGAGGCTCCAACAAGAAAGATAATCTATAGCCATCATAAAATTCGCCAGTTTGGGGCAAAGGAAACCAGAAGAAACATCAAACCCAGAAGCTGAACAAGAAAATTATTGTCACAACCTATCGTCCGTGATCCTAATCGACCGTGACAGCTTTCACTAGCCGAAAAAGAAGAATAATATTATGAAAGAAACTCTGGAAACGAGGCAAAGGTTTGTAGGGGATATTGGAGAAGGGCGTCGGCCTGGAACGAGACGGCGTCACCCGAAACTTGTTAGATCAGTTGAGAGAAGAGGACGGACGATTGCGTCGGGTCCAGTGATAAGTGATTGGGTCCGTGATCCCAGATGATATCTTTCGGTTCTTGTTGGCATTCGAACGTCATAGCACTTTTTACGCTTTATGAAGAGTTTCTCAGGGCTTTTGGACGCGTAGCGGTCGCGAAGCGGTTTGAATTTGAGAAAAAAAAAGGTAGGAGCTTCGAAAAACGACATTTTTAGTCTTGTTGGTATTGTGATCACTTTTGAAGATCGTTTTAGGGCGATTTAAACCAAGTTTCTCAGGACTTCTGGACGCGTAGCGGTCGCGAAGCGGTTAAGGATTGAGAAGAAGGAAAACTAAGGGAATTCTTAAAAGACTGAAGCTCTGAATAGTGCTTTCTTCGAGTTCTTCTAGGCATTGGAACATCGTAGATCTTTTTTTTCGGTTTCTTCAGGACTTTTCAGACGCGTAACGGTCGCGTAGCGTCTTTTTGAAGCCTAAGTATGAGAAAAAATCTTTTGCTTTAAAGAAAATTCAGAGTCCTGAGCTTTAAAATAATAACATGTGAATCCAACAAACCTATTTTTAGCTTTGAAAATTTAAGTGATCCACGAAGAACTGGTATACCTATATGGCTCAAAAAAATTGCGAACAAACGCGCTCCATTGATAAATAAGCAAATTTAAGGAAAATGTCTAATTGACGTTTTTTTTACAGATTTTCCAACAGATTCTTGAAGAAAAAAAATTTGAAGATTGATCAGAAAAAAAAAGATGATAAAAATTTTTGTGACGAAGACCTTGGATCGTTTTTTTCTGTCCACCAAGCCTGTTGAGAACAAAAAACGGAAGTCCAGCCATTTTTTACGCTTGATATCCAGAACAAAAAGCGGCTGAAGAAGTGCGTTTGATTGATGGTTTTGATATCCGAAATGTTGCGACTACAGGACCGGTTCCCGTGGGACAGACTTGTCACACGTTTCACGCGTTATCGATAAGATTTATCATCGAGTATCGGTTCAAAGTAGTTTTTAATAGCATAAAATGAACCTAGGTTCTTGGAAAAGTTCGAAAATTGCCTTTTTTCCCATCAAAATATACGTGAAATGAGTCAATTTCGAGCAGCAAAACACAAAAGGATGGACTTTCGAGGCGTTACCGGAACAAACAGTAGTCATCCACTTGAAAACAGTTGCGATGAGTGGGTCTGGTCACAGAGAAAAGAAACTATGAGCAATACGGCTAGTTAAAAATAAGCTTTTGAACTGAAAAGCTTCTTTTTTTTACAGGGTTTAGAATAATTATAGATTAATTCAATGCATACAATAAAAAGTAGTTTTAATGAAAAAAGTAGAAAAATTAAGTTCAATTAGCAGTAGCGGGAAGCATGAATGTACTTTTGGATCATTTTGGAATCTAACTGGGAGATACTCTAGTGGCTACTTAAGGGGCTCCTCAAGGACTAATTAGAGAGGACACTAAAGCTGCCACTTCAATCACCTATTTGCGTCTTAGAGGTCACTATAGTAGTTTCTTGGGGTCCAACAGTACCACAGAGAATTCAAAAAGGGCAAGTAGAATTTAGACACTTAAGTGGTCACTAATCCGACTACTATAGTGGCCACTAATACGTCAAAACCCTAAAGAGGCCACTAAAATTTTGCAGGAACTTCATATTCCATTCATAAAATCTTTGAAGTGGTCATTAAATAAGTTAGAGAACAAAAATCCCCATAGGGGGCGACATAGTGTTCCCTAGAGGGCTGAAATTCAGGTGGTCCTTTTAGAAGTTTAGGGTTTGCTCCCAAGACCCTAAAGTTTTCAAGTGGTCCCTAGAGGGGTCTTTCAATTTTTGTTCCGATTTTAAAGTTAAAAAAGGTATTGGGGCCTCTAAGATGCTCCCCTAGAGCTCACACTTTTGCCCTCTAAAATGGAAGATAAGACGTTTTTTGAGAATATAAGAGCCCCTTACGTTACCCTTCTAGTGACCCCTCCGACGTTAACAAGTCACAAGGAAATATCACATATGAATAAATAAATAAATAACGAGACGTACGACGGAACAATGGGCCGCTGGGAAGAACGCATGTTTGGCCGAAATCTACAAGAGGTGCTCGAAAATCTTATCTTCCCTCTGCATGCTCGTCGGGGAACGCCTCGGGGGCTGAAAAATCGCCTCGATTATGCTGTTTTGATGGAATCACAACCAGTTGCTGAGCTCAGAGATGGAGAAAGAGTAAAGTTTTAAAATTTAAGCTCAACTTTTCTTTTGAAACGAAAGTTTTGAAATTTCAAACTTTAGACTTTTAGACTTAAAATATTGAATTTGAACGCAAGCTCAATCCCTTTTCGATTTTTCGAGCTAATTTTTGTTTTGAAACGTGTTTCCGAGCTTGCAAAAAGCATTTATGAAGTGATTTTGAAACCCAAAATTTCCCATAAGTTACAGTTTTTTAAACTCAGAGGCTTTTTATTGACTTCTTAAGGTTCCTTCTCATAGAAAAAGTCGGAAAAAATTCGCCCAAATTTCTGCTCTGTCAGTAATTTTTTTAATAAAATAAAAAAATATTCGAAAAAAAAACCAAATAATGGCAGTTTTAACGAATATTTCATGATATTTCAAGCGTGGAGTATAATTTTTAAATTTATTTCTCAAGGCTTTTTCCTTTTTTGTTTTTATAATAAAGTTTCTTAAAACCGGTTTCGCACAGGTTCTGCTCCAAATTCCAAAATACCGTCTTAGGCTCGCGAGGAAAACCAGCATGTGCGCCCTATCGCACTCGTAGGGGCCTCTTAAGAGGCGTCACGCTCTATTTTTCCCACCATTTTATTTTTATTTTTCTCTCTATATTTCAACATTTCGTCACTATTTACTCTCACGTTTTGCATTTTTTCGAAGCAAATCGGAATTCTTTCAGGGTTTTTCTTTTTATGATCATTTGGGACCTACGGCTAATTCAAGAAGTTTGTCGATTGTTCCTGAGAAAATCTCCAACCCAACACTTTTCGCAATCATGTCTATCGCCAGCAAGCGTCGCTTCATCACCAATAAGGTAGGAATGTTGAAAATTAGTGGTTTTTTGAGAAAATGATAAAATTAAGGTGGAGTCCGAGATGTACACCCCGGCTGAAGGGGACGTCATCGCGAAAGTTATGCAATCGCGCGGAAATAATTTACACGAGGTTTTTGATTTTATTCAGATAGAAAATAAGATAATTTTGAAGGTTGTCGACGAGTTTGGCGAAATTTACGTGGCGAGTATGCCTTCAAAGTTCAGAAAGGCGGTCTGGATCCGACGGGGCCAATTTGTCGTCCTTCGTCCGATCGACGAGGGTGACAAGGTTTTTTTCATCAATATTTGTTTGTTGATCATGAAAATTGAAAAAGAAAAAGTCATAATTAGAAAAAGATTAAGTTTTAAAACTGATTTTATCCGTTTAAATTCAAATTTTCTCTGTTTTTGCTCAAAGTTCCATTTTTATCAGCTACTTAGTTGACACAGAAAGCTTTATTGAATAAATTTTTTTGATAAAATCGATTGAAAATAAATAATTTCCAGGTGAAAGCCGAAATCGAACATGTTCTTGACGAGGAGAACGTCTTGTACATATGGGAGTGCAAAAAGTTGGTTTTTTTTTTTTAAGCTTCTAAAAATAATTAATTTTTCATCCCATGTGACTTTTTTTCAGGTCTTGTTTATCACTTTTGAATTCACAAACTTGTATTTCCCGTTCTTTTTTTGGTTATATTTCGAAAAAGGAATAATTAAAAAGAAATATAATAATTGAAAAATTCGGACTTTTTAAACTTTTTCTTTATAGTCGATTTTCTTTTCCGTAAATGTTTTTGAAATTTTCACTCGAAATCTTACCTTTTTTTCAAATCATTGATTATCAGTTTATTATAACTTGTAGTGAGAAAAAAAGCTCTGATTTTTGGGCAACTATTTTCAAAAGATTTTTTTCAAAAAGGGGCTTTTATAAAATGTTCATAAACATGATTTTTCTAACGTTTCAAGATGGCCTGAACGATTCGAAGCCGACGCGGAGCAGATGACCCGCGCCTCGAAACGGGGAAGTGCTGTTTCGAAAGATCCGGCGAATAATCCGACCATCGACGACGACATGCTCCCGCCAAGGTCTGTTCTTCACTAATTTCATCGATATTTCCGTTTGAGAATCATTTTTAACTGATGCCGTGTTCAAAAGAATTTGGCCAATTTGAAATTGATTTATTAGTGGTTCTGCAGAATTAAAAAAAAAATCAAAAACCGTTAAAAAAATGGGTCCTAGCAACGTTGTATCGCGACATGAGGGGATTTTATTTTTTTCGTTTAAAGATTCTCAAAAAAATTCCTGAAATTCGGATATTAGTTCATACAAGTCGCCATCTCGTTGTAGAAAAAAAGTTTTTTTAACGGATCTCGGAAATATAAATTTTGCGTATCAAAGATTAAAATTTAAAAAAATAATGATATTTTTTTCTAGTTCTTCGTGTGTTTTTACTGATTTTTATAATCTAGAATCAAAGAAACAAGTATACTATTTACGAGTATTTTTCCGCAGTGTTTATCACTCGAAAAAAACATGCGACTTTGAAAATACGAGCGTTTTAACTATGCGAACTTCATATAAAACTACCAATACGTAGCGCTTTTTTTGTGTTTCAACATGTTGAAGTGGAAAAATAACCTCAAAAAAAGTTTAAATTATTCATTTTGTTTGTAGTTTCTACCAGCTTTTTTTGCATCCATATGTTCCCGAACAGATAATTTAATTAATGTTCTTGTGAAGTGAGAATTTAGTCCTCTATAGTTATAGATCTATAAATGGCTGATTGAAGATTTTTTTGAAATATGCTTTACGTAAAAAAATTCCTTGGTTCAATGTTTTACTGTTTGTGAAATTTGAAGTATACTCTGTTTTTTTAGTATAAAGGAAATAGCTATGAAGCAATAAAAAAAGAAAAATTTTTCAAGAAGAAAAGTAAAAAAATTAAGCGAGAGCGACGAGGACGAAGACGAAGAGCCTGCTTCGGATTCAGAAGACGTCGACGACGAAGAGGATTCGGAAGACGACGACGAGTTCGACACGTACAATCCCAATCGACAAAATTGAAATTCGGTCTTGATAACGGGTTATCTGATCACTTGTTCTTGTTAGAAATCATTGCCACTTTCTTTTTTTTCCTGGAATTTTCATTCTTCAGTGTTAGTTGTGATGGTATTGCTTGAATCAGCGTTGTCTTTGACTTTTGAGGGAGAAATAGTGAGCGAAAATGAGAGGTTTAGAGAGCCTGTAGAGTTTGGAATATTGTGTTGAAATAGCGTTAAATAGAGATCGGGATTATAAAATTGATTCTTGAAATTTAAATTTTGGAAAATCCAGAACTTTGCCACGATTTTTGGGCCTTTGCCAAGCTTTTAAAGTTCTCTGAAACCTCTTATTTTTGCGCACTATTCCCCTCATCTTTGCAGGAATTTTCTACTTTCTTTTTTTTGAAAACCCGCTGGAATTTTTCAAAAAAGTTAACGGACAAGTGTACCATCAAAATTTCGATTTTCATTCTTTTTCGTTGTTTTTTTTTTTGTTTTTGCTTGTGGAATGAATATGCTTCCTTTTCTCTACAGAGTTTCAAATAAAAAAAGGAAAAAATTGAAGTTTTCCTTGAAATATCTGAGTTTTTCTCGTAAAAATCGAAATTGAAAAAATCCTACACTTTTTTCTCATTTATGGCATACCAAAATTCTTAGGTCCTCTAGAACCTCTTACTTTTGCGTGCTATTCCGCTGGTTTTTTTCCAGGATTCTTCACTTTTTTTTCTTGATTCTCACGGTTGATTATACCGGGAAAATTTCGATTTTAAATCGCTTTTGTCGTTTTTTTTTCTCTTTTTTTGCTTATCGATCAATGAATATGCTTCATTACTCTACAGAGTTTCAAATCAAAAAGGGAAACGTTGAAATTTTCCTTTTTTATTTTCCCCATGACTCAACTGATGGTTTGATCGAATTTGACGGGTGAAGTTTCACTTTGGCAATGAGGATCTCGTTTTGTGGGAATCTCCTTCTTCTACAGAACGATCATACATTGTGGTTTTTGTTCTTCGCGCGTCTTTTGCAGCTTTTCGGCTATTTAGGGCTGTTTAGATGACGAAAATCAGCTTTTCCTTCCTGGGAATTCGATAAATATTCACTTCTGAACTTATTATCTGATTTTGATACGCCTGAATTGACTTCTTTTTTTGAAATTACATGCCGAAACAACTTTACTATACTGGGAAAAGTGGCCACTATAGAGGCTCGCCAAGGACTACTTGAAGAGGACACTTAAGTGGCCGCTAAACCCACCTCTATAGGGGCCATTATTTTCCGTTTTAGTGGCCACTATAGAGGTTCTCCATTTAGTGGCCACTTCAGTAGTTTTTCATCCAGTATTGCTTCCAGTAACTCTGATAATTTTAAAACAAACAGATTGGACCAGTTATGTTGATCCATTGACCCCTAAAGTGGCCATTAAACATTTTAGTGGTCTAGTAGTAGCACTTAGACCTCTATAGTGGCCACTAATTTTTAACCCCTTAAGTGGCCACTGAAAAGTCCAAACCCTATGAAGGCCACTAAAAATTTTCTCAGTAGTCTGTTCATTGAATCTCAAGTCGTCGCTCAAGCCCCGCCCCTTATGGCTCAATAAACCAATCAGAGAGCGAGCCATCCACAGAGCTTTTTCGAATGACGTCATCGTACTTGACATTCAAAATTACATTTCTTTATTTAGTGCCACTTTTCTATAGCCGATCCACTTGGGACTCTAAAGGGGCGTGGCCTGTCTGCGCTCTCCACCAACCATGCACTGTCTCTTTTCTTATCGTGCCAGGACCCATTTCTGAAGGCCACTCGTGAAACAGCTATTACTTTTTGAGCTTTTTCTAGAATTGAACCTTTTTTATATATTATTAACTCTGTCTGAATTATGCAGTTTAAAAAAGAACTACAGTCGATTATTTTGAAATTTTTAGTTTTTTGCATTTTCTTCCAAGCTTGGCGTCAATTTTGTATACGATGTTTCAAGAATTTCAAAGTTTTTATCATTTTTTTCAACTTTGAGTTTTTTTCAAGACATATTTAGAGAATTTTTTTGTACCGGGAAATTTCATTTTTTCACTGATATATTTAGTTAAGACGATTTTTTTCCTGATTTTTTTATTTTTTTATTTTTTTAAGTGTCAGTGATTCTACTCTAATTTTCACTGTTTCATGTCTACTATAAAAATAATTCTTCCCGTCTTTTTCGTTTATTTCTGTCATCTAAACTTGATAAATCAGTGATTCTACTCTAATTCCCATATAAATATTTAATTAATGGTTTAAAGAAATAGTTTTTTTGAATATTTTTTTGTATTAACCTCCTTCATTTCTCTCATTTCCCACAGATGCATCTAGTTAAAATTTTTCAAACAAGTAACTTTTTTTCATTTTTCTCGTTCATTTTTATTTTTTAAAATTGATAAATCGGTGCTTTTATCTTCATTTTTCCACATATATATCTATTTAAAGTTAGAAAAAAATCTAGTTAAAATGGTATTATTTATAAAAATTCAAAGTTTTTTTTTTTGAAAAGTTGAAAAGTTAATTTTATATCTTTTTTTTCCTTTCTTTATTTTCTGAGTTGATCAGTGATTCTACCTTCATTTATCTCTTGATTAAACCAGTTCTCCCCCAAATAATTTCTTGGAAAAACGAATTTTCTGAAATGAAAAGACGGCGGTCACCCGACCCCATCGGCTGTCTTATCAACTGATTAGTGTGTGTGGCCGAGTCTCTTTCTCTCTCTTTCCCGTTTCTAATCGATAATTTGATGGCCAATCTGCTTACTTTTCATCATTTTTGTGTTGAGTTTGATAACAACTGATTGAGATTTTTGAATCTAAATTAGATCTCTGTTTCAAAAACCTTGTGAGTTGAGTTTTTTTTTTCAAAAGTTTGATTTTGACAGAATGTCCGATAAGAAAAATATTTGAAAACTGGTTCAAAAAAAAAAATGATTAAATGTAGTGTTCAAAGTGATTTCCGCGAAATGCAAAATTATCTCTGACTCTCTAAAATTTAGTTATCTTTTTCCTTTCTCTGGCGGCTATTTTTGTATTTCTTTGAAAAACATAAGGAAAATTTATTTTTTTGTTTCATTTTCCAATGTAAATTCCTTGTTTTGGAAAAAATATGTTAATTAAAGTCTTTAGGAACTCAGTTTTTTGTGTTAAATTTTACTGGTTAGAGAATTTCCACGCAAAAAACTTTATAAATTGAGGCAAAAAAGCATTAATCGATAATTTTATCCACTACATCACTTCTCAGTTTCACAAAATAATTAGAAACAAATGATTCAAGCACATTTTAGTTGTGAGAGTTCAGTTTCATTAAATTTTTTCTCATTTTCCCTCCTTAAGAACGATGGAGTGGTCCCTATAGGGCAGCCTTAGGGTTTCTTGAACGTTCCCCTTTAGGGTCCACTTTAATTCCATCTAAAGGTCACTAAAGCTTGCGAAAGTGGTAACTCTAGGGAAATATGATTACTGTGAACTCTATGAGAAGAAGCATCTCAATGAAAAAAAATTTTATTGAATACGTCTTACAAATCTAATCATATCAAAAAACCCTGTAGGGACCACTTGAGTATTTATAGAAAACAGACCCTAAGTCCCTATAAGAGCCGCCTAAACCTTATCCCTATAGGGGGAACTTTTTGGTTCCCTCTAGAGTTGTTCTTTTCGCATAGCCCCTAGAGGGACCACTCTGTCGTGCCTAAGTTTCTTTGAATAGAAGAATGTCCGTTTTTTTCTCTCGAAGAATATAAAAACGTGATGTTTGAACCGTTTTCTGTGTTTTGTTATTCTTTCTTTTCCAAATTTTCAAATCGAAAAATCGAAAGTCGCCTGAGTTCGTTGGACATTTTTGTCCGGATTATGCAAATTCCAAATTCCGAAGTTCCACGTGTTTTTCTGTTCAGTTTCGAAACCCAAGAACTTTTCGGAATAAAAGTCGTCTTTTGTGCCATTTTCCGACGTTTTTGGGTGAATCGAAACGTTTCAATTCATCCAAAAACGTTATTGTTCTAAAAGTTATATTGAAACGTTTCGATTCATGTCTTCCTTTGATTTTTCCGTTCTTTCGCCATTGTTTTCGTCCTTTTCTGCCGTTCTGGTCGACTTTACAATGTTGTTTGGTCGCGGCTGTTTCTTATTGATCTTTTCTATCGTTTCTCATTTATTCCCATTTATTTTTCAGCTTCAAAAAAGGAGAAAACGCTTTTCAACTATAAAAATGGGCAACAGCAGCTCGTTGATGCTCCGCGATGAGGAAATTGAGGAGATTATGAGGGAAACTGAATGTTCGTCTTTGTTTTTTTAAAGAAAGAAATCGAAGAAAAAAATCATAGATTTTTTTGTAGGAAAAAAATCGCGAAAAAAACTGAAAAAAAATTGTTTTTTTGAGTAGGAAAACTTGAAAAATTGAATTTAAAAAAAAAGAAGAAGATTTTTTTGAAGGATGACTTGAAAAGTTGAAAGTTGAACAATTTTTTTAAGCAGCATTAAAAACATGTTTGTGTCATAAAAATTAAAATAATCGACTTTCAAAACATTTTTAGCACTAGAAAAAAATGTGTAGCACTAGAAAAAATGTGTAGGAAAAAAATTTGAAAAATAGAAATTCCAACAAAAATTTATACAATTTTCAATCAAATTTTAGACCTTGATAACATTCAAAAAAATAATTTTTTTCATTGAAATATTTTATGAAAACTTACTTTTCAATAGAAATTATCAAGAAAAAAATAATAAAATTTTTCTAAAAAAATCGAAGTTTACTTTGTTTTTTTGTTATAGAATTTGACAAAGAAACGGACTTTATTGTCTTGTTCACCCTATTTTCTCGAATAATGTAATTTTTGAAAGTGTTGATATAAAAATTCGAGATGAAAAATTTTTTTGGTAATGGTGGCTTCTCAATTTGGAAAAAAATATTCACAACTTCAATCTGGATTATAATACATTTATCGATATTTCCAGTCAATCGCAATCAAATCGTCCGACTCTACAGCCGATTTTTTTGTCCCTGGACAAGAAAGGTTTGTTTTTTAAAATTATTTAAGAGGATTTTTGAAGGTTTTTTTAATGGTAAAAGTTCAAAAAAATTAATTTTTTTGAAAAAAATTTTTCAGGGCAAGGATACCTATCACGTGACGATTTCCTGAATGTCCCCGAGTTGGCCGTAAATCCACTGGGAGACCGAATTGTCGACGCTTTCTTCACTTTAGCGTAAGTTTCAAGAAAAAAATAGATCAAAAAAACGATTTATTTAGAAATTAGAAAATGGGTGGAACTTTTTAACTGACTTTGACGTTTCACTGTACATTTTTTTAAAAAGCAAAAAAAAATTTTTTTCTTAATAATCGGCCGTTTCAATGCTTACAGTAACTTTTTTTGGAAAGTTAGGCCGTATTCTGTATTTGTGAAATGCGACCTTCACGATAGGATCTTCGTTTTTCCATTTTTCTTTCATTTTTCCATTTTTATAATTTTTTTCTTTGTTTTTTCTGTGTGAAATTTACGATTTTGTTTTTATTTGGAATGGATTTCTAATTTTTCTTGACATTTTTTTCAGTTCGAACTTTCCATTTTAAACTAATTACTTCTAGAAATATTCGAATTCAACATTTTTTTCACGTTTTTTTATCATTACATTTTTTTCTATATTTCGAAAAAAACAATTGAAAGTAATTAAATAAACTTTCTTTAATGAAAAATTACCGTCTTTATAATCGTGAAGGTCGTAATTCACAAATCAAACCCACGGCCTAAGTTCCCAAAAAAAATGACGGCCTAACTTTCATAGTTGTCACGAAAACATCCATTAACAGATTTTTGAAGCCTTTTTTAGACAAAAATGAAGAAGAAAACGACTTTTTGCCATTAATTGGAAGTGAAAAATAAATGAAAAATAAAATTTTAGTGGCGACAATGAACAGCAGCAACTGAATTTCCGGCAGTTCACCCGGATTTTGGCCCATTTCCAGCCGGTTTCCAGGTCCAAAACCAACGTCCTCAACTCCCGACGCGACAAATTGCTGTGTAAGTTTGAAACGAAATAATAAATTAGTTTCGAAACACATTAAAAACTTTTTATAAGTTGAGTTTAACGTTTCAGAACATCAAATCATTCATTTTGTTGTTTTAGTCTGATGTAATCGGTGAACATGAACTTTAAAAGCTATGACGAACAACCGCCTTTGGCGAGCTAGAAGTCCAAACGTGAAGTCGAAAAAGTTGAAAGCATGGTCTTACGGTCTTTTGCCTCGTTCTTCTGCGCGTAGGCTATCCAGTTGAGAGCTCAGAATGTAGTGGATGATGTAGCTGGAGCCCGGAGACCGTCCTCTAGGTCAAAGCCTTGAAATGAGATGGACCACAGATGAGTCAAGACTTTGAACGGAGTTACAAGGTCAGAAGTAACTATCAGGAAACATTTGGAAATAAAAACGTTTTAGGATAATTAGTTTCCAAATAGAGCTCACGGTGTTCTCAAACGGGGTGGGGAGACGTCAAAAAAAATTTTGGCGCGAAATTTGAAATCTACAGTACCCAGCCGAAGGCGATCGAACAAACAACTTATTAACGTTTAATACTCAGTGTAATTATGACGTAGAATGACGTCATTTTATCCGTAGCGCGCACTAAATTTTTTCTGTAAATTCAGAAACTTTGACGCCTCGCTCACCTTACCTCACCCCGTTTGGGAACGGCGTGAGCTCGATAAATTGAAAAAAATTACGAAAAATCTTTTTTTTCAGGGAATTCTTTAGTTTTTTTTATCAGTTCCCTACAGGAAGTAAAATATACAAAAACTGCGCGTTCCGAATATTTGATTGAAAACACACAAAACCTCTTTTTTTTCGAAAATGTCGAGAAAAATTCAAATATAGTGCTAAAAAACAGCAGGTCTGCCTACACGGAAACGAAGTTCAAAAGCTGTTCGATCTACGTTTCTCAAAGCCTATAAAGAGACGTGAAATTTCAAGTGGATGTTCACCACGATAACATTATCTTATTATAAAATGACCTCGCGGATAATCTTTTTTTATTGTTTTTATGGATGGAAGCCTCAGAATGAGAGAGCGACCACAGCAGAGTGAAGATTTTACACGGAATGTTGAAATTGTGAAATTAAAAGTTGAAAAAAAGCTAGTATATATATATACAAAAAAAGTCCGTATTCATATATAAATATACGGACTTTATATATATATATATATATAAACAAACGGACTGCTAAAAGCTTTAAGTGAAGGCTCTAAAAAAAAAAATAATGCTTTTTTTCAGTCGCCTTCAAGATGTACGACCTGAACAAGAACAACTACATCACCCGTGAAGAATTCAAGGTGATCCTCAACTGCATGGTCGGCGCCAACATCACCTCCGAACAGGTAAAAAACCAATTCTTTCTGAAAAATGTCATTGCTTTTTTCGATTTTAAGTTTTTTCCGATTTTATTATTTTTATTATACATAACATGATTTAAAGCTCGACAAAATCGCTGATCGGACGATCGAAGAGGCCGACGCGGACAAGGACGGAAAAATCTCGTTCGATGAGTTTTGCAAGGTTCGTTTTGGAATAATCGAGAAATTCAGAGATTTTTTCTAAAAATGGGGAAAAATAAGTGTCATTGGAGCGCATTTGACTCTCTGCAGAATTTTGATTAGAAAAATGAGCTTCTAGTGGTTCCTTAAGTACTTTGAATGCTGAAAAAACTCCTTTTTTGTGTTGGAATCGAGAAATTTACTATAGTGAACCCTTGGAAAATTTTGAGTAGTTTTGCGGAAAATGAGCCGCAATTCAGTGGAGCGAGCTTTACATGAGTAGTACTTTAGATAAAAGCACTAAAGTGGCCACTTTGGCCAAGTAATCACCTCGGTTTTTAATACCATCGGAACTCGATTTTCATAGTTCTTAAAAATTTGAAGTGGTCCCTTGAGGGGTTCACGTAGAAGATTGCGAAGCTCTTGAAAAAGCTCTGAGGAAGAATAAGTGGCCACTTAATGGAACAGAAAAAAGCTCTGAATTTTTCAAAAAGCAGGATAGCGGCTCCAGTGATAGCTCATGGCTCAAAGCTTTAAAACAGGAAAAAAATTGAGTAGTCCCTTAAGGGGTTCGCGTTTGAAGTCCCTGAAGTGGCCCTTAAGATGTTTTTTAAGAGAGAGTTCCTCTTTTAAACGGCCATTTTTTTATTTTCGTTTTTTGATAAGGAAACCCCTCTAGAGGCCACTTCAAGACAGTTTTATCAAAAATTGCGAATTTTAATGATGATAAGTGAGGATTTTTCAAACTTGGTTCCAAAAATTAAGTTTTTCAAAGTCTAAAATTAATAATCATTAAATTTTCCTTTTTCGAGGCGATGGAGAAAACCGACATCGAGGAGAAAATGTCGATCCGATTCTTGAACTAACTGCAAATTTTTCCCAGAAAATAAATCAATAAATATCCCAGATTCCTGTACAAAATCCCACTACTGATATTTGCTCAAAACCCTTTTTTTCTGTGATAAGATTGATAAATTCTAGTTGTCGCATAATTTCTTTCATTCAAATGTTCAGAGATTTTTTTTCCGATGCTATAGGGATTTTTATTTGAAGGTGTACGGTATGTGAAAGTCCGCAATCGGGGTGTATGCACTATCTGAATGGTACCGTACATTTTCAATGTAAAATTTATAGTTTTAAGCGTTTTCTAAAGTTTAATCCGTTTTGATAATTTTAAAACGTGAAATGTGCAAACACGCGCCCGCCGATTGCGGACTTTCACTTACAGTACCCCTCGGAAAATAAAAAATCGCTTTTTTTTTTCCTCTTTAAATGTTGCTTGATTGTTTATTTTACTGGTTATTTTCTCACAAGGTCCCAGATTTCATGCCCCAACCAAAAATATTCCTTTATTTCATATATTATATCATCTCTCACCTTCAACCCGAACGACGAAAACTACATTTATTCTTTTATTCTCTGTAAATTTATTCCGATAAACCTTGAAAATGTCACTTTATTCGAATTTTCTACGTTAGAAATGGGAAAAGAGGGGATTTTACAGTGGAGCGCACTCGCCCTTGCAAATTGCGCCTTGGCGGTCCTTCTGCACCGGCTTCAAGTCGTCGCCCACCTGTAATTTTTTTAAGGGGAATTAAATCAAATATTTAGGATTTTTCAGAGGTTTTTTTGAGGTTTAAAATATGGTTTAAAAAGTCGAAAAAAAGGTCTTCTTGAGACTATTAAAGGGATCACTTTTTTTAAAAAAATTTCGAATTTTTTTAAAAAAATAAAAAAAATGTCAAATTACCTTGTAAGTAACGCGGCCGATTCCGTCGAGGGTCACCTAAAATTTCCCAAAATCATCATTTTTTTCAATATTTATCAATCGACCCTATTGAACAGTTCCGAAGAGATCAGGGGAAATAAAAAAAGCAAAAATTATATTATTTCGAAGCGAAACGGGAAGCTCATCTAACTGTCATTTTAAATTTTTCAAAAAAATTTTTTTCTAGCTTGAAAAAAATGAGTAAACTTGGGACCTTTTTTTGAGCTTCATTTGAAAAAAATCAAAGAATTTTTGAAATGTAATGAACAATTTTTGGGGAGAAAAAAACGTACCTTGACGGTCTGAGCCGGCTTGCCGTTCGCATCGAAAGTGGCGATTTCCCAGTCCTAAAAATCGAAATTTTTTGAGAAATTTATGAAATTTATAAGCTTTTGATAAGGCTTCTATCAGCTTTGATTTGACGTTGTTTAAAAAAATGGATTTTTTTCAAATAAAAACCTTCAATCCGCACTCGTCGGCCTTCTGTTGGAAGGTGTTCTTCTGGAGCTTCTTCATGTAGGTCCAGCTGAATAATTTATTTTTTTGGACTATTTTTTTGTATTTATAAGCCTGACAGTCTTATTTTTTTACCTTTTTTTCCACTCGAAAAAAATAGAAAAAAATTAGCTTCAAATTGAGCTTTTTTGGTGGGTTATATCAATTTTTACCGGAAAATTTCAGCTTTTCAAAAAAAATCGATAACCATTTCGTGAGCTTCCGGGCGTTTTTGAGATTTTCAAATGATTTTCTTCTTTTTCGAAAATCAGCCTTCATTTAGGCTTCAAAAAGAATTTTTCTTACGAAATCCGAGCATTTTATTTTTATTTTCCACAGTACGCTTATTTTTAATTTTTTTAAAGCTAGTTTCAAAGCTTTTTTTCGAAAAAAAGTTCGGCTCTTAAAGAAGTTTTTTTCATTTTTTTCTTGTCAAGTATCCGCCAAAATCGGCCCTTTTTCTCAGTTTTTCTATGAAGTTTTTTTCAGCTTTAAAAAGAGTTTTTTTGAGGTTTTGTATCAGTTTATCCGGTTTTATGTAAATTTTTTCCGTTCCCTGTGAAGTTTTTCAAGCTTCAGAAGGACTTCTTCGATTTCAAAATAATTTATTGTCTTTTGAGGATTTTTCAAGTTTTTTATATCACTTTTCGGTTTCATAAAAACTTTTTGATCTCATACGTCAGTAATAGTTAATAATTTGCGAATCATGTAGGATTTACCGTTCACTCTTCCGGCCATTACTAGCGGTGATCTGGCCGCTGAATTTCTTGTCCGTGTCGGATTTCAGATGGACGATGATGTCACAGGCGAGGGCGACGCCCAGGAAACATGCCAGAATAAAGATAATTCTCATCTGAAGTCATTTTTATTTTATCAAACACGAAAAAAGCTCTCGAAACGAACAACATTTTGAAAAAATCGGAGTAAAAAGTGCAAAAAACGACTTTATTGGGAAAGAAAATATCAAAATTATAATAATTTCAATTTTCAGATAACTGAAGCCAAAAATTACCGTATCCAAGTTTATTTCTTTATATAAAGTTCTTGAAACGTGCTTCAGCGTTAGTGATTGGTTATATTTTTTTTATCGAAAATAAACTTTCAAATCGATCGGAGTGTGATAATTTGGGAAGGCTGGGAAAGTCGGTCGCTTTTTTTGAAGTGGCCGTTTTTTTCGAGATTATTTTATTCATTTATAAATTTTTCTAGATGTCCAAAACAGGTGAAATTCTCGAAAAAAATCGAATATTGGCGGCTAAAAAAATAGCAGATTTTGTTTTTTTGAAATTCGTCTTAAATTTTTTTCAAATTTGGCTAGAAATCGTTATATTTTTAGGTTTTTCATCAAGATTTGAGAGCCTTTTTTTCGCAAAAAAACAGAAAAAAATTCAGGAAAAAAACAAGTGAATTTTTTTATAAGTATAATGACAAAAAAATTTTTAAAAAAATTACTTCGAAACTGGTCATATAAATGAGATATAAGTACTTTAAAACAGCTAAAGATGCCAAAAAGAGCAGGAAAAAAATTAAAAGCTTGGAAAAAAATCAGACGTTTTTAAAAAAACGACCGGCTCTCCCAGCATGCCGTAAAACAGTACAAGAAGCCAAAAATTAACGTTTTCTGAAAAAAACGAGGAGCTGAAATATTATAATTCCAATTTTTTTAGATGGACCGAATGTTGTTCAAAAAAATCAATAAATAAAAAAATTACCAATTCCAAATTTATTTCTTCATATAAGCTTCTTGAAACGTGTATCAGAATTAGTGATTCGAGCAATTTGTAACAAAAAAATGAGGATGTATTTTTTTACATTTGAAAATAAAGATGTTATCTTATTATTATTATAAATGAATTTAATTAGGAAGTATCTTACTATTATCAAAAATAAATTTAAAACAAATTATTTTTTCTTGAATAGCTTTTTAACACTAATCGGCTTCATTTACCAACAAAAATCGAATTTTTTTAGAATAAATCAACAGATTTTGAAATAAAAAGCCAAGAAACTCGAAAAACTGAATTTTCTGGAAAAAGCAAAGAATGAAATGAAAGAGGAACAGTTGTCGAGGGGCCGAAAAACAGAAAAAAAAAATCGAAAGCCATTCCCTGATCGACCGGTTCGAAATAATCGGTTTGATCCGTCGCGAGCGGTTACTCGTACGTTGTTTTGAGAGATCGGGTAGAAAAATTTTTAAAAAAATTTTTCAGGGATTTTTCGGGTTTTTACTTTGTGAGAAACTACGTGAAATTTCAAGAAGCATGCCCTACAGTAAAATTGACACATTTCTCAAAAAAATCTTGTATTTTTTTCATCTTTGTGAGATATTCTTTACTTTACTTATATATTTTTTTAACATTTTTACTGGCAAAGTCATGACAGATTTCCAGAAATGAAGGTTGAAAATTTTGAGAAACAAAAAAAAGTAAATTCAATATTTCCTCATTTTCCTGTTTCAAACTCCTTAGTTTGATTTCCTCAAAAAAGTTTTTTCTATTAAACACGTTGTTCTGGAGGGATTGTACTGCTCAGAAGATTAAAACTGCACTGATCAAGATGAGAATGAACTGTTGTTCGCTAAAAAATGTCAATCTGGAATTTCTCTGAGCGGAAGTTTGAGAAATTTGACTCATTTTAAGCCAGGAGAAGCCTCAAAGTTCACTAGAGACTATTTTTCTCATACCTATGATCATTTGATTGGCTAGAGGAGGAAGTTTCAAGTTTTTAAGCGGTTATTGACCTGACATCGGAGCGTAGGGTTCAGAATTTTCTATAAATTTGCTCAAAAAATCTTTGATGGACTGGGAATCGATCCTCCATAGTCACTATCCGGCCAAACTTCTATTTTTTTAAGATATGATTTTCCAAAGTTTTTATCCTTAACCATGTGACGCTGTTTGGAAGGAATCTGGCCGCGCCATCAACCATCGCATGGCAGTTTGGAGCGTGCCGCAGTGGCTAGCGTGTTAGCCTGCGGAGCCTGGGGTGAGGGTTCGAATCCTTTTGCCGCTAACTTTTTTTGCCATTATTTTTTTCTTATGAGAGTATTGAATTTTCAAGAGTAAAACCTTTCCGAATTATTTCTATACCTATTTTTCTTTTCAAAATCGCTTTTTCATGGAAAGTTCCTGGAGTTGTGGCAGTTTCCACATCATCAGAGAACTTTTCCCAAAAATTTTTTGCTCAAAGTTTTTATGCATTCCTGAAAATTAAAAAAAAAAAACCATTCGGAGTAGGATGCAAGTGGGTTTGGAAAAATTTTTGCAATAATACTCGGATGATCGAGCCAGGAGAAGCCCCAGGAAAAATTTAATTGACCCGATAAGGAAGTTTCAAGTTTTTGAATGGTTTCCGGAACATGTGAAACTTGAGGAAAAGCTCTTTTTTTCATTTTATGCCAGGTGAAGCCTCAAAAAGTCAATTGAGACAATTTTCATGTTGTTATGACCATTTGATTGGCCAGATAAGGAAGTTTTCAGTTTCTAGTGATTTTTGAACCGAGGAACTTGAAAATTCAAAAATGAGAGAGGCCGAAGCGATTTATTCACATTATAGGCCAGGAAAAGCTTGAAAAATTTTTGAAAAAAATGGAGCATCCAAAGCGAATTTTTCTCTTTTTAAGCCAGGAGAAGCCTCGAAAAGTCTTATAATTTGGATGAATATAACAAAAATCCCATTTTCTGGATCACTAGTAACTTTTCAAAGCGAATTTTTCACTTTTTAATTCAGGAAAAGCATAGGAAAACAAAAATTTCCGAGATTTGGATGTTTTTTAAGGTTCTGGAGAAAGGAAAGTCAAGAAAACCAACGACGAAAGTATCACAGAATGAAGATAAAAGCAGAAAATATCGGGAGAGTCAGTTGGTTTCGACCTTGGCGCGGCCATTACAACGATGCTTTTGTTGTGTTCCGACTGGACGAAAAAACGAATTTTACGTCGTTTTTCGGCTACAAACAGCTTACTTCTAAGAGTTTTTCAGAGTTGGTTGTTAATTCTTCGCTAAATAAGTTAGCTAAAAAAAAACCTTCTGAAACAAAATTATTTAACTATGCATAGGGGGCGCAAAGCCCTGCCCCTTCACGCCACCAAAATGACGATTTTTTGTTGCAAAAACGGTTTTGAGGCGTTTATACTAGCTAAAGTCCCACTTTGAAAATTAACTGTTTCTGTTAATCTATGTAATCGACAACGCTCTACAAGACTGAATATTTTTGAAACTATGTATTTTTTTCACAAAAATAAGCGAAAAAGTAAGATTTAACACGAAAAAAACTGACAAGTTTCACAAAATCGTCGCGTTTCAGAAAACCAAGTGAGGAACGCTTCTAAATTTTGAGTATGTTATATATTAACACTTTCTTCATTTTTCGAGTAGAAATTTTAAAAAATCTAACGACGCGAAAAAAATATTAAAGCTTGTAAAGTGACACCAAACTTTGAAGTTGAAATGCGAAAAAGTTTCAGCGACATGGTATACTTCTTATTTGATTTAAAAACTAACAGTGTGTCCAAAAATAAAAATTCAAAATGAAAATAATTATTGGGACAGTGAATCAAATTATATTTGGATTTTACCAAAACCTCCTTTTTTCGCCTGCCTCGTTGACGCATGAGAGAATAGGATCGCGTCTATACTTTTGATCAGGTTATTAAGCGTTCAAAACTCTATCAATGAGAAAAATTATGAAAAAAATCGATCGACGCGAAAAAAATAACGGCTTTGAAAAACCTCGAAAAAAATGGCAATTTTTTTGAAATTTCGGAAGATTTCGTGCAAGCGTTCGTAGCTGTGTTTGCGTCAAACACACCGATGCGCCCCTTTTAAATGTCGCGGAGTCAAATTGCACTTTTTTTCCTGTTTTATTTCGAAATAACATTATTTTTTTCATTTTTTTCTTTTTTTCCAAATCGAATGATAATAATTTTTTTCTGAGTAGAAAAAAAGAAAAAAAATAAGCTGAAAAAAATCCCTTTGACCTTTTTTTCTAGGTAGTTTTTTTGATATTTTTATCAAAAAAATTCTTATGAGGATTGTACAAAAGATTCATACCAAAAACATGAAGCTCAGTTCGGACAATCTCACAGAGCAGAAAACCGATTTAAAAACGGTCCAGAAACGCGCAAAAACATTTAAAAAGAAAGCGTGCGGCAGCGGGTAAACCTGGAGATTTTGCCTCCAATTGTACGCCGCGCGCGCTCGTTTTTTGGCCATAACTTTTTTCTTAGTGGAGCTTTTTTCAAAAACTAAACGGATTATGAAAATAGACAGTCTCCTCTATCGAACAATGTAAAAAACATATTTTTTGAATCGTTCTGAAGAAATGGCTTGCGGTCCCTAACTATGCAAAAACATAAAATTAAAAGTTTCAAAGTTTTTGAGCTTCACCAGTTGCAGAGAAATGAGATAATTGTAGATTGATTCAGTACAAAACGGATATTTTTTTGGTTTCGATTTTTGAAAATACAAAAAATTGGAGCTTTAGATCTACAAGAAAAATTATACTCATCTTTTTTTCTCTACTGCTCTTTGATGTTTGAACGCGCAAGTAGTTTCAAGTCGGTCGCACGATAATCTACCGTAACGCTTCGATCGGCTTGCTGTAAAAATACGGACGTTTACAAAAATGCGACCGATTTTTTTGGGCTCCACTGCAAATTAATAAAATACGGGCGTTTACAAACCTCATCTCTTTCACTTTTTTTCTCAAATTTTTATATTTTTTTCTAATTTTTCCTTCTGAAAAAAACTATTCAAAAAAAGTACTACGACCAAATTAATGAACTCATTATGATATATTTTTCTTTATTTGCTCGAAAAGCTTAATATTACAAAATATTCAAAACGATTTTATACAGTTCCTGAATCTGTAATAAACCGGAAGTAAGGTAAAAAAAAAATTGACGACGTGACAAAATAAACATTGAAAAATGGTTTGATAACAGAATCAAAAATACGAAAAAGACATCACTATACTGATCAGAAAGCTATCGGAGAAATTAGAAGTTCGTTTAAATTTAAAAATAATGAAAATTCAAAAAACGTCCGTATTTTATTAATTTGCAGTGGAGTAAAAAAAAAGCGGTCGCAATTTTTTAAACACCCGTATTTTAGAGATTTCCGTTTTGATCCATTAAAAATCAAAGTCCTGTGAAAATTTTTCCTTCAAACTTAACAGACGAAAAAAATTCAAAACTTTATCGAAGGCAGAAAAATCGCAACATTTTTCGGACAGTCTAAAAATCTAAAGGAGAATATAAAGTTCGAAAATCGCCGGGTTTTCTGATAAATTTTCAGAATTTTCACCAAAAAATCTTGTAAGCTTAATAAGCATTCAAAAACCACAGCGATAAACGGACTTGGAAGATAAAATCTATCGAAAATATCACGAAAATGCAAATGACAATCGGGCATATTCATAGCGTTGGACTGGTCCTAGAGCGATATGTCGATGGGTGGAAAAATGACAAAATGTTTGAGAAAGCCTACGGTCACCGTAAACTAAGACTGAAACCCGAGATTCCTGAGAATCTACGGCGCCGGTTACGTCAATCCTGAATGGGGAGAGTTGAAAGAAGGTTGGAATTTGGAGATTGGAATGGTTTTGATGGGGGTTTAGGAGTGCCAGAGGGGTCCCTAGAGGGGTTGGCAGGTTCCTCCATGGGGTGACCTTACCTTTCCCTATAGGGGGAACTAAAGCTTGCAGAAGTGGCCACTCTAGAGGTCCATATCGATCTTTTCCACTTTCAAGTCAGAACAAGAAAATTAAAAGACCACTTAAGGGACCACTTAAGCTTTAGGGGCTTAAAGTTTTAGCTTCCAAGGGAGCCCTGGCGTCCACTGTAGGGGCTTTTTTCTCACTAACCCCTCTAGTGACCACTCTAGCATTTTAAAATCCAGATAATGAAGCTTAAAGACCACTTTAGTGATCCCTTAAGCTCTAGGGACATCGAATCCAAAACTCTTATAGGACCCACCTAAACTATAGCCCTCTAGGGACCACTTTAGAGGTTTGTTTCCCTTAAACACTAAAGTGACCACTCTGGCGTTCCTAAGGAAATCAGGATTATGGCAGGATCAGTAGTGTAGATGATGAAATTTTCATTTTTTCAATTTTTTTTTCAAATTTTCAAAGCAAACTACATGAAAAATGAAGAAAAGTGGAATAAAATGGCTCTTTTTTTGATTTTTCTGAGCCTCTTTAACTTTCTGAGAATGTCTCGAACTTAAAAAATCGGATTTCAAAAATAAACTCCGCCCTTTCAAACCACTTTCCTTCAAAACTAACAACTAAAAATCTAACAGAAAAATAAAAAATCAGAAAAAAAAGTGAGGAATGAAAAATGAGAGGTCAGAAGTGTTTGTGTGAAATAAATTATACTCGTCGGGAGATTTTTCCTTTTTCTTCACTTTCTCCTGTGGAAACCGACAAAATGGCGACGTAACCGGCATTGGCACATGATGGGTATCTGCAAAAATGTCATTTTTTAAGTTTTCAAGGAATTTTTTTTTTTTTCGAAAAACGGGCATTTTGAAGCTTCAAAGGTGATTTTGAATGAAGTTTAAAAAAAAAGCCCAGAAATTATAGTCCATTCTCCGCGACTTGACTGTTTTTTTACTGTGTGCGTCTCTCTGTTCCCTCACCGGTGAGGTCAGAATAATGAGAAAACAGCACGTCAAAATGAGAGGGTCGCCGAGAGACAGAGAAGTCACGAAAAACGGACTATACAGCTCTTAGGAACGCCAGAGTGGTCCCTAGAGTGGCTCTTGTCAATTCCCCTTAAGGGACCACTTTAACTCCTTCTATAGGGGGACTAAAGCTTGCGAAAGTGGAGCATACTACTGGTTCTATACATTCGAAAATGTCAAAAAATTAGTACGCCACTATAGGGACCGCTTTGAAGGCAATAATCAGACCCTAAACTCCTATAGGGACCGGCCAAATATTAGCCTTTTAGGCACCTTTTTTGCTCATTATAGGGATTTTTCCCATTGGACCCTATAACGACCACTCTAACGTTCTCAAGTAGGAGTATTTTTGTAGCATTATTTTCAACGGATCTTTCTGGAATGATGTTTGAACTGACCCTAACGTAGGCGGGAACAAAAGGAGCGTTACTATCGGCGACTCGGACGTTGGCCAATCGGGGCTCGTACAAAGTCACGCATTCTGATGAGAATCTGGAAAAAAAACAGTAATTGTTTTATCATTGGATAATGGACTTCATACTCATACTGAATTCAATTTTTCAATTTTTCCTGTTTTTTTTTTAAATTTTGAAAAGATTTTTTCACGCTAACATCTTTATAAAAAATTTAAAATTCATGATTTTTCGGCTTTCCCAGAAAATTAATGAAAATTTCGAGAACTTCAACTAAGAATTTTCAAAACCCCTATCCTCATTCAAAAGTATACTTACTGGGAAAATTTTTAGTGGCCACTATAGGGGTTGCTCAAGGTCTTGGAGAGGACACTAAAGTGGTCACTAAAACCACCTCTATAGAGACCACTTTAGTGGCAACTGTAGTAGTTTTTGTCATCTAGTAGTACCACCTAGACATCTACAGTGGTTCCTAGCTATTTAACCCCTAGAGTGGTCACTAATTTGACTACTATAGTGGCCACTAGAACGTCGAATCCTTATGGTGGCCACTAAAACGTTAAAACCCTAAAGAGGCCACTACAAAATTTCCCAGGATTGGCGAAAGCTCTATCTTGTCTGCGCTCTCTTTTCTCTTGCCAGCGAGGTCATGAAAAAACGAGACAGTACATCAAAGTGAGAGAGCGCATTGTCTCTTATAACCTTTCTATCTCTGGAATTTTCTCTATAAAATGGCTTTTTCAAGAGCAACATTTCTACGGTAGTCGTTCTTGCAGACCTTTTTGGACACTTAAAAAAGGGCCAATTTTTTCATCCTTCAATGGATAGCGTCAGCCGAGCAACGTTAGTTCCGCGTGTTTTTTTTTTTCCTTTTCCTATTTTGAGGCTACCGTGTCTCTCCTCCTACGTAGAGGGCAAGAAGTAGGGGGAAATTTCCCTTAAGTGACTACTAAATGAATGTAGACAAGAGTTTTAAGGTTCTTTTATGAAAGAATAAAAATATAGGAATAAAATGTAAGTGATAAGCGACAAAAAATTAAATTCCCAAGAGTTTGAAGCTTTCAAAAGACCAGGAAAAATCAAATTTTCTCAAGAAAATCCTAAAAATTTTCAATTTGAACGTAAAAAAACAAGCTTTTCATGATCATCTCCATGACAAGACATGAGCAAAAATGATGATTTTATGAAGAAATTCAACTCCCAGATTTCCTAAACTTTAGGTAGACAAGAAAAATTGTACAAGTCAAATAAAAAAATTTCCCAAAAAAAGTCCTGAAAAATCTGAAAAACGAACTTTTTCATGATCGACGCCATGACAGGTCGGCCGACTGACATGGGAACATTCGACAAAAGTCGCGATCAAATTATTTTCTTCACTTTGCTCGATTTCCACACGACTTCCGTTGCGTACTGAAACAATACTCGTTTTCGAAAAAATTAGAAAAACTTCACAATTTTACTCAAATTTCTTTTGGTTCCGTTTCCGAAAATTAGACGTATCAAATTCAATTTTTTTTTTGAACTTTCAAGACTGGATATACCAGTCATGCTTTCAAATGCGGACGTTTGTAAAATGCGACCACTTTTTCTTGGTGCTCCATCGAAAATTAATAAAAAAATCGAGCTTGAAAAATTTATTTTTTTCTTTCAAGTTTTTTTCAAACCTTATTTTTAAAGCGAATTTTTCAAAAAAATATTAAAGTTCTACCTAGGAATTTTTGTAAAGCTTTCTAAAGTCTGTATTCAACCAGAAATTAGGTGTAAAAAAATAAATTAGACAATTTCGAAAAAAATTTTTCTGAAAAAGCACCACTATAGTGATTAGAAAAAATAGCTTTTTTTGTATTATGAAAAATAGTTATTTGAAATTCAAAAGCGCTCGTTTTTTATTAATTCGCGAAAGAAGTGGTCGTTTTTTATAAACGGTCGCATTTTCGAATTGTGCGGCAACTACTACCAAAATGTGAGAATAAATCTCTAAATACAACATCTGAAACTGGGAAAATTTTTATAACTTATTCTATGAAGAAAATTGTAAAAACCCCTAGAGGGACCACTTCAAAAATCCGTAATAAAGACTTTTATCCGGTTTCGTTCCTCATAGTTAGTTAAGCTGTTGAGATACTTGAAAAATGCCGAAAAAACACTAAAGGTGCCACTTTTGGGCATCGAAAATTCTATCTCCATTAGCCACGATTCAATGTAAATTTTTCAACGGTTGGAATTTTTTTTTTGAAAAATCGAAAAACCCTAACTCAAAAAGGAAAGTGAAGCAAATTTGATAACCAAAAATGGTATTACGATATTCCATCGGTGTGTGCAGAATTATGAGTTCAATATCGAAAAATTGAGTGAAAAAGTCGCAAAATTTTTTTTTGATCACTTTTTTTTCATTAATTTCTTGAAACCGTGAGATTTTCTTCCAAAAATACAGGTTCTCCTCAATTCGGACTACATTCTGATGATAAATATGTCAATTTTTATCACATAATAATCTTATCAAAATCGATTTTTGGTCGCCTATCGCATCAGAAAATGACGAAAATTATATTTTTCTGAAAAAAATTTTTCTCGTTTTTTTGTTGAAAAAAATCATAAAAAAACTTTTTTTCCGAGTTAAATTTCAGTTATAACAGTCTCAAGGTGCCTATTTTTCTACACAAAATTTTTTTCCATAAAAAAAGCATTTTTTGTTTGTCTCCGGATTTGGGATGAGCTTTTTGGGTCCAGGAGAGAGAAAAAACGTCATGAGCTTTTTTTAATCACTAGATTATCGACATGGGATCTAAAAAAATCTGACATAAACAATGGCACAACGTGCGTTTCTGTGATCTGAACGCCTTGATCTTTTTTTAAAATTTTTTTGATTTTTTTCTGCGTTAATTTTTTGCTCAAACTTTAATAGTTTGTTCACGGCTGGCTTCGAAAAAAAGAGGGTCTTGACACGAAAAAAATCAAAGAGACAGCGTCTGTTTGATGGAGATCGCAGACAGGCCACGCCTCTCTTAACCTGGCCATGAATCGACTATATATAGTTTTTGAAACAGGAAAACTCACTATGACCGTATTTTGGCCGGTGATCGACTCTGACTTGAGTGTCGCAAACGTCTTCAACCGTCTCACTCATTCCGATCAAAACGGCCTTTTTCTCTTTCGACTGGAAAAAAAAAATCGATAAATCAATATTTCTCCAACAAATACCTCAACAGGCCGTTCATCTAGAGATTGGGCGGGGTCAACCATTAAAACTGAAAATTGAAGAGTTCAGAAAGAATTGAGAAACTATTACCAAAACTACTGCAGGTTCCAATAATTGAAAAAATAAATAAAGTGTGGACGGTGGCGACCATTTCGTGGGGGAAAATCTGAAAAAGGAAAATTTTCAAAATTTCGAGGAAAAAAGTGGGTTAAAATAGAATAAACGCAGAATTTCTCTTGTTTAGAACGGAACATGTCAAGTTCCATGGCTAAAAATGCATTTGGAATGGCTGAATGCGTTGCGGTCACAATGGAGGTTCATTTTCCAGCGCGCCCGACTTTAAACTGCTTGCGCCGAGTGGTCTTTCATAGGAATAGGCGAGAGTCGTTAAAGGTCGGGCGCAGCTCCAGGGTATGTACCAAATAACAACAAAAATCATAATTACTATTTTGATATAGACCCCGCAGCTGCACCCGACCTTTCGCGACTCTCGCCTTAGCTTAGAGGATGCTCTGCGCAAGTAGCTTTAGGTCGGGCGCGCTGAAAAATCAAGCTCTATCGCATTCAAGAAGAGATGCATATCTGTTCAAACTTCGTTTCAAGACTTTTTTTTGGAATTTTTTGTGGTCCTTTAAATTTTTTGGACAAAACGGAAGTGACGGAATAAAAACTACGAAAAAATGATGTATATTTATGAAAACTACATCCAAATTACGTCTTCAATTCAGAACACTTGTTAGAGAAATAAAAAAAGAAAAACGTCGAAAAATGTATCCCAAAAAAGAGACAGCAAAACAATGTCTGAAAGTGACTCGAATCATGAAAAAAAACTCGGAAACGAACTGGAAATTTTGCAGTAATTCGATGAATAATGCGAACGTGAGGATTTTGCAAAAAGGACTTTCTCTGAATCAAACTTTGACCTGATTTCGAGCGAGGGAGTGAGGAAGTTTGTTAATTAATTGGATGTGACTCGATTAATTATCGGGACTGTAATAAACGCATGAGAAATGAGAGATTTTTGCAGAAAATTGAGGGAAATTTGCAGGAAAATATTTTTTTTGAGTGAGAGATCAAGAAAAATTGAGAAGTCGTCATTTTTGCTCCACTGAAGCTTCTAAACAGAGCTTTTTAATGAAAAAAAAGATTCAGAAATAGAAAAATTGATAAATAAGTTATTCATGACTTCCATCAACCCGAAAAATCGTTTCGGACATCTTTAAAAAGCAGATTTTGAAAAAAAAAAATGGAATTTTTTCAGTTCTACAACGTATTCTAAAACAATATATGTCTGAAAAATCTTTGAAAACTTCGAATTAAAAATTTTTTTCAAATTGATCTAAAAAAAGGACCGAAGTCTCCAAATTGACATGAAAAACTCAACTTTTTTTGGGTTGCTATTTAAAAAAAGAAAGAGAATAATATTGCGGATTCGGGATTTCTAGCTTCGATAGCTATTATATAATTCTTAAAACTTCAAGAAATCGAAAAAAATTCATGAAAAAGACGGTATCAAAAAAATAACTTCTAGTCCAAAAAAAGGCGCGCATTTCGACGGAAAATTCATTTTTTTCCATGATTAATTAGACAAAAAAATGAGGCAGAGATGAAAACCAAGTTCATAAAAAAGTGAAAAGTGTTGCGAAAACAAGATTTTTAGTTTCATGGGACCTGAAATTCCAGAAAACTTGAAAAATTCGATTTTTTCGGAAGTTGAAGCAATTTTAACCAAATCTCAAAATTCTGAAAAAAATTATTTTTTTGTAATTTACGGTCTCCTGAACCTCATTAATACATGTAGAATTCGAAAAACTCGAAATTTTATATATTCCGATGAAATTTTGAAGAGCGTAGGTCCTAAAAAGAACTGAGAATTAAACGGAAACTTAAAAATTCTGACAAGTCAATTTTCCCATGATCTATCGAAAGTGAGAAGAATTAAATACCGAGGGGCCATAAATAAGTGAAGAATGTTGCGGAATGGCCGCCTCCTCCTATGGTCCGGCGGTTTTTAGGCTCCTGCCGTCGGAGAGGTGGAGCCAAGTGCGCGACGAGAGCTCGTGGGTTTGACTCCGCCTCTCTTCCCCCTCCCCCTATGTTGTTCTTCAGTCGTGACGGAATCAGTTGGGGTTGTCCCGAGTTCGAGGAGGATCCGCAACTTTTTCGTAGGGTTTCTAATACTCGCTCCAAAGTTCGCGTTTCATTCGGGAAAAGATTAGGACATCAGTGAAATCAACACGTCGAAACCACGTAAAAGTACGTGAGTTACTGGGAAACTTTTTAGTGGCCACTATAGGGTTTCGACGCTTTAGTGGTCACTATAGAGGTCTAAGTGCCACTACTAGACCACTAAAAGTTTTAGAGGCCTCTTTAGGGGTCAAGGGATCAACATAACTGGTCCAATCTGTTTGTTTCGAAATTATCAGAGTTATCGGAAGGAATACTGGATGAAAAACTAATGAAGTGGCCAATAAATTGAGAACCTCTATAGTGGCCACTAAAACGGAAAATAGTGGCCACTATAGAGGTGGATTTAGTGGCCACTTTAGTGTCCTCTCCAAGTAGTCCTTGGCGAGCCTCTATAGTGGCCACTATACATTTTGCCGGTAGTAAAGAACCCAGTCAGTTCACAAAAAAAAAAAACAAATTTGTTCAGAAAAACTGCTCAAAACAGATTATTAAAAGAAAAAATAAACGAAAAATGAAAATTTTGTATAAATTCTGTTCAGATAAAGTCTGTTCAGATTTAGTTCACAGAAAATCTTGAAAATTGAACTTTTTCAGAAAAAGCTGCTCAAAACTGATGAATAAGAAATAAAAAATGAAAATTTTAATACAGTCTAATCCTATTTATCAAAATTGTCTCAAGCTCCGCCCCTAATGGCTCAATAAACCAATCAGAGAACGAGCCATCCACAGAGCTTTTTCGAATGACGTCATTCTACTTTACATAAAAGTTCTGAACGTCTAGGAAGGTTTTGAAAACTCGTCAGAAAATTTTTGACGAACAGGAATTTTATGAAAATCTCAACTCTCCGAAGTTCCTAGCTCTCCAAAGCAACGGCTATCAAACGTAAAACCCTCAGAATCCTTAGAAACGAGCCAATTTCAAACTTTCGGTACTTATTCCTTGAAAAATAGTCGAGATTTCCAGTACCGCTCTCCAGCTCATAAAAAGTTTTTCTGAACAGTTTTCAGAGAATAATTCTTCTTTGGGGTCAAATTCAAACCTGCCCTCGTAATGAGTACAGTAATTTTAAACTATTTGAAAGCAGGAATTCAGTTTTTGAAATCAAAAAAGAAGAATATTGGCCAAACACATCTGAAAAGGTACTAAAACATAACAAAAAAAAGTCGCTAAAAGTTTTTAAAAAACGTCCAAATTTACGAGGTCCGACAATCTGTCTCCCCGTCTTCATTCAACAGAAAAAAACTATTTTTAAATCTCCAGCAACTATTTTTATTTCGGAAGCCCTTGATTCACGCTTCATTCTTGGTGGATTTGACGGAATTGGGGTTCAAAAATGAAGCGGCTTAAGTTTCTAGTCTAGGGTGCAAAGTGCAGCGAAACTTGACATTTTTCAATTTTTGGGGTTTTAGAGTAAAGGTGCCAATTTTCCGAAGTTTTCGGACCCAGGTGAAGCAAACTCGGACTTTTCTGACCTTTTAAGTGACCACTTTAGTGGTTTCAGCACCCCAATTTCAAGTGGTCACTCAAGCAGAGTCAGCACTCCTAAGTGGTACCTAAAATGCTCAGAAAATTCTAGGGGACGTCCCGTTTGCCTTGTCGATGTCCGAGTGACCAGCAACCTTTAAAAAAAAATCATTCAACAAAATTTTTAGCCAACTCTCAGAAGACGAAACAAAAGTGACGTTGAAAAAAATAAATAAATAAAAAGCTGGAATTTTCGTCAGTTAAAGCTGTCAAGTACAGTGATGTATGAAAATAGAGCGTATTCTTTGAAAATTGGAGGGAAAATGATGATCTTTAGAATAAGCTCTTTCTCGTTTCATTTTTTTATTTTTTTCAGATTTTTTTCTTTTTGTTTATTTTTTTGAATTCACATCGATTTTTTTGAGTAGAAATTACCTTTAAAACAGTGTTTTTGCAAAAAGTAATTTTTAATTTTTTTAACCTTAATTTGTGGAATCTAGAAATTTTTTTGAACCATTTTTTTAAGGTTGAAAAAAACGTGAAAAAAATTTTAGAGGTCTCAAAAATTTTTCGTAGTTCATTTGCTGTAACTAGAAGATGAAATTTAAATTCAACTATAAAATTTTTCGAAACCTGACTTTATTAATTTTTTTCAAGAACATCTTTTTTTCAGATATCACGACACTCTAAATTTTTTTGAATCCGAAAAAAATTCAAGTCTTTCTTGATAAAAAAATTCTTATTGAAAATATTTTTTTCTGCGAGAAAAAAACCAAACAAATTCCCTCCATTCAAAGAAACGAAACATATTTGTGTGAAACCTTTTCTCTCTACAAATCGGCCACGTTTTCATAGCGGATTATCCGAAAAAATTGCTACTTGACATAATTGAATGAACTTTTGCCTTTTAAGACATTTATTTTTATACACATCATACATTTTGGGATGAACAAAAGGGAAACCTATTAGGTTACGGTAGGCAACGTGGCTTTCAGAGAGATTAATAACAAATTACGGTAGCTTTTTTGGAAAGGATTAATAAACTTTTAGACTAAAGAAAAAAAGTACTTTGGACCGATTCCAAACACTTACGGGAGATCTTTAGATCTCAAAAAAGAGTTTGATCAAGTGCGCTCTATGGATAAAAAACTGAGGACCAACCGGAAGCGTCCCGGGCGTTTCTGAGCATTTCTAGGGATCACTTAAGAGTACTGACGCCACTAAAGTGGTCACTAGAAATGCTCAAAAACGACCGGTTCGCGATACCGAAGTAATAAAAAATATCATTTTCGCTGGGCAACTACTCGAGTGGGCACTCAAGTTAATTTTTCATTTTATTTCTCATTAGGCGCTCTTTTTCAAGCTTTAGGATACTGTCAGAAATTTTAGCATTGATATTATCGTGTCGAGACCCTTTTTCTTGAAATTTTGAATTTCCTTTACATTTTTTGAGCTTTTATTATATTTTTTTTCAGTTTTCATTTTTACTAGGAATTTGTTTCACAACTTTAGGGTACTGTAGGAGTCCTTGGCGATATTTCGATATTTTCGTGCCGAGACCCGTTTCTTAAAAATATTCCTGGTCCTTTAAACTTTTTGAGCTTTATTTTACTTTTCAACCAAAAGAAGGGTATTTTTTCAGAGTTCCTCTAGAAATCTCATCCTTCAGTTAAAAATATAAAATAGGCATTTTCGGAAATATTTTTGATAGAAGTTTAATTAAGTAGGCAGAATTTTTTCGAAAAATAAAAATTTTGAGCAGTAGTTTTTTACTCAAAATTCTAGAAAAACCGGAAAAATTCTAATTTTTCCACCTCGCCCACTCGAATTTCTCCTTTGTTTTCTCCCACAATTCTCATTATTCTGTTATTTCAAACTTTTTGGGAATTTCCTGATTGGCCACGCGCCTGGAAGAATTAGGTAATCTTTAACGCGTCAGAAGCTTAACATAATTGAAAAAGAAAGCAAAAAGTAACAATTACTCACTTGGGAAACACTTCCAAAAAACCAAACTCGATTACCGCCTAATGGTCGAAATTGACGTAGAGCGTAGTTCTTGCCGAAGAAATTGGGTTAATCTCGAAAATACGTACGTTTATCATTAAAAAATAACTCGATTGAAGTTTATTTTCCATTTTTCTTCCAAGAAAATGACAATAAAAAACGGAAGTTCGCGGAAAAAAGAACGATTTGTGAGCTTGTGATTGGGAAAAACTAGTTTCAAATAAGTAGATCAGAGGAAAAATTGAGTTGGATACGTTTGCGACTATAAAATAACTTTATCTGATTTTTCCAAGAAAGGGCAAAAATTGTGACATAACAAACTCTAAAGAAATTGTCTGGTTCATTTTTTTCAAGTTTTTGTTCGCCTTACTAGTTATTAATAATTATTTTTTTAATATTTAAATGTTAAAGTGGAATTTCAAAAAAATTTTTTTACTTTCATTCTAGCATGCTTTAATGGCATTTAAATTGACGAGAAAAAAATTTTGGCGGGAAAAAAATTCAAAAAAATTGGGCTCTTTTTTTGAAAAAAATTCGAAAAATTTTTTTGCTTTTTCGATTTTTATTCATAATTTTTTTCAAGTTTAAATTTTTTAAAAAAATTTTTAAAAATAAGTATATAAATTATAAATCTCCCTTTTCGGAATTTTTTCAGCCAGAACAAAAATTCTCGAAAAAACCACAAAATGAGGCAAAAAAGTGATTTTCTAAATACCCCAGTTCAGCTCAAAATAACTAAATCATGATCCAAAAAAAGCAGATTTTTCCATAATAATTCTGAGATTTGACCTTATTCATAAAATAAAAATCGTCATTTCTCGAAGACTTGAAGGATTATCCATGGAGCGCACATGCTTCCGAAATCTTGGTCAATTCCATTTTCACGAGGATTTTTTTCGTATGCACTTTTTTTGAAGTGCGGGAAAGCGAAATCCATTTTGACTATTAAAGGTCCTGAGAATTCTAAAATCATCAATAAGTGGCCACTTGAGGGATTATCTTTGATTGACTGCTTAAAAAAAGATTTTTGGATTTTTTTCGAATTTTTCAAAAATTAAACATGTAATCCCGACCCAGAATTCCATCCGAAGCTTAACCTGCAATAATTTCAGACTCGTGAGCAAATCTCGTCTATTTTATTGCATCTTTTCTCGAAAACATGTAGGATTCGGTAAGGAGCAAAAAAACGAAAGCAGATCAGACAAAAAAACGAAAGCAGATCCATTAAAAATCCGGTCATTTTTGCTTGTTTTTGCAAAAAAATAATTGTTGCAAATATGAAAAACAGAGCGGCTAAGAGTCGACTTTTTCTCTCATTTTGTTGATTTTTCATCTCCGGCGAGGGGAAAGAGAGCGCAGACAGGTCAGAAAGTTTCTTTTTCATAGCTTCAACTCCATTTTTTTGAGTCCTGATTGCATGAAGAATGTCTGAAATCGCATTTTTTTCAAAAATACGCCCGACCCGCGGCGACTTGCGCCCAGGAGCACTGAAAAACCATTACAAAGCGCTTCTAGAGCGAAATAAGCATTTTTTTCAACTCGAAATGGCCTTTTTCCAACAAATAAACCCTCCGGAATACAAAAAAGGCGAGGGTGGTCAAATTATTTACCCAAAGGAAAACAGAAAAACGTCAAAACAATTTTTTTTTGTTCAAGAAAATTTTCATTTTAAAAGGGTGAGGGTGTATTTTTGGACGTGATCTGAGATTAAAAGCTTAATATTCTCAATTTTTAAAAGCTCACGTGGAGTTTGTGATCTGTGAATAATATTCCGAAGTTTTGGGCGATAAATTTTGAAAAATCCAAGGAAAAATGAAGCGAAACAGTTTGAAAAAATCGAAAGTTCCAGTTTTTTCGATTTTAAGTTCATATCTGAATAATCCAGGCTCAAAGATAAATCTTGAAATCTTACTTGGATTAAGATTTAAAATAATAGTTAAAAAATACCGTTCTAGCGCACATTTTTCGACCACTCTCATTTTTTTACACATTTTAAGCCATTTTTAAGGCTTATTTTTCATTGATTTCTAACCTTCGGTCATCAAAAAAATGTGTCATTTTTCAACAATTTTTCAAAAAAATGGTAAAAGGTCGAAAAGTGCGTTACTCTAGAATGTGGTCGAAATCCAGTGGTCGAGATGGTTGAGAAAAAAATGCGCTAACGAATTTGAATAAAAAAACAATGGTTAATAAATGCGCTTTTTCAGAAGATCTGAAACCTCTGACAAATTATGATCTTGAAGAACTTGTAGACACACTAAAGATCAAGAACTTCCGTGGTGTATTTATGCAAAAACACTTTACCAGCGAAGCCAAAAAGATAAAGAAGTAGGTATTGTAAATTTAGATTCTTCTGAAGGTAAAAGGTACTCATTGGGTTTGCTACTCCAAGAATAATAAGAACATTTATTACTTTGATTCGTTCGGACTAGATCCACCATTAGAACTTCAACAATATTTGAAAAACCTCGAAAGGTAAAGATAAAAAAATCAGTCATCGAATTGTCAACATTTCAAATTCAAGAATTTGGAACACATCATTAATGGTTATTACTGTTTATTACTTTTGAAACTATTGGAATCCACGGATTTCCAAAAAATTATTTTATCATTTCTTGAGGACTAAAACCGTAAGCATTTGTTTCATATGAATTTGGAATGATAATCCTCTTGAAACTCAGCAATTTTTGCTTCAGTCTCCCTCATTATCAAATACAACTTTTTCCTGTTCTTGGGTGTATAATTGTTGTTTGATACTTCGAATACAACATTGTTTCTTTCTAACAATACTCTTATTGAAAAGACTCTCTCGAAAATCTTCAACTTTTAACTTCTTGACAACACACTTCTTTATTCCTTTACTCTTTTTTTATTTTTCTTCTCCAGGTTTTGGTACTTTTTGAAAGTTTAGGATTTTTCTTCTTCTTCATGAACTCTTTTTTTATAATAAACGTTTAAGCTTTCACGTGTTTCTTCAGAAATTTTATAAGCATATGATTTGGGTTTTCAAGGCCACAAGAACTTCCATTATTAAACCATTTAATTCATCTTTGAATTTGCCAACTACTTTTTGTATTTTTCGACATTATATAAAGGATGGCATGTAGGATATTCACTGAAATCGAAATATTCTTTCATTTTTTTGATCATTTTGAATATCTTCATAAAGATCAGAAGTGAAAATCTCATAAATAAGAGAATCTGTATCCTGATAACACAGTTTAATATTATCTCCATACTTCTTCTTCATAACATTGTAATGAAAGTCATACATCAACCACTTACTAAGCTCTAAGATAGCAAATCCAACATAAATTGGTTTTATTCATTACTATTTTTATTTGTTGCCATTTCAACAAGATTCAATTCTTTGTTTATTATTATATTCCTATTGAAGTTAGGCAACTTAGCTAACTTTGCTATTCTATCCTTCTTCGAAATGTAATGCATTTCACCATTTTTCCATACATTCATACTCACCAGAATACACCAACTTTACATCTACTCTATTACGAACATTCTCCATAGTTTTTTTTTTACACATTTTAAGCCATTTTAAGGCTTATTTTCATTGATTTCTAACCTTCGGTCATCAAAAAAATGTGTCATTTTTCAACAATTTTTCAAAAAAATGGTAAAAAGGTCGAAAAGTGCGTTACTCTAGAATGTGGTCGAAATCCAGTGGTCGAGATGGTCGAAATATTGCGCTAGAACGGTGAATAAAAAAAAAGCTAAATAAATGAACGTCTCAAAAGATCTGAAGCTTGTTACTAACTGCGAGTTCAGTCAGAGAACGATATTCAGGTTACAATTTATTCCTTCAGACCAAGTAAATAGAAAAAACCCGTTGATAGCAAAAAACCGGAGGCGTGTAAGAGAGAGGGAAGTTGGTATCACACGGAGAAAGGCTGGTGCCCGAAGACTTCGATGTTGTTGAGGATGACTAAAAAAATGAAATTCTTATGAATCTTATGAACTGTGAGATAAAGAAATTATTAAATTTATGCTCACGTGGTGCCGAAATCATTTCCAGCACATTGCCGTACAGATGCGTCTCGTTCCCATCATATTCATTTCCTCTTGCGATTCCCATCAGGAAGCCGTTTCGTGAGCAGAATGCGCCGCCTCAAAAATACGATAAATGCTACTACACATAGAAAAAAAGGTAAACGATTATTTGGTTGTCAATGCCAATATATTGGTTGTTTACAAAAAATTTCTTCGTGTACTACTACTGCTACTACTACCTCCACTGAACCCCGGAATACCACCGCTGTCTCCGTAGAAGAAACCACGAGAGCCAGTAGAGATCGATGAGATGTGGCCAACGCGGACAGAGACTGTCTTCTCACCGAAAGCGCACCCCTGAAAATAAAGCAATATTAGTATGAATGATGGTTTATAAAAAGTAATTCACAATGTTTGCAATATTAATTATACTTATAAATAATCTGAATAAATAGGTAAGCTTAATTTACTCACAATCACAATGTACTTGTCAATGAGCTGCGGAGACATCACTTTCGGCACATTCTTGAATGATCCCGCGTCTTTCTTGAACACAATGTAGTCCGAAATCGCGTTAGACCCGTGGATATGCGCATTGTGCAGCTCTCCCTGATCATCTCGAAGAATCACCGACGTACCTTAAATGTATTGACAATTTTGATCTTTATTCAGAGGTTCTAGGAATCCTACAATCCACTGCTTGCAGCTTAAGTTATTAAAGTTCCATACCATTCTCTCGGAAGCAGTCCGGTACTGAGTGGAGCGCGGAAGCAGCAAAGGTATCCGCGATCACAACGGCCGAAATCCATCGATTTTCAAACTCGATAACCATGCAGTATGCAGAGATATTTTGCAATAGCGCTTGATTCGCTACGTGTTTGAACATTCTGAAAACTTTCCATTAATTTTTCCATTAAATGGTATGGAACTTTAATAACTTAAGCTGCAAGCAGTGGATTGTAGGATTCCTAGAACCTCTGAATAAAGATCAAAATTGTCAATACATTTAAGGTACGTCGGTGATTCTTCGAGATGATCAGGGAGAGCTGCACAATGCGCATATCCACGGGTCTAACGCGATTTCGGACTACATTGTGTTCAAGAAAGACGCGGGATCATTCAAGAATGTGCCGAAAGTGATGTCTCCGCAGCTCATTGACAAGTACATTGTGATTGTGAGTAAATTAAGCTTACCTATTTATTCAGATTATTTATAAGTATAATTAATATTGCAAACATTGTGAATTACTTTTTTATAAACCATCATTCATACTAATATTGCTTTATTTTTCAGGGGTGCGCTTTCGGTGAGAAGACAGTCTCTGTCCGCGTTGGCCACATCTCATCGATCTCTACTGGCTCTCGTGGTTTCTTCTACGGAGACAGCGGTGGTATTCCGGGGTTCAGTGGAGGTAGTAGTAGCAGTAGTAGTACACGAAGAAATTTTTTGTAAACAACCAATATATTGGCATTGACAACCAAATAATCGTTTACCTTTTTTTCTATGTGTAGTAGCATTTATCGTATTTTTGAGGCGGCGCATTCTGCTCACGAAACGGCTTCCTGATGGGAATCGCAAGAGGAAATGAATATGATGGGAACGAGACGCATCTGTACGGCAATGTGCTGGAAATGATTTCGGCACCACGTGAGCATAAATTTAATAATTTCTTTATCTCACAGTTCATAAGATTCATAAGAATTTCATTTTTTTAGTCATCCTCAACAACATCGAAGTCTTCGGGCACCAGCCTTTCTCCGTGTGATACCAACTTCCCTCTCTCTTACACGCCTCCGGTTTTTTGCTATCAACGGGTTTTTTCTATTTACTTGGTCTGAAGGAATAAATTGTAACCTGAATATCGTTCTCTGACTGAACTCGCAGTTAGTAACAAGCTTCAGATCTTTTGAGACGTTCATTTATTTAGCTTTTTTTTTATTCACCGTTCTAGCGCAATATTTCGACCATCTCGACCACTGGATTTCGACCACATTCTAGAGTAACGCACTTTTCGACCTTTTACCATTTTTGAAAATTGTTGAAAATGACACATTTTTGATGACCGAAGGTTAGAAATCAATGAAAATAAGCCTTAAAATGGCTTAAAATGTGTAAAAAAAAAACTATGGAGAATGTTCGTAATAGAGTAGATGTAAAGTTGGTGTATTCTGGTGAGTATGAATGTATGGAAAATGGTGAAATGCATTACATTTCGAAGAAGGATAGAATAGCAAAAGTTAGCTAAGTTGCCTAACTTCAATAGGAATATAATAATAAACAAAGAATTGAATCTTGTTGAAATGGCAACAAATAAAAAATAGTAATGAATAAACCAATTTATGTTGGATTTGCTATCTTAGAGCTTAGTAAGTGGTTGATGTATGACTTTCATTACAATGTTATGAAGAAGAAGTATGGAGATAATATTAAACTGTGTTATCAGGATACAGATTCTCTTATTTATGAGATTTTCACTTCTGATCTTTATGAAGATATTCAAAATGATCAAAAAATGAAAGAATATTTCGATTTCAGTGAATATCCTACATGCCATCCTTTATATAATGTCGAAAATACAAAAGTAGTTGGCAAATTCAAAGATGAATTAAATGGTTTAATAATGGAAGTTCTTGTGGCCTTGAAACCCAAATCATATGCTTATAAAATTTCTGAAGAAACACGTGAAAGCTTAAACGTTTATTATAAAAAAAGAGTTCATGAAGAAGAAGAAAATCCTAAACTTTCAAAAGTACCAAAACCTGGAGAAGAAAAATAAAAAAAGAGTAAAAGGAATAAAGAAGTGTGTTGTCAAGAAGTTAAAAGTTGAAGATTTTCGAGAGAGTCTTTTCAATAAGAGTATTGTTAGAAAGAAACAATGTTGTATTCGAAGTATCAAACAACAATTATACACCCAAGAACAGGAAAAAGTTGTATTTGATAATGAGGAGACTGAAGCAAAATTGCTGAGTTTCAAGAGGATTATCATTCCAAATTCATATGAAACAAATGCTTACGGTTTTAGTCCTCAAGAAATGATAAAATAATTTTTTGGAAATCCGTGGATTCCAATAGTTTCAAAAGTAATAAACAGTAATAACCACAATGATGTGTTCCAAATTCTTGAATTTGAAATGTTGACAATTCGATGACTGATTTTTTATCTTTACCTTTCGAGGTTTTCAAATATTGTTGAAGTTCTAATGGTGGATCTAGTCCGAACGAATCAAAGTAATAAATGTTCTTATTATTCTTGGAGTAGCAAACCCAATGAGTACCTTTACCTTCAGAAGAATCTAAATTTACAATACCTACTTCTTTATCTTTTGGCTTCGCTGGTAAAGTGTTTTGCATAAATACACCACGGAAGTTCTTGATCTTTAGTGTGTCTACAAGTTCTTCAAGATCATAATTTGTCAGAGGTTTCAGATCTTCTGAAAAGCGCATTTATTAACCATTGTTTTTATTCAAATTCGTTAGCGCATTTTTCTCAACCATCTCGACCACTGGATTTCGACCACATTCTAGAGTAACGCACTTTTCGACCTTTTACCATTTTTGAAAATTGTTGAAAATGACACATTTTTGATGACCGAAGGTTAGAAATCAATGAAAATAAGCCTTAAAATGGCTTAAAATGTGTAAAAAATGAGAGTGGTCGAAAATGTGCGCTAGAACGGTATTTTAACTATTATTATTTAAACTGAGAATGAGTTTGACTTTGAGATTTAATAAAGAATTATTGAAATCCATAAAATCTTCCTGAATTTTAACAAAGTGATGCTCCAAGGGCTCAGAAGAGCAGGTCAATCTTTTCGAAATGGACTTGCCCTTTGCTGATTTGATTTCTTCGCCCTTTCTGTTTTGGAAAAAGTTTGTAAGCGTTTGAAGGATTTGCTATGAGGTCGAGGCGTCTGTTGAAACGGATCCGAGGCTTTATTTCAATGGGAATTATCCAGCTTGCAAAACTTTGTTGATTTTTTCAGTTTTGGAAAAAATGAATGAATTAATGGATTCATAACTGGTTTTACTGTTTCAAATTCAAATAAAATACGAAAGTTTAGCATTTTAAATATTACAATGTACCCCTTTGCGTGTTAATATTAAATAAAATGAAAAATTTTTTTATTTTTCAAACTTCGAAAAGTATGAGATTAGAAGCATTCAAAAATAATTAACAGCATACAAATGTTGGAAATATTTGTAACTTGCCGTTTTTCGTTGGAATTGCTTATTTTTTTACATTGAAATTAACGAAGTTTTTCAAAAAAATCAAATTTGAAGATTTTTGAGACAAAAAGAAAGTATATTTTTCTAACTTGAGGGCGTTTTCTAAAAGTTTAGATGCAAACTCTAAAAAAACTTATTTCCTCAACCGAAAATCCAGTTATCGTTCCATTCAGAATTATCAAAAATCTACTTATCCACCTTCTTTTTCCAATACACCTATTGGAAATGACTCAATTCTCAGAAAGGCATTTATTTTGAGTCTAGCCGAAAAAAAGGATGACGTGTCCAGAACTAGTACTTTTATAGAATTGCTCCTGAAATTTATGCGAATATAATTAAAGCTTTGGATATTTGTTTACGAGCAGTGGAAATGGTCAAAGAATAGTGAGGATTTTGGGAAAAAGTGTGTTATTTTTAGGGGAAGGAAGTGTGGAAAAAAGGGAGAGGACCAGATATAGAGAGAAACATCTCACAGTCTGGGTGTCTCCACGTTTTTCACTGTATTTCTTCTTATAGACGTGACAAGTCCCGATTATCAGTGATTACTAATCACGTGACTTCGGACTTGAAACAACACTTTTAGCGCGCCCGACCTCAGACTACTAGCGCGAGTAGATATCCTATAGCACAGGAGAAGAGAAGAGCACACTAAAACCGTTAAAGGTCGGGTACAAAAAACCTTCAACTTAAGCATTCTTCCAACGCGCCCGACCATGAACTACTTGCGCGGGTAGGTATCCTATAGCACAGGAGGAGATGCAGAGAGACATAAAGTCGCTTAAGGTCGGGTGCAAAAAACCTTCAACTTGAGCAATTATTTACGCAACCGACCTCAAGCTACTTGCGCGATTAGGTATCCTATAGCACAGGAAAAAAGAAAGTCACTAAAGGTCGGGTGCAAATGTACACATAACGAAAAATGATTTTTATGAGCCAAAACCACCGCGCATTTTGAGCCATTTCTAAGCGTTTGAATTCGTGAAAAATGAAAAATACGTTTTCTCCTCTCAAACGAAATTTTTTCCCAGGCTCGTATTAAAAGAAAATAACTCTGAATTCTGAAGTAATCTAGGTATTTTTGACCATTTCCTGTTATCAGCCCATCTTTTTAATCCAAAAGTTATCTTTCCCCGTTTTTCTGTGACGAAATGAACTGATGTTTTCGGAATTTCCAAATTTAGTTAACTTATTTCGAATAAAAGCAAAACATTGACGTAAAAAAAACCTATGACGGCAATTGAAAATAATTAATTTCATTTCGAAATTTTCTCAGGTCAGCTATTTTTTTGGCCAAAACAATTTCTGTTATTCTTTGTCGATTTAATTGTATTTTCTTTTCTTATTTTGGCTTATGCAAATACAATTTTCCTAGCCATTAAGTTACAAGTATGTCTGGATTTCTTTTGTTTTTTCGAGAGAAAACCTGAATAATGGGAACTTTTTTTCTAAAGCCGATAATCCTTATCTATTTATAAGAAAGTATAAAACAAGAACAGATATTTACGAAGGAAAATGTCGACATCATTATCTATTGTTTGGGAGAAAAATGAGGGCTTTTTGATGGGTTCTGGGAAAAAAGGTTTATTGAGGAAAATAGGATGCAAAAAAATCAAAAAAAGGAAAGCACTTTTTTTCAAGATCAGGGAAATGGAACTTTTTGCTTTTTTTCTGATAAAGGACTCAAAAATTGAATTTTTCAATCAAATTTTTAAAGTTGAAAAAAATCGATTTTTTTGGATTCCCAGTTTTTTTATGAAAATCATCATCAATTATAATTTTAGAAACTCCTCAATAATTCAATTATTAAACGTTCCAATAAGTTGAGTTCATATTTAAATATTAATTTAAGGTTCCGGTGGATGATTTTTGAAAGAGAAACACGGTGTTCCGCGCAATGAAAAATGCGAAATTTTGGGTCCCAGCGGCATATTATCCGTGGCGCATTATTGCGCCCTTCTCATGGTTTCTGGTGCAAAAATTGAATTTCTTCACTTTTTTCATTGGTTTTTTACTTTTTTCTATTTCTTGCAATTATGTGATCCGCCTCTCTATGGGTACATCTTGTGGAGCTTTAAATTGCGCATTTTTCTAAACCGGTTTCAGATCTTTAACTTTTTTTCTCAAAAAGAGCTGAAGATTTTTTTCTAAAAGTCCTAATTTTTTTCAAAAATTTTTGAAATCTGTTTCGCGACATGAAAAAGAGTAACTCTATTTCGGAAACTATAGTTTTTTTAATTTAATCAGTTAATAATAAAAAAAGTTATTATCTAGTTCCTTTGACGTAGTTTGAAACCGGTTTCGTGTAAATTAGAGCCAAATTGAATTTGCTGATGCAGTTTAATGATTTTTGATATATGAATCATTTAAATTATATATTTTTTTCTAGTTTTTTGATGGTTTTTCGGATTTAAACAAAAATTTCGCCATACGAGGTTTTTTTCTAAAATTTCTGCTTTCTATCCATTATTTGTTTTTCTGAAGCTAGGTTTTCGAGGTATATAAAATGTTTTTTTTTTCATTTGCTTCTCGAATTTTCCT